CCCCCCCCCAGCAGGAATAGGGTTAACTTTCAGACAAATCATTGAATTAAAATACTTTAAAGTTCTTGTTATGGTTTCGTTATGTCTCCGAATCCGGCCAATATGTGAACACTGCACAGCTTTTTATACGTAATTAATTAATCACAACGAAACCCTGAAAAGCTTTCTCTGATTAAGATTAGATGAAATATTATCAATCATCTCTTTGAAAATGTTCAATCGTGGATTCCCTTTTAAGCAAGTTGCGCATTTTTGCTTTAGACGCGATGGAAGAAATTCTTAGAATTAAAGACTTTTCGAGTTAAAAAGTTAAAGATAAGCGTTGAGCATTGGGTGTGCCTGCCTTAACTGGATGATCACTTGATAATCATTTATTTCACGAGCATGTATTTAACGGTTCTGTCAATACCAGGGGGGATTATAGTTTCCTACCTGTGTGCTCAGTTATCTGTACTGTACACTTACAACTGTTTACTAATAATTATATACTATTGGTTAGGCCAGAACCTTTTTAATAAACAAATATGCAGTACGCTCTTGGTATAGTTCATGGCCTATACAATTAGTAAAGGATTAGCGCACATTATCACTTCATACACTATAACCTCGTTGGTCAATACTCTCTTGGTATAGTTCATGGCCTATACAATTAGTAAAGGATTAGCGCACATTATCACTTTATACACTATAACCTCGTTGGTCAATACTCCAGAAAGCTGAGACTTTCGATCACAATTTGATTCATTAAACATCTTCCTGTTTAAACGTTAATGACCAATACTATAACAAGTTTTATAAATCTTATTTATGTTTCATCTCAAAACAAAGTTCAACTTAATCCTTGATTTGCGGTGAATAAATAATATTTATTAAATATTTTTAATTTCATTGTTTCGTGAGATATATTCTTTGTTAACTAAATTCTTACTTTAATATTTAAATACGAGTATAACTGTGTTTTAACATTAAAAAACATATCTTTAACATACCTAAGACTTGATTATTATTATTATTATTATTAATATTATTATTATATTATTATTATTATTATTATTATTATCATTATTATTACTATAATTATTATTATTTTTAATATCATAATTATAAATATCTACATTATCCTCTTAATTATTAACATTTTAACTTCATATTGTTATAGTTTATATGATCAATTTGGTTGTTTTTACTATTTTCAATATCATTTAATTATTATTTTTTCTATTATTGAAGTTATTATTATTTTAGGAGTTGCAGCATGAAGTTAGTAGTCTGCTAGTTCTGAAAGATGCGCTTCTTGAAACCTTTCCCCATCTACACCATCGGCTTCATGGACAGGTAGATGATTGACATAGAAGTAGATGTTAGTTTTAGGAGTAGGTGGTAGATACTGAAGTAGTTGGCAAAAATATTCCTACTTCATTAAAATAAATATGCTGGGATAGATAGGACAAAGCATAACGAAGGTAAGAGTTAACGATTTCAAACCTCACTTTGGTCTGTATAATTTGTTCAGGCTAATTAGTACTTTTTTAATTACGAAAAAAAAGATGGTTCTTTCTTGTCCTACAATAATTGTATGCACATTTTTAAATTTGGTTTGGCGTAAAGGTTTACTTTCATTTGAATATGCTTTCTTTTTTCTTAACTTTTTTCTCCGATATAAAAATTGATTCGTCATGCATAAAAACTTTGCATTTTTTTGGTTGCCATGCATTATTTCTTTTGTAAAAAATAAAAAAGGAAGTATATACTGTACTTTATACTGTATACTGTATGCAGTATACTTTATACTGTATACCTTATACTGTATACTGATGTATAAAACTATATAAATATATTTGTATAAAACAATAACGGTTTCTATGGCTAAGGAATATGAACAAATTCTTTCACACGTTCAGTTCCACGCTACAATACACAGACTGCCACACACACAAAATATATGTAAACTCTATAAACTTACTGTTCTTTTAACTGTCTTGTCTTTGGAGGAGTTTAGGGGTTGGGAAGGGTTGTATTATTTACCAGTCAATTGAGCATAGAGAATAGAATTTATAGAGAGGAATTAAAAGAATCTCTCGGTATGAATTTTTTCAGTCCCTTTCAGCCTGAAAGGGAGTTCAAAGTGTACAAATCATGTAAATGTTCACAAATTATATGCAGTAGAGTACATTAATACAGTATGTTCCCTAGACTATCCATTTCAATTTCGATTTTTTTAAACTGTTAAATAAACTTTATAATGAATTAGGTGAATAAAAACATCATTTGATTTATAGTTATAACGGAAAATCATCGTTTGTAAAGCGGAAGGCATAGAGTCTATGTGAAATGATCATTGGTCAATTATGAAACCAGCCTATTTCATAATTTGGTTTTCTTTTAACAATAATTTTAGATTTTCTATATAATGATATTCCAGGGCCCAACAGGTTATATAGCATAAATATGTGAAGTACACCTGCAGTATGGAAACAGTACAACAAAATGGCCGTTTTACACATTTTTACATTAAATTCCTCTCTATATATTCTATTCTCTATGCAATTGAGTCTGTACATAACCCGTGTATCGTGTATACTCTCAGCCCGCCTGGTTTACAAAAAAGTTCTTATTGTACAACTGTGTACAGGCCGGTCCGTTGACTCTGTACCGTACAGCAGTATAATATTAGTATAAGTATATCCCGGACCAAGGAATGTACCAAGAAAGGCCAAGCTTTGTATTCAAAGAAATGTGTATTGAGTTGAGGTGCCATGAGCAGAGTAACCTACGAACCATTTTTAACAGACGTTGAGCCCTCTGCAACGGAATCTTATAACGGAGTCATTAATATTGTTCCCTAGGACGGACGGAGGTTGGGTAAAGAGGTTGGAGGGGGAGGAGGAAGTGGAGGGGGTGGTGGAGGAGAGATGTCGGACGAGCATCCAGTATCCTGGAGTACTGGAAGTATACCAAGGATGCGCAGGATTAGGAAGAGTCCGGAGGGAAGCTCAACAGGTAATATATCTATCTATCTATCTATCTATCTATCTATCTATCTATCTATCTATCTATCTATCTATCTATCTATCTATCTATCTATCTATCTATCTATATCTATCTATCTATCTATCTATCTATCTATCTATCTATCTATCTTTCTATCTAATTATCTATTTATTTGTCCCTATGTCTATCTAACTTACCCTCATCAAATATATCTATAATATAATATATAATATAATAATATAATATATATCTATCTTTTAAACTCTTTTTTTTGCATTTTTGATATTAAACATTGTAATATACTTGAACTATATAAAAATAATTAAATGTCATCCATACCAAATTAGTTCTTGAGCGCATCTGTTCAAGCCTGAAATGGTTGGGTTGCCAAAATTCTTGAACATTTCAATTTTTTTGTATTCTGAGCATTTTATTTCAGCGCTTTTGTTTTATAGTTTTTATTCGCCTTCTTTAAACCTGAACTTTGTATGATACTGTTGGGACTAATTAAAGGGACTGTTTTCTTAGTTTGGAGTGACAGTGACACTCCACAACGGAAATATATTTCTTATCAATGCTGCAAAACCACTTCTTAGACAGAAAAAACGGGTTTACAGAGTTTACCTTTTTGAATCGAACGAGAATTCAAATCTTTAAAATGAGGGTAATCTAAGATTACGAATACAGTCCCTGTAAATTAAGATACTGCAGTTACTCCTCGGGATTTATTGTACAAAGTTTTATAGTGCTATTTTATTTACAATTCCCGTCACGACACTCTTACACATTAAATACATGGGAGACAGTTAATGCCATATCAGTCCAGTATTCAGACAGCAAGCACTGAAAAAAGCTAATTTAATCCAAAAATTGATCCAAAATATCCCAATAATAAAGTTCTATACATATGATGGTTAAATGGCTGACATTTTTTGAGGGAGCCCTTGTATACCTTGGGGTTGACATGAGCTGAAAAATTTGAAGTTTTTTTTTCAAAACTCCAAAATTAAAATATTTAATTCCCCAAATATTTTAAAATCCTTGTGCAAAACACATTATGCAATTTCTTTAGCCTGAACCCTAAGAAGTATTGCTTTTTTTTCTTCTCATTTTAAAGTTTAAATTACGAACTAGATTTAGATATTTAACCCAAAGAGGATTAGATCCTTCTTTGATCATTCTTGTAAATCTAATTTTAAAATTCAAGGATATAATTTTTATTAAAACTCAGGACTAAATGTCACGGAATTCTCTATAATTTTCATCAAATTATTATTTTCATTCAATTCCTTAAATCCTTGAATAAAATATTGTACTGCTGTCGCCAAATTAAGGAATTTTTAGCAATTTTTTTTAAAAACATCAAAAGTAAATGGGTCAGTTTTTTGAAAAAAAAGATCAAATAAAATTTAAGACATTATGTTTTGTCGAATTTTTGTTTAAAACTAAAAGAAAATCTGTTATAAATTTTTTTCAGGAAGTACCGTGGCAGATTCCGGGTTTTCAACAGAAAAGGGTCAGGATTCAGTAAGTACACAAGGGGGCAAATATTCTCCTCCTGAAGTCCGGTGGGATACTTGGACAATGTCTAGACACGCCCCCTCACCCCCTTCCCCGCCCCTAGGGGGAGAGGACGAACTCATGAGTCTCTTAGATGTTATTCATAGGAAGGCAGTTAAACTACGAAGTCAATCCAATCAGGTATTATTATTATTATTATTATTACTATTATTATTATTATTATTATTATTATTATTATTATTATTATTATTATTATTATTATTATTATTATCAATAAAGGATGAGGATCGAAGACTCCAAGATCAGAGAAAGATCTCTGATAAATCCCGAAATCCTGGTCCAGGGAGCAATCTTGGAGCAATCTCTGAAAGTAGTGAACTCTACGATCCTTACAAGGATCGCCGGAGATCTGAACTGAATGGATCAGACAGAGATCATCTTGTGGATCGTATCACTGAATTAGAAAATGAAACAATTAGGTAAATTTATGATTTTCCTTTTGTTAAATAAAAAATTGAAAAACTGTAAAATCCAAATTTAAAATTTTTTCAATTGAGCCTAAACCTGACAGTTTGTCCGAAAAACAAGATAAAAAATAATTTTGTTAATGTCTAGGTCCCGAAATTGTGTGCTAAGACTGGAGAATGAGATGGTAAAGGTGTCCAGGCAGAAAGAAATGTTGGAAGAGCAACTAAGGTTGGTAAAAAGAACTTCCCAGATTTGTTGTCAATAAGTTCAGATTTTTCATGCAATGTTCTTTTGTAACAAGAAAAAACACACTTGTTATATTTATGATTTATATATTCAACATGCTGCTGGATACAGTTAGTTTATTTTTAACAGCGCAAAAATACAATTTTAGTAATATATCTCTTATTTATTTCAAAATATACCATCATTTTTAACTTTATACGTTATATACAGCTTACCCTATATTTCATACCGCAAGTTCTATTGAGAATTGATATTAAAAATCAAGCTTTAAAAATTCTTAAATTCTTGTGGTGGGAATAATAAATAGCATTGGTCAACTTAAAGGGAAGGTCAAAAGAAAAAAATATCTTTTAAATTTAGCAAATTATTTGAATTGAAAAGCTGTGTAAGCTTCAGTTTTAGTTTAATTTTTATCTGAAAATATGCATATCAAATATTTTTGGGGTTTTCGCTAACAACTTCTTTAATCAAGTTGTTTTGTATCTTTTGAAATATATGAAATATTTTTAAAATATATGAAATATATATTAAATATATATATATTAATATTAATATATTAATATATTAATATATTAAGTAAGATAGATTTATATATGAAATATATATAAAATATATATGAAATATACACTGAAAGCGAGGGCGCTGGGAAAATTCTCATCAAACGTTACCATTTCCCTCTTGGTGGTTTTTAGTGAAGTAACTATACACATTTTGTACATTTAGTTTTCCACAGCCTTCATCGGAGGGTCATTCTGGAGTTTTTCAAAGATTGATAAAAGTTATTCTTTACTTTTCTAAATCAAACATTTTTATTTCTAGATTGAGTGAGGGATCAAAGGATAAGGAGGGATCCTCTGCCTCCGGTTCTACCAGAGCTCAGTCGGAGGGACCTGGAGGGATCATTCATTCCGTTCAAATTCTTACAGGTATACAGTTATTAATTATTATTATCATTATTTTTATTACTATTATTCACACCTGATTTCAAAGTTCTAGATCATATCAATTGTAAACTATTTTAGGAGAATCTCGGCGCGCGAATTCACCAGAGTCTGCGCGCATGCTCAGTCAGAGTGAAACCAACCTTCGTATGGCCGGCCGGGGCTCAGTGAACATTGAAATCCGGCAACCAGGGGATAGTTTATCTGGTGAACCGGGCAGCCGGGTTCATCGGCCGGGCCGGCTTGGTCTTCCACCTAGTGTTAGTGTTGTGAATCTGCGTACAAGCAGTGAAAACTTGTACGGAACCTATGGGCCGGTACACCAAGGCGGTAGCGTGGATGCGCTCAATCGGTATCCACCTAGCGGTCAATTAGTGAACCAATATCCCCCTAGCGGCCAGTTAGTGAACCTTCATCATACAAACCAAATTCATTCAGACCATTCAAAATACTTTCAGGAAAATATGGAATTCGTTTTTTTTTCATTTTCTTTATGATTTTTTAAAATTTATAGACCAATGGTGGGAACTGTTGATCTTCAAATTAAAGTGCCCATAATGAATATTGAGATCAAGTGATCGGAATTATGAACATCTAAACACAAAAGTTACAAGCTCAGAGCAATAAAAAACGCTCTTCTGAAGCCAAGAATGTGCAAATTAAAAATCATATTGTTTTCTTGCAAGTTTACATTTTATTCTCTTTTTTTAAATTTTTTTTTTAAGATGTTAACTGTTAATTAAGCAAATTCATATATTCCCACTTTGCAGTTCGCATTTCTTTCTTAATTTCAATAATTAAATATATTTAATAATTAAAACATATCTGTAACAAGGAAGTTGAAATTTTATAAACAAAATATTATTTGAATTTGAATGGAAGGCGGATTTAAGTATTAGTAATTCTTAAACTGGACTTAAGTGCTATTTTAACCTTGTCAATGGAATAAGTTGATAGCTCAGTGTTCTGTACCGAAAATATCAATATAAAAATGCATTAATTATTAAATTACTGAGATCAATTACATAATCCATAACATAATGAATATGTTATAACTGCACCATGACATATAGTCCTTCATTTAACTTAAGGAACGCTAAAGAGCTACTCATGTACAGTACACATATTTGACTGTATTGAAATTAAATTGCGTATTTATCAGACTAAGCTGACCGGACCTCCAGTATCCGGTAAAGACCCGACGCATGCGTCACAGCTCCGACGTGTCCTTTCCAACGATAAATTGGCGCAAAAATCCCGCTCAGTGGACAATCTCTTCGAGGCTCGTCTACGAAAGGCGACCAGCGAAATCAGCCTGCAGCCGCGTGCAGGATATAACGAACACAATGCGCGCTTGAAAGGAACAAGTTCAGAGCAGGTGCTTACGAGATTAGGAAAACAGGAAAAGGTATTTTTAACAACGGTTTTTTAATTTTAAATTTGCCTTTTACATATGATACAAAAGGTTGCATTTGAAAAAATCTTTACGGTAATTTTTTTCCAGGTAAAACTGTCTGGTTCTGTAGTATCTGTGCCTGGTGAGCTGGGCCGGCACGGCAGGCTGGTGGTCCGACCCAACCGTGAAAGAATCCGCCAAATTCTTGGAACCGGTTCTGTTCTTGAACTACAGAGACAGCTGCTCACTGCAGTCATGGAGAATGAGGTAACTTTAACGCGTGGAAGATCATTCTTTCAAAAAAATCAATATAAAATAAAATCTTAATCCATCCCTTTGAATCTGGACTGTGGAATAAAGACTTCTCCAAAACTCTTATTTGATTTTAAGATCATTTTTGCCGTCGAGTTCGAATTTTTAGAACGGCCAATTCCCATTATAAAGTGAATCAATTTAAATTTTTATTATACGCAATGATAGGAATCCAAAGACCCGCTATACAATTCTAACTTCAAATCATTAGACAAAAATAAACAATACAGATAATTGTGGGTTCCTTTAATAATGTTAACTTCTTGACCAAAACCTAATTATTTTATAAATTTGTGTGATTTTGTTTTAAATATTCAAATTCGGAATAGGATTTTGAATATCACAATTTGATTTCTTGAATTTGTTAAATTCCAACTTTTTGGCCTGAGAATGAATCCAGATTTCGTCAAGCATAATATTTATATTATTAAAAGTGCATTTACTACAAATGAACTGCTGCACAATATCCTGCAATTATCTACAAAATAATAATGATACTTTGTCCCGACATTTTAACACAATATTCAAAGAATGACATTGCTGTATTTATAATTGTGCAGCCGGTAGAAATAAACTCTAAATGTTCAAGACTAAACTGCAGTTCCATTATAGGTACAAATTACCTTTTATTTTTCAGAAATCCTTTTCCGGTTTGATATTTGCCATTCTTCTATTTTTCATTTGTTGTGTTTATTAATATCTTAATCTGCAAATTCTACTTAGTAATTTTTATTTCCCTTTAAGATAGTACTTATTTCGCTTATTTTTAAAATGCGCTGTTGCTTAGATTCCATTTTCTTACAACATATTTGCGCTTATCCCTATATTTCGTGCAATCTTCATTTATTTTCTTAAATTATCTTTTTATAAAATTATAATTGAAAAGTAGCTCCCTCCTTCCCAGCCTTTAACTTACACATTCATTTTATTCCAAACTTGTAGAACGACTTTGCGATCTTGTAACTAAAAAAAGGAAAAATCGCCAAGGTGTGTTTTTAAAACTAAAATATTAAATATTTTTCCTGAACTTTAGTTCAATGTGAACTTACTTCATCCTTCCTTCCGTTGCATTTTAGGTTATGCAACCCTTCTACTGTTTTGGGTTAACTATACAACCACCTCACACAACTCATGATTTCTCACTTCCTCCCTCTCCCCCCCCCCCCCACTAGACGAAGGTTAAAGGTCCCTAGCTTCTGACAATGACTAAAAGTGAAACTGAACCGAGTTCAAGTTTAAACTGAATCTTTATTCCTGGGGCAAGGAGGAGGTCTTAAAAACATAAATTAATATAATTTCAGAAATTTTAAAAAGCTAAAAACAAATATGTCTAAAGATAGATAAGATAGGTAAAATGTTGGATAATAGTTAACTAGGGTTATATATAAATAGAAAGATAGTTATCTAGGAAAAAGGATAGCTAAATATATAGGAAGATAATCGAATAGTTAGCTAGATAGAAAATAGTTAACTAGATAGAAGGATTGTTAGTTAGATTAAAAGATAGTTAGCTAGATAGAAAAGATAGTTAAATAGATAGAAGGATATTTAGCTAGATAGAAAGATAATTAAATAGATAGAAAGATGGTTAGCTAGATAGAAAAGATAGTTAAATAGATAGAAGGATAGTTAGCTAGATAGAAAGATAGTTCAATAGATAGAAAGATAGTCAGCTAGATAGAAAAGATAGTTAAATAGATAGAAGGATAGTTAGCTAGATTGAAAGATAGTTAGCTAGATTATAGAAAGATAGTTAAATAGATAGATTATAGAAAGATTGTTAGCTAGATAGAAAAGATAGTTAAATAGATAGAAGGATAGTTAGCTAGATAGAAAGATAGTTCAATAGATAGAAAGATAGTTAGTTAGATAGAAAAGATAGTTAAATAGATAGAAGAATAGTTAGCTAGATTGAAAGATAGTTAGCTAGATTATAGAAAGATAGTTAAATAGATAGAAAGATAGTTAGCTAGATTATAGAAAGATAGCCAGATGGAATGATATGGTAAGCTAAGGCCTAATCAACCAAGCGTAACTATTTTGTTCAGGCTGCAGCCTGCAGGCTCCAACTACCATCGTTACAATTATTAAGGGTTGAACATTTTTGTTAAAATATTTTTCTATTTAAGAAATTCCCAAAGTTTTTACGATCCGATCTTTTCGAGGGTTCAAAAGCATATGTTTTCTTTTTCACGCGTAATGAGGCACAAAATTGTTGAAACATTTAAACACAATAATTTAAGTAACGCAAATTCGATGATTTGTATTTTTCAAAGGTTTTTGTAATATTCTTTTATTTTCGAATAAGAAGAAATTACAAAGTTAGGCGCTTTCTTACATAATCAAAAAAAACTTATATTTTTTTGCGTAATAAAAAATACACAATTTACTAGAGCGGAAATTCATTCAATATTTTTTTTAGTACTTCTCAATCTTTTTCGAAGATATTTTAATGTTTACTTCAAAGACCCCTCTTAGAGTATATATATTCTTAATAATCTAAAACCAATAATAATTTGACCCCCCCCCACACACTTTTTAGCAAATACTAATAAGGAGGGGGAAGGGGATGGCGAATAGTTTTTTCATTATTACTAAATAGCCGTTAATCCATTAATGTCATTATATTATTATTATTATTATCATCAAACAAAATTAACTATTGCCAAGCGAACATTTTGATCCTTTGATTCCGAACTCAAATCAGTATTTTCACACGGAAATGAAATACGAAATATTTTTTATACGCTAGTTATTCATTCATAAATAGTTTTTATTAAAAATATTTATGATTTTTCATTAATTTTGCATAACTTGAATGGTTTGCATGAATAACATTTTCAATATAAAATGTCTTTTGCTCTAGTTGTAAGTTTTCTGAAACGTTTCGTTTTAACAATAATCATCAAAATATGTTTGTTTGAACTCTGAAAGTTTTGCAATATGATAAATCGTGTCTCATGTAATCTGGTTTTACAATTTTTTACAATGGTTTAATATCGAGCATAAAGGCGCTTTGTTACACAGAGTGATTAACTATAATATCTTGATTTTTTTATTTTCAAACTTTTGTTTTTCTTCTGCTTTTTGTTCAGTTTTAGTCTTGCTCCAGTTCTTTCTTGCTTTTTTTGTTCTTCAAATTATTTTTTTACTGGATTCTTTATTTTTTTAATTTATCGCATTTTCTTTTGACTTTTTTCAAAGAAACTAATTACTCGCCACAAACTCGAATTTTCGATTTTTTTTTCTTTGTTACCATGGCAATGTAAACATTGGTATCAGGTAACCAGGTTTCTCAGTTATAGGGATTAGAAAAGTTAAGTTTAAGGCAAGTTATTTTTTGTTATCTACTGGGTATCATTGTATGATTGTACAATGTACGTGGTAGCAATTTGATTGTTTTATAAATTATAATAATTGTCTGTGAAAGTTTGCAGGCAGATATATTTCTCTCTTTGGGAATTGATTTGGATGTGAGTAAGGGGTGTGGAAGAGGGGGGAGGGAAAAGAGGGAAGGGAAATTAACAGAGAGACAGACGGACACCCAGACAGTCAGACGAACAGAAAGACATAAAAGATAGAAATTGATATGAAGCTAAAAAAGATGAAAAATATTTATACTAATTTCTGTTGTTATGATTCAGATATTTTAAATATATCCTTTTCAAGTTAAACTCATATTGCATTGTAAAATGAAGTATATTAACGTATGTTCAATAGGCAGTGGCGCAACTAGGCCTTTTCTGAGGGGGGGGCGAAATCTGAAAGTTATTAGGGGGGGTAACGGGGGGGCTAGCCCCCCCGTTCCGCGAANCCCCCCCCTAGTTGCGCCACTGTCAATAGGACAAGATGGTTCAAATTTCGAATTGAGAGAGAAATGATCTATTAACTGATTGTAAATCTGTTACTTGTGATTAGCGGAAACCGATCTTGTCTGAACAATATGGCGGTGATTCTCACATTTTCTCTCAAATTGGTGTACACTTATCTCCATTAAATAATTTATGAACGTTTTATTAGAAATTAAATTTAAATTTGTTTATGCTTCAACGAAATGCACTGGGAGAATCATTCTTTTTATAAACACTTTTTTTAATCTTTTAATTTGGAGAAAGTGGCGGGAAATGCGCCACGCGTCGGGGCAGGAAATGCGGGAATTGCCTCGGGAATCCAACTTCCGGTCCCAATCTGAGACAGCTGATTCTAATTTTTCAATATTTTCCCACACTGCTAAATATTTTTCACAAACTCTAATCAAACCTGAAATTAGAGCACAGGTTTGAGTTAATTATAGATATCTTTTAAAAAAATGTCCCCCCCCCACGACCCTCTGAATTCTGAATGTTCAGAAAGTATTTAATGTAGGCTATAATCCCTATCCTATGACAAAATGATGATTTCCCATCATAATTATCATTTAAACTTTCACATCACTCTTACAAGTTACATTCACATAATTATAGATTCTGTTCATTGAAAGTTATTTGACACATTGTATTTGTAAAACAAAACGCTTTTTTTCAATTTTTGATCGAAAGAATTTTAATATATTTAAAATTTGTTTTTATAACTTATAATGCATAATGACAAAATAGTTTTTCTTATTATCTACCGGCTGAATTGTGCCCGGTGTTACCAGTAGAATTTAAAAATTCTAATATTGATATATTTCAGAATCTCACAAAACAATTTACATTTATAATAAATGAAGACAAAAATATGTGTGAGCATAGATCTTTATTATATATAGGGAGACTTCAGAGACGACTGTTCAGAATTTATACTGTCTGTTTCCTTATATTTATCATTCTTTGCAACTGTAAAATTGTTTCTTTTTTTTTGCTCAATCCTTGAATACGCCATTTAAAGATTGTATTCAAGGTAAAATACTTACTTAGACCTTGAGTCGTCAGATTTAAAGAGTTTTCATGTCGTCTTTAAAATATCATCCTTTGTGCGTAAAACTGTTTTTTTTAAATAGATTTGACTAATTCTTTTTATTTTTAGGTTTATAAAACGCAGTTGACCAAAATCTCCGAAGCCTGGGACGGAAAAATCAATGATTTTGAAAAGGTAACCTTCTATAACATTTTCTTGATCAACCCTTTTTAGACCCTGAAACTAGAATATTGTAGATAATTGAATAACTAATAATAATTTGATTTTTTAGGTGAATTCTTCTCTTCAGAGTAATTTATCAAAACTCCGAGCTGAAAATGAAAGATTAAGACTCCAGGTAGCTAGTCATGACAAAATATAGTTGTAAGGAATACTTTCAAAAAGCTCAGTACAAAAATATTAAAATTACATTGAAAACCAGAACACTGAAGAATAGGAAGACAAATTAAAGCAATGTCACACATTAACTTAGAATTAAGTAAGATGGGTCTGAGTACACTGCACAATTTCTTTGTCTCATGTTCATTTGGCCATATAATGTCAAATCAACAAATGTCATAACTTGAGCTTTAAAGTCGTCTTCCTATTATTGAGTAGTATTTTGTATGATAAACCGTTTATAAAAAATACAAGTTTTTATTAATTGTGTTTTTTCATGCTTAAAATGCTTACAAATTATTTTTTCCTTTGTTACTTTTCAATAGGTACTCAGATAGTGTATAGTGTTTGAGTACAACAAAATTTCAAATATTATAGATATATCGTTAATTGTAATTTAAGGTTTCAATGTTCAATGTTCAATGTTCAATGTTTCAGAGAACACGTAAAATTATAATGGTCATCTGTACACGTTTAAAGATTTTCCCACCATGGCTCACACCATACTAACTTTCTACTCTAGAGTCCGTGGATATTAAATACATGAAGGACTAATAAACATGGGAAACCATGGACTACTGTAAGTCCTTATGTGCTGGGACTATAAACTTAAGTCCTATTACATGGGAATGGACTAAACCAATACAATACCATAACAATCCTTTTACATTGGAATAAAAGGAGCTTAGGAAACAAGAAATCACAACAAAGTCCTGATATACATTGAATTACAAGGACAACAAAGTCCTGATATACATTGGATTAAAAGAACTAAACATTCTTGATTAATATAGGATTAGAAGGACAAAAATTTCTAATTACATGGGATTACACGGACTAAAAAGTCTTGATATACATTGAATTACAAGAACAAAAGCGTCTGCATGGGATTACAAGGACTAAATAGTCCTGATATACATTGGATGTAAAAGGACTAAAAAGTCCTGATATACATGGGATTAAAAGGACTAAAAAGTCCTGATATACATGGGAATAAAAGGACTAAAAAGTTCTGAAATGAATTGGATTAAAAGGACAAAAAAGTCTTAATTAACATAGGAGTACAAGGACAAAAATGTCCTGATATAAATGGGAAAAAAAGACTAAAAGGGAGTACAGATTTTAACCATTCGTTCTAAACATTTAAATACCATTCAAACTAAAAAGTCTAGGCTTCTTAGCCCCTAGTGTATAAACTTTTAGAAATTTAAGATTTAAATTTATTTTTTAAAATTACGATTTTAAGTTCCATGTTTATTGGTTCACTTTGTATATTAGGATAACTTGTCATCTTGTAGTATTTGATTCCCAGCTTCAAGCAGAGTGCGCTAGAGCCCACTGTGCAATTCTTCATTTGTAAATACACAGCCCACTGTGCACTTCTTTACATTTGTATCTATTTCATGATTTCCTTATTGTAATCCAAACCTTTTATCTCTATTTATCAGGCGCGCAACTAGGGGGGGGCAGGGGGGCCAGGCCCCCCCTAGCCTGATTAAGGGGGGCATGCCCCTCCCTTAAGAAGTCTTGCCCCCTCCCTGTAGGGGGGGCAATGAAGTGACAAAGTCCACCCTGTTTTGCAATTTAGCGATTCATGAATCCTGACCCTGAGCAAATTTAATAGCTCTCATCGTAAAATAAAAAAAAAGATAATTGAACGTTAGTTTATTGAGCTTAGTTGCAATCGATACAGCACTTAATACACCATATACACACACACAGACCTCCTTCGTCTCCGAGCCTAACTACTGCCGTAGATCAGAACAGGTTGACAAGGTTAACCAAGGTGCCTTAATCTTTGTTATTTTCATTATGCTGTTTTTTCCTGGGAAAGGGACCGTTTATTAAGTATTTTTTAGATATTTTCATTTTAATTGGGGGCATTTTTTTAAATTGGGGGCAAATAGGGGCAAATGTGTTAGTGCAAATTTAAAAATGTTTTTTAATTAGGGGCATTTTTTATAGTTGGGGGCATTTTTTTACCAATTGGGGGAAAATGGGTGCAAATTTGAAATTTTATTTTAATTGGAGGACATTTTTTTTAAATTGGGGGCAAATGTGTTAGTGGAATTTGAAAATGTTTTTTTTTTAATTGGGGGCATTTTATTTACAATTTTGGGCATTTTTTCTAAGTTGGGGGCAAAAAATTATTTTGGGATCGAGAAAATCAGCTATTTTGGGAATTATATGGACCCCTGGTTTTTTATTGTTTAAGTATAACACACATTTTTCTTGCCCCCCCTAAAAATGTTTAGGGGGGGGGGCAAAAAAAATATTTCCCCCTAGCCCCCCCCTAACCAAATGTATAGTTGCGTGCCTGCTATTTATGTTGGGGTATTTGACTCCCCCTCCCCCCCGTCTCTATCCAGTTGCTGAAGGAATTGAGTTTATTTAAGCAACCCAATGTTGTAGACTATAGATATGTCAAACTATGAAATCTATTAAAACAAATAATCTGAGTTTGAAATGTCAAAGGTTTAATCCATCAGGTTGCAAAGATATAGACATTAGAATATTTTATTTTGTGTCAAAGACTTTGTTCCTTTGTCTCCAAAAATATATTTTTTACTAAATAAATCAACTTTGTAGTCTTTTTTAATTTTTAAAAAAATATCTATTTTTGCAACTTTCTATATGTTTTTTTGACCGGGATTTTTACTTGTTTGTTTGTTTAAGGTTTAAATTCAAGATTTTTAATCCCGAACGTAGTAACAAGTGAGTGATTGAAAATCTTTTATTTTAACCGAAAACAAACAAAAAAGTAAAAATCACAACAAAAACATAATTTCCCAAATGATAACTCAAGACAGTTGGATATATAAATATTTGTTCAATTCAAGTTAGATAAAAATGTGCGCTTTTTATTAAAATCCGCGAAATAAAATACATTTTTTCACTATTGATGTTTTAAGTTTGATAAAATTTATTTTTAAGGTGGAGGAAAGATCAAAAGAACTGGAGGGAACGAGGTCTCGGCTAAGTCAACTAGAATCAACCTCAGAGCCGCAGAAATCCCAGCCTCCGCCATCCCAGCCAGTTAAACCCGATCCCGTCCCATCCCGCTCCGGTCTTATCAATAAGTCTGAATTATCTAAGATGCGGAGCACCCTGAAACCTGCTCCGGTCGAGAGATCTGAACCTATCCGGATTAACTTCACGGATAAACCTGAACAAACCAACCGGAGATTGAGCCAACCCGAGCTTGACCTCTCAGGACGTATCACAAGCGAGAACTACGTCAAATATCCTATTTCCGACCTCAGAAGTCCGGTTGACCCCAAAGTGACCTTTGACCTCGGTCCTAAAAAGGCAAAACTTAACGAACTCCTCCCTCCGGTCAAACGGACAATCCCGCTTGACCGACCGGCCTCTCAGCTGCCCACAGATGCCCGGCAAAGGTTACAAGAGCTGGCCGGGCACGATATAAAGCGGAACTATCGGAAGAACAGTGAACCCATCCGTCCAAGCAAACTGAACATCAGCAATGGAGTGTCGGAGAAATATATAGTTGCTCCGTCCGGACAATCAGCGACAAAATCTCCAACTCAGCCGCAGCGTACATACAATCAAATACCAGCAGCACACTCCCCTTTAGGCACTCAGTTTCCAGTGACCGGAACCGGAAACGTTGGTGAGACTGGACCGCTCAAACGTACTTCTTTAACAAGAAAAGACAGTAGAAAAGACTCTCAGCTGAACAGCGCAAAAAACTCGCTAATCATGAATTTTCAAAACAACAATGTTAAAAAATCAGGCCGAGATACCCCTGTCACACGGGGCTCCACCGGAAATAGAACTAGGACGCCATCTGTTGAACGATCAATAACAAGCAAAGACGATCCGAGCAAGGTACGCGGCAAGAGTTTCTGGGGTGGGTGGTGGAAATTTTCATAGACGCCATCTTGCAAAAATGCCGCTGAAAAATTAACCCTCTCTTCTGTAGCTTTTAGTAAGTTTATTAACCATTAAATATTTGGTTGTGGGTTTTTGATTAATAATTTGCTGGATCTGGCATAAGCATGTTCCCCCCGTAGTGCACGAATACTTTACACACTATAAAAGCGTCTCTTTAACTGCTATCCACCCCATTCTTCTTGTTTCTTAAGCTTTTACTGATTTTAAACTGTTAGTGCGATATTTCTAATGATATGGCATTAACTATTGATATGTTTGACAGTTTCTTCTTTGAGATTTTTCAAACAAAAGCTAAGTTTCTTATGGGATATATCTGATATAATCTACAACATTTCATATTTGCATGTGTCTTTTTCTATCCTGCACTAATTTATAGTCAGCACGTTTAAGCATATCACTATAAAATGTGTCCTATTAATTATGAAATCGATGTGAATACTTTTAAATTGCTTTTTATATTCTTGTTTTAAAGGGCTTCATTTATCAACTAAAAAGGATATTTAAGTCTTTTCCATTTTAGGGGACTTTTAAGGTATTTCAAGTGACCCTCTATTGATAAAGTGCCATGTCCGATTAACAACGGTATCCTTGAAAGCTTCGTCTTATTCAGTATGTTTTTAGAACTGTTTATTTTCACATGTGGTTTCTCTACAAAAGCGACTCATGCTTCAGAAATAATGGAGATTGATAATCAAATCAGAATCAAATAATTTTCTGACTAGAAAACTTTAATTATTTTTGTATACTTTTTTAGATAAGGGTTCAAGGGTATTGTTATAAATCGAGTATGCCATTCTACAAATGAAATGGTACTTAAAATTAAGCTTAGATTTTTTTGTTAAAACTGTAAAACGTACATTTAACATTTCATGTTTAATATTTGCTACGAGAATTTTTTACCATTTTTATCTTTATTGTTCATAATCAGTAACAATAATGAAAACGTTTCATTGTTCAAAATTTATTCAAATTTGACGTTTTGATATTTTACAATTCTCAACATGAAATCCAGAGATTTTTGGGACTACGCCTTTGGTAAATATTTTGTCAAACAAAAAGCAAATAATTCCCTCATGAAATACTATTTGGTTTATAGGAGGCAGAAATTAATATAACTCGTCAGTTTCAAACTCAAAAAAAACAGTCAAATATATATTATATTAAAGCACATTAATATGCAAGTTTTTTTAGATTAAATTTGTAAATATTTTTATTAACTTATAAGTAGCTTAACATTTTTGTTGTATTTAGTTACATGTTTACCTTATAATTACTTTTCGTTGACAATGTGATACGAGTTTTTAATTTTAAATTCCTGTTCGTAAATGTCGCTGATTATTTTCATTACAGGCGGGAGCGCACGTGCATTAATTTTGTATTGTCAGTAGAATTAGTAAACAGTATTGTATACTGTAGTATGTATCTGGGGAATCAATTAAACTAATTTTTGTGCAATTTCAATTAAACTTCACTTCCGCAAATTTATTTCCTGAAATGAAAAGTCATAAAGCTTAAGCATTTTATACTAAATCATTTTTTTCACGTTTTGATTTTAGAAAATTTTCAGGAAATTTCGACACTCCCATCAACTGTCAAAATCGGATCTTCTGGAGGGCGTCTACTACCTGCCCCACCACTCCTAGACGGAAAAACGTTGCCTCCGAACATGTATGATGGAAAAACGTTGCCTCCAACCCTAACTAGTATCGATATTAAACAGCTGGAGCATGAAACTATTGCAGATCTTATTGCCGGGATTCTGCAGAAATGTTCAAAAAGAGATGAGGTAAATTTTTTTGTGACATCATCATTCTCTCCCCTCTTTTAAGCATTTGAGCTAGATTTTTTGTTTCTTTTAAAGAACGACAGTACAGGGTGACCCAATAAACATGGGAATTCAGTAACGAATTCGATATAGTCTTTTCAAATAATTCTTTGATTTAGAATAGTGATACCTGCTGAGAAAGATGTAATCTGTAAGAGTTTGTCTGCTATATTCACATTTTGTTTGTTTATGTTTTGACTGCATACGGTTGTACTTAGTAAAACAAGAAAATTACAGAATATAAACAGTGTAAACTTGTCTGTCTTCACTGTTCATCTTGCAGATACATTATTTTCATAAATTAAACTCTAGCAGACATAATATTATTATGGCTGTTGAAATTAGGTTACAATGCTAATTCATAACAAAGATGATATCGATTTCGTCACTGAATTCCCACGTTTTTTTTGGGACACCCTGTAGTTTGTTCTACGAATTATGCCACTGTCCGAATAATTATGTCTCTGTCCGAATAATTATGTCACTGTACGAATAATTATGCCACTGTCCGAATAATTATGTCACTGTCCGAATAATTATGTCACTGTCCGAATAATTATGTCACTGTCCGAATAATTATGTCACTGTCCGAATAATTATGCCACTGTCCGAAGAATTATGTCACTGTCCGAATAATTATGTCTCTGTCCGAATAATTATGTCACTGTCCAAATAATTATGTCACTGTCCGAATAATTATGCCACTGTCCGAATAATTATGTCACTGTCCGAATAATTATGTCACTGTCCGAATAATTATGTCACTGTCCGAATAATTATTTCACTGTCCGAATAATTATGTCTCTGTCCGAATAATTATGTCACTGTCCGGATAATTATGTCACTGTCCGAATAATTATGCCACTGTCCGAATAATTATGTAACTGTCCGAATAATTATGTCACTGTCCGAATAATTATGTCACTGTCCGAATAATTATGTCACTGTTCGAATAGTTATGTCACTGTTCGAATAACTATGTCTCTGTCCGAATAATTATGTCACTGTCCGATTAATTATGTCACTGTCCGAATAATTATGTCTCTGTCCGAATAATTATGTCACTGTCCGATTAATTATGTCACTGTCCGATTAATTATGTCTCTGTCCGAATACTTATGTCACTGTTATATTAATTATGTCACTGTCCGAACAATTTCTAAATTCTAAATCTTTACCTGTGTAAAAATTATGGAGATATTTTTCTTTCTTGAATAGTGTTAAATTCTCAAGTCTCAAAATTATTTTCATCGTCTATGAGAAATACTTTAAAGATGATGCACAATTTAAAAAAAAAGTGCTAAAAATAAGAATATCTGTTTCAACCTTGTCAGGCAAAAGTTTGAAGATGACCGTTATAAATCAGGAGGAATAAATGGAGGGTCACTTGAAATTTTGTGTGTTTCAGTCCCATAAGACTATTTTCAGATTCTTACAAAATGCTTTTTGACAAAGTTTTTTTCCTGTAATTATCAAAGACAAATTCTATTTTAATGTTAGGATTTCTTCATCGTTTAGCAAAAGTTTACTCTTAATGCAGGGCTATCCACAAAGAATGAAATTTTAAAGATTTAGATTTATATTTTCATTCTTATTTTTTCTTTTCATGTTTCATGGAAGTCTGTGCTGCTTTTACTTTTTGTTTTCTTTAAATAGAGGTTCAAATTAAAGTACATCTACAGTTTCTTTAAAGTTTAATAAACTCTTTTATTTTCAGCATAAAAGGTCTACTGCTGGCCTTCGTCATCATACAACAGATGAGTCGGAAAGTGAGTCCAGCCGACCCCAGACCGCCGTTCAAGTCACTGAGCTTACTGGTCGAGTATCAAACCCAACCGGAAGTACTACTACTATTAGTACTCCAAACAAGGGGACTTCATTGAGTCGGGGTGTTTCAAACTCACATCCTAAATCCTGGGAAACGTATAACCATACTGAAGAAGAACTTCATATCTCCCACACCACCCTTTCTCAATCAAACAACTCCACGGCACAAACCAACGACTCCACCCCAAGATCGAATACAAACTATCTGGAGTATGTACAAGGGAGTCGACCCATTTACTCTAGCCAGGACTCCCTTACCCTCCCAGACTCTCTCAACGACTTCGAGGGGGAGGACTACCAAAGTCCAACTATCTATCCGGACTCTCTCAGTAGTAGGAATAAATTCAATCGTCTAGGAGTCCCTGATGATATTGACTCCCTTCAACTTGAGGAACTGGGAAAATCTGCCAACTCTCCGGACTCCCTAAATGCGGGAAAAAACTCCCCAACAGGAGAGTTCTTTGACTCCATAACATTAGAGGAGAAGAAGGTTGGGGAAATCAAACGGAGAATTATTCCTTTTGGGGAAAATTCTCTCTCCTCTGGGAATTCTGTTTTTACAAGTCAAGATGCGAGCTTAGACTCAAAAGAGTCATCCCCTCCAGTAGACAATATTAAACAGGTAAAACATATGTTTTCAAGAACATCAAATTCTAGTTTAATCTTAATTTGATTATATACTTAATAAATCATTGCAATTTAATATTTTCTTTTTTTCAGGGAAATCCAATTGATTTGTACACTATTCATCCTCTTCGGGAATCTCCCGCAGATTTAAGATTTCACCCGCTTACAAACCGGTTTTCAACCTGCCCCGATCTCAGTGTTAAAGATGACCAAGAATTCGCGGATTCCGAGCCCACTAGCCACCAAACCAAAGATATGATGACGTCACCAGCTCTAATGGCGGCGCCTCACAATTCCAATCTTCGAAATGGAATTTCCATCGCGAAACAGGCGACAGAGAAATTGAAATGGAAGTTTCTCGGCTGGTAAATTTATCAATATATTCAAGTCAAAAAGAAATCAAGTCAGAAAGTTAAAACATACCAAAGAGACCAAATATTTTGTGATAAACAATCCAAAAATTTAATGCTACAAGTCCGTTGTAAGGGCTACATGTCTGCAAACTAGCCTATTCTTGTGATAAAAATGGCGCCCTGTACTCTGCAGCCGTGCAATAAATTTTATAGAGACTTAGAATTATATAAATTAGGCAGTGCAGCCGGGTTAAGTAATATAATGAACTTATACAATATATATGTGATATCAGTTATATTGAATAAAATATATATTATCATGAACATTTTATCTTATTAAAAACAATTTAAATTATTATTAAGAAGGGTAAAAAGAAATTTAGCTGAACATGAAGCCCAAATTAAAATGTATTTCTAAATTAAATATTAAAAAAACTTAGAAATCTCAAACATGGGGACAATTCCTATGTTGTGTAATGTTTAATACTTATAGTTTAAATTTAACTTTTTTCTGTTATTTAAGAAAATATACAACAGGGTGTCCCAAAAACATGGGAATTCAGTGACGAATTCGATATCGTCTTTGTTATGAATTAGCATTGTAATACCTAATTTCAAAAGCCATAATATTATTATGTCTGCTCGAGTTTTATAATGAAAAGGGTAAAAGACTGTAAAGATGTGTCTATAATGTCTCCGCAAGATGAACAGTGAATACAGACAAGTTTACTCTGTTTGTATACTGTAATTTTCTTGTTTTACTAAATACAACCAGTTGCAGTCAAAACATAAAACTACTTGTCAGCTGTAAAAGACATTTCCCGTACATTGGAGTGCATCTAGAGTTATCTACTATCTAACCTTAACAAGCAACCTTGGTTTGAACCGACCTAGAATTTCAGTGCACACAGTTCAGAATTTAATATGAAGATTCCAGGCTCTCATAATTTGAGGACATCTGGGGTTAGAAAAGGAGTTATTAAACCCTAATATCATGGGTCCCATCAGGTGCAATAATAACCAACAAAATTCTGCGTATTTTTTCTGTAAAATGTGCTCTGTGGCCGAATTTAAAGAATTTAAAGAATTCTTTAAATTCCATCTCTGATTGATTTCATTAAAAAAATTTATCTGACTATTGTGTACGCACGAACAGCTGTATTTTGACGTCATTGGTTATTTTGGTTGCGTGAGAGTCAAGCGATCAACATTAAAACCTTAGTTATTTAACACAATTGTGAATTTTTTGTGCTAAAATTAAACTAAAATTAATTAGTTAATTGATTAGTATTTAAAAATTTATTTAATCATTTGTTGGATGTCAGGATTGTCTGGTGAAATATAGCTGAATTTGTGATGAAGTTTCGCATCTCTTTTGTATCAAAAATAGCCAATAATTGTAATCGAACATTTTCAGATGTTGTCCAATATGTTTCATGGAATGGGATATAGGCGGTAAATTGAAGCGAGGAGACCATAAGAGAAGACGACATTTGTTTCTATCTTTGGCCAACCGACAAAATGCGTAAAATTTGCGTAGATTTAATGATGCGATATCTATAATCAAGGAGATAATTGAATAGAAGGAGGGGGCGATAGGGTTTGCTGTGACGTTTTTGGACTGCTGAAGAACTAGTTTTTGCGTAACAACAATAACAAAGGCAGCGCGCCGATCTAATGTAAAACAAACGTGAGTTTGTAAACTGTGAAAGTAGTATTATCTTGTTAAAAAAGATTGAAAAAGTTAAGGATTTTAGTTTTATACGAAAAGGACCTTATTACAGCGACATTTTTAATCAAATTCAAGGTTATCCGCCCCCCCCCCCCTAGAAAAAGGCCTTAGAGAATAGGTTTAGGTTGAAAACTTGAAATGCTTGTTCATAGCCCAATTTTTCAAGGCCAGCTCATTGAAAAAAATTAGACCAATAACTTTAATAGGTTGGGTGCTAGGAAGGGTTAAAAGAAATGCAAAAAAAATGGTAAAAAAATTTATACATATAAACAGATATCAAAGTGTGACACATGATTTTACACCCATTTTTCGAGTTTTTCAAAAATATAGTTTTTAGATCTGTAGCTTTAGTCACATAATAGTTATGGAATATTTTAGAGTTATTTTTACACAGACCTGACTTTTTACCGCCCTGTAAAAAAATGTATTTTACAAAATATCCTTTAAAGCTCATTCATGAAAAGTCTAAAAATTCCACAGTGATAGTGTCGAAATTGAGAGTGCTAAGACAAAAAAAACTATTGGAGAGGAGGCCCCCCCCCCCAGCCTATTTAGGGTTAACAAAATATCTAATTAAACTTTTAAAATTTCTTATTTTTACAAAGTTTAAGATTTTTAACGTGAAATATAGTTCATAATTTTACACAATTTTAAACGGTTCTGTTGTTTAATAAAACAGGAAAATTAAATTGCGAAGAAGCTAAGTATCAAATCATATGAAATATATTTAATTTGTTTTAAGTATATAAAAAATGTTTTAAAACATATTTATGATACTTGACATAGAACTTAAGCAGATATCATTATTTATATAAATGTCGTCTTTATTTTGGAAAAATTGAAGATTTGTGCTGATGCATTGAAGCACAGGTTATTTTGCAGAAACTAATTAAAATACAAATCATAAACATATGGGAATTCTATATCTCAGCTATAAATGCGTGAGAAAATAATTATTTAATTATTATCAAGGAACTACATTACACATAAAGCATTTTTTAAAAAAAAAACCTTTTTTGCAGCGTAATAGAAAGAAAGACACTTAAAAACATTAAACATTTTGTCAACCTTTGGTTTTAATTTAATTTAAATATATAAAGTTAATATGAAGACAACTTTTGTATCATAAGACTTGTAAGCGTATAAGCCGTACCTTAAAAAAAATATACATCAACAGAATCGAAAAAAGTGTGAATGTAAAAATGACGGATTTTTGCAAGAGTGCATGAATTAACTGAAGTAACTGAATTTTCACAAATATAAGACGACATTTAAGTAAGTATGAATTTATGGTTGTTAATCGTTTTTGAAAACGATCGTTAAACAATTTTTTTGTTTCGTTTTTGAATCGTTTTTAAAAACGACCCACTCGTTTTGAACTTTTAGAAAACGAATAAGGATCGTTTTTAAAAACTGTCGTTTTTAAAAAACGATTTGCGACCGTTTTTTATGCGATTGTTTAAAAAAACGATTGCTTTTAAAAACAATCGTTTTTGAAAATCAAAATTATTGACAATTATGTTAACGATCGTTAATGAAGGGTCGTTGTTAACGATCGTTAAAAAGGGTTGTCGTTAACGATAGATAACGAAACGACAAGCTTTATAAAAACAGTAGTTTTTGGAAAAGCGATCGTATTTGAAAATAATTGCATGCAACTTTAATCAATCTCCTGGTCGGTTTCCTATCTTCGTTAACGATCGTTAACGAAGTGTCGTCGCTAACGATCGGTAATGAAGGTTCGTCGTTAAGGATCATTAATGGAGGGTCGTCGTTAACGATCGTTAACGAAACGACGAGTTTTATAAAAACGATTGTTTTTAAAAAGACCCTTTTTAAAAACGAACTTTTTAAAAAACGATCATTTTTAAAACAAAAATGAAAACGTTAACATCCCTTCATGATGATATTATAGAAGTCTCAATAACTCAGAATGATAATATATTTTCACAAGTTTATTTATTCATATGATACTCGTTTAACATACTAAGAATGACTAGCGTAAAAACTGTTTGCGCATTTATGCAAACTCAATTCTAATTTTAACATGTAGGACAAAATCGTATTTTCATATAACTAAAATATCTTAGTAACATAACTGAAGTGAACTTTTGTTCATCTTGAATGCTTGATCTCGATATACAATGTGGGCACTTTTAATTTGAGGATATACATGCTTGATCTCTTCATTTCAGTTTATCCTCTAGGAAAAACTACCATAGGTAAAGGGCAGTTATACAAAAACAAAATATTGTGAACATTTTTCTATGAACGATAGAAAATGCATGAAACATCGATTCCAGCTAAAACCATAAGTTTTGATAACAAGACATATAAAACGTTTTAATGATGTATAATTACTGCGTTTAAACGCAAAGTCGACGTTTAAATCATCCATTTAGGTGGTTACGTTTAGAGAATCGGTTTTTAAAAAATCATTCAATAACGACGATGAGAAATGTAACAACTTAGTTGTTAAAGAACAGATAAAATAAAAATTAACTGTTATCATCGAAAATAAGTGATATTATTTAGATATTGCTACTTGTAATGTTTCATTGTTCACATATATTTTCTGTAGATATCCTGGAATTTTATTGAAAAGACGACATTTGAAGAATTTGAAGAAATCTGCGAACAAATTCATAAAGAAAAGGAAATTCAGTATAAAGATGAAAAAATTAATTCTATCATTGATTTATTTATTGATTTATTGATTTATGTATGGAGAAAAATGTTTCTAAGTCTTTATTTAGTTTACTTTCGAATTTTTGTTAGATTTTTTGTCGTCGTTATTGAATAATTTTTCATTAACAGATTCTGAAATTCATCCCTTCTAAATGAACAATCTAAGAGGTTTTTAAAAATTGAATTTGCGCTCTCGCTGAACAAATATGCACCGTAAAACCGTCTCATAAGTTTCAAATGAATCCGAAACAAAATTCCACAATAATGCATTCTCTGTTCAACCACCATTCATTGCCGGTCACTCCCTTTAAATCTTAAAAGGTTCCTACTAAATTCTGTATTTGTAAAGTGGGTTAGTTCAATTTTTATTTTTGAAATATTTTATGCACACAATTACAGTGATAACCAGAATACTATGGAATATGAAGACGACAAATCGCTTAACAGTAAGCTATTAAATAACTTGTTAAGTGAAATGGGTCTGTGTACACTACACAATTGCTGTGCCTTATGTTCATTGGACTATTTCAAGTCATAAATTGAGTTTAAAAGTCCGTTTGCATAGTTTTCTGGTTATCACTACAGAAAACCCAAAAAATTAAAAGTTTCAATAAAATAAACTTTGACCTTGTTTACAACAGTTTAATTGTTTTGTGTCAAAACAGCCCTGAATTTGTAAATGAATATTTCATGAATTTGAACATGTTTATTTCATGAATTTGACATGTATATATTTCATGAATTTGTACATGTATATTTCATGAATTTGTAAATGAATATTTCATAAATTTGAACATGATTATTTCATGAATTTGTAAATGAATATTTCATGAATTTGTACATGTATACTTCATGAATTCGTACATGTATATTTCATGAATTTGTACATGAATATTTCATGAATTTGTACATGTATATTTCATGAATTTGTACATGAATATTTCATGAATTTGAACATGTATATTTCATGAATTTGAACATGTATATTTCATGAATTTGAACATGTATATTTCATGAATTTGTACATGTATATTTCATGAATTCGAACATGTATATTTACCTTCAATTAAAAATAAAAAAGAAGTTTCTTTAGAATTATCAAAAAACTAATGACGGTCTATTTATTCACAAATCTAGGATTTACTGCAATTTATATAACCGGGTTTTTAAAAATTATAAAATTACAACGACGAAAGACATAACAATTTTGTCTGGCCAACTACTCCAATTTTCATGGATAAAGTTATGACTCTATAATAAATAGAGGGTAAATTAAAATCAAGCTCAAAATTAGACAAATTTTATATGTTTGTTTTTAATTGTAAAATTATTCCTCAAAGCGGGTCATAAAGAATCAGCCAAAAAACTGTGATATCAAGGAAAGATATTTTCAAGCGAAAAAGAACTTAATCTGGGGTTGAATTATTTAATGAACTTTGGAATCAACAGTTTTTTAATTACTTTTGCAATCAGTTCACACGTACTAAAGTTTTATAATTATTTTTTTTTCCGAAAACATTTGTTCTTGAAGTCTAAATTGATTCGGAAATAAAAAGTTAAATTAGAAAATTGAGATTTTCTTATTTTACTTTACATTCTGCCTCTTTAGTTGAAAGCGTTTATAGATGAAACTTCAAGATAAAACTTCAAGATGGAACTTTAAGATGAAACTTAAAGATAAAACTTCAAGATAAAACTTTAAGATGACACTTCAAGATGAAACTTCAAGATAAAAGTTTAAGATAAAACTTCAAGATGAAACTTTAAGATGAAACTTCAAGATAAAACTTCAAGATGAAACTTCAAGATGAAACTTCAAGATGAAACTTCAAGATGAAACTTCAAGATAAAACTTCAAGATGAAACTTTAAGATAAAACTTCAAGATGAAACTTCAAGATGAAACTTTAAGATGAAACTTCAAGGTTAAACTTCAAATTGAAACTTCAAGATGAAACTTCAAGATGAAACTTCATCTGTAGATTGGAAATTTGGCATGTCTGATTCACAATGCGTTGACAAGAAAACAATGAGGAAATTGTCAGAATTTATCAATCTGTCAACTGTCAAGTCGATAAAATATTTCAAATTTTGTTGTTTCAGTTTTGGTTTGATTAAAGAATATTGTTGTGAACTCATATCATGTACATGAAGCTAGTCACTTGAAATTCCAATAAGACTGCAAGGACTGCAAGTCCCTGCATGTAAAACTGAAAACAGAGAACGACGTTTTTTTATCCATGAAAATATCAGTTATTTAGTGATTCATGTTTATGTATAACTATGTATCAAAAAATCTTAGGTTATTCTTAGGCCAACGCGAAAGATCAACCAGTTACTATCGAATATTTTTTATATTTACAATCATCGCTAACTGAAGATATTTAATACTAGCTGAAGCCTCGCCCGGTGTAATTAAAAAAATAGATTTCGTTGAAATCGTTTTCTGTCTAAGAGATGATTCATAGAACAGTTGGACAGGAAGACGACTTTTAGACTCTAGTTCTGATTTTAATTAGTCCAATTAACATGAACCACAACAACTGTGCAGTGTGTGTAGACTCATTGAATTGCATGAATTGATTTATTATTATAATTATTTGTTTTAAAATAACATCAATTACTTCCAGAATTACCAACAAAGGCTGAGACTGTAAAGACGACCCACAGCTCTTAAAATAAGACGATTTAAAACTTGATTTTGATTTCTATATTCTATTAAGTATTTTTTTACAGTTTATTTAATTATTAAGCACAAAATAAGCCAGTTTAGGTCAACATGGAAACCTGTATGCAAGGTAACAGACAAAACAAATTCCGTAGAATCGTCTCTGAAGTCTTGTTCTATGTGGGTAACCCTGTATAAGATTGCTTTGTTGTCTTCTTCCAATCCCAGAGTTTTCTAGGCCCCAGTTTTCATCTCCTTGTCATGTCTTAATTGTAAACTGGACCTTGTGAATTCCAGACATGTTTTGAAATATTTTAGTCTGGCGAATTCTGCTTGTTCAATCAAAGGTTGTTTATAAAGGTTAGACAATCTGTACTCGCTCCAATGTACGGAAAATGTCGTCTTTATAGCAATAGATACTCCAAATCCTCAAATGACGTAACTGCTTTTTGGCGGAAGCTTAAGTGACAATGTTGTTGGTCAGAGAAGGGGGGGGGAAGTGTACGGAAACCCTATCACCCCCTCCTTCTATTCAATATATATCTCCTTGTCATTAATCTCTTTAATTAAGTCTTTGGTTTAGTGTATGTTGAGTGTTGGGCTGCTAGCCGTAAACCCTAGATAGAAAACTTTAGATAGAAAACTGTAGATAGAAAACTGTAGATAGAAAACTGTAGATAGAAAACTGTAGATAGAAAACTGTAGATAGAAATCTTTGTTATTACCTTTATTAAAGAAATTTTGTGAAGAATTTTCAATTTTTTAAAGGGCCGAGCGCCGCGGCTAGAACAGGCTTGAGGGCAAACGCTACGGCTAAGACAGACTTGGGAAGTTGGCACTTGAGAAATTGCACATTTGGGAAGTTCCAACTTGGGAAAATACCCTTGGGAAATTTTCGTTTGGAAAAAATCCTTTGGGAGAGTGCCATAACATCAATTTTTTAAAGTATTTTGGTTTGACAGACTGAATTAACAGATACGGCCACTTTATCAAAATATCTACTTGAGATTGCTTATATTGAAACCCGAGAAAGATTAAACATTTAAGAATTAACGGACTGCCCGAGATAAGTTTAAGTGACCTGAGGCCGAATTTAAAGAATTTGAGCCGTGGCTTAAATTTAAGCCGCGGCTCAAATATGGTTGGTTTCACTTAAAAGTGTATTCAATTTTTCAAGATTTATGCCGGCGCTCGATTGAAACCGGTTTTTGGGGGATTTGAGACGCGACTTAAATTCATTAAATTCGGACACCGGCTTTTAAAGGAAGCTTTTCTACTTCTATTATTGCTATATAAGACCACGAACTTGTTCTTCAAAACAATGAGGTTGAATAGTTCTGGGGGCTTTCTTACAAGTTGCGATTTATATCCTAGAATGGAAGATTAAATAAAGCAAGACCTTGTCATTGTATTAAGTTTTTGTTAATTAAGAAGGCTCAGTTAGATTAAATAAATAAGTTTGAAATTTCAATGGGTTACCCAACAAGGTTGCAAAGGTAAAGGGGTTAGATAATTTGGCTCTCTGCCTAAGACTCAACTATAGCTCCTTTCTCGGCGATCAATACATAAAAAACACGATCATGAATTCTTGCAGACCAAAAAAATCAACGAGAAATACTAATGAAAATAGGTTACTATCCTGTTACTATAGATCATGATTGATGATGAGGCTAGTTGTTGAGTAAAATATTAAGGTATTTGTATTGTTTATAACTGATATAAAACTAATGCCTGTTTAGCTGTATATCACAGTATAGAGTAGTACTTCGATACAATATGTTTCGTCTAATCGTAAGTAAAAAAACAACATTAGGAGGTTCACTGTACTTTAAAGCCACTAGGTGCACAAAATTCAAATCTACAATGTGCACAAAATTCAAATCTACTAGGTGCACATAATTTAAAGCCACTAGATGCACATAATTTAAAGCCACTAGGTGCACGAAATTTAAAGTCACTAGATGCACATAATTTAAAGCCACTAAGTGCACGAAATTTAAATGAATTGCCTATATCTATTCAACATAATACCGAAAACTTTTGATTTTATAAACTTTGATTATAGTAGAATTCAAATTTTGAATTTTAGATAACTAAGGTCTATACAACATCTGGTTGCAAAGATGTAGGGATAGTAAAATTATAGTCTGTGGCTTATATATCCATTTTTGAGAATGATAAACACTTCCTATCAAAATGATCATATCGCTCGTAATGTAAAATATAATTATGTTTTGTTTTCTTGAAAACGGATTTTATTTTTATTTTAGTACAAATTTGAGGTAAAACGGTCAAGGGATTCTTAAATTATGGTGGAACAAACGAACAAATAGACAAACAAAAATGTATTTTCATTGGTTTTAATAATTCATGATTATATAAAAAAAAACTCAAATTTAGCCCCTAATGCTCTTATCTCAGTTAAAAATCTATTCTTTACATTTAATATAAAACCCATTGTTTGCTACAGTGATAACCAGAAAACTCTGAAATATAAAGACGACTTCTAGACTCAAATGTTGACTGTAAAGAGTCCGATGAGCATGGGCACAGCAATTGTGCAGTGTTAACAGACCCATTCAACTATATTTGTGACGTGTCTAGTAAAACTATTTGCTTTGTATGCAATATCAAATAAACCTAAGTATTGTAATGTCGTCTTCCTATTAAAGAATTGTCTGGTTATCACTGTTATAGCAAAACATTTGAGATAAATAACATTGAATCAGAAAAAAACGTTCTGAGCTGGGAACTTCTGAATGGTGGATATCGGGATTAATGCTTGATCTCCTCTTTTTATTAATTTCCAGATTAATCAACTGATCGGGATTAAGGTTATCCCATTCCAAAGTTCCCAGCTCTGTACTATAGAATTCACTGGTTACGCATCTCAACACTGTTGTTCTGTATTACAAACAAAATGTAAGATTTTTTATCATGTTTAGGTTGTAAGTTCTCTTCTGTGTGTAGTGCTAGGTCGACCTAATGAACCTAATGGACCAAATGTTCAGACTGAACAAGATCTTGAGGGATTTAAAGTAAGTTAACCCTGTTAAAGCGGGGGGGGGCGGGGTTGAATCTATGTATAGCCTTAGCCTTAGCCTTAGCAATTTCTTACGGAGAGCTTATTAAATTAGATCGCTAACTTTAATGGTGAGGGTGCTAGGGAGGTTTGGGTGGACTTTTTCATATTCTTTTAAAAACCATGATTGGCCTTTCGACCAATGCATCAAAAAGAAATTTGTTTGAAAAATTTGTTTAAAAATTCTATATCTTTTATGTTATGGCATTTTTGAGTGCTAAGGAACAAAAACCAGAGTGTGGGGAGGAGGGTGTGTGCGCCAAATGACCTTTTTCCAGCCTAATTAGGGTTAATAAGAACTCTAATAAAAAACATCAGACTTGAGATTGGCCTTTAATTTCATTTCTTCTCATGTTTTATTTCTTAACTATCAGTAAAAACTTATAAAATTGTTGAGAGATCTTGTCTCATTCCTTGTATGTAATTGTATGAAACTTAGGTGGGCACAACCCTGCGATACCACTGTGAATATAAATATTTTTTGTCAATTTCTCCATTTAAACTGAAACTTTAGACAAGAGCCTTAGAGCGCTTTTCTACTGCAGGAAAATATGTATGAATTATTAGAATTTAATTACAAACAAATCATTCAGATATTACAACCAATAATTATCGATAATTTTTCGACGCATTCGTATATAGTTGATATTTTATAATATTTTAATTTTTTATGATTTAAAAGTTACTTTTAAAATCATTTATTCCTGTTTCTAGGACCTCTGATAATGAAGACAACATTTTCATATTTTCCAGGAATGTTCGAAAATCCAACGCCAACAAAATATTATTTATAAAAACGAAATTAAAAATATTATGAAATATTAAATATAATCGATGACTATTGTTTATAATATTTGAACGATTTGTTTGGAATCAAATTGATTTTTTACGATCCGAGTTGAATGTTGGAACTTTCTGAATTTTTCAGTATAAGTAGTTTTTAAGAATTTTCTCCTTATAGACGCAACAGCTAGGAGTAAGATTAAAAGCGTTTATTTTTCGCCGTAAGCCTATACGCCCTTTAATTTAACAGTCCCTTTAAGTTCTTCTATTTATCAAGTATGATATTTAGAATGGCTGCAAGAATGGTAAATATTAATAATTTGAAACTTGAATGAGAAATGAAAAACTATCTATGCCATTGGATTGTGTTATCACAAACAAAATGTCACATAAACTGTCCTAAATTCCAAAAAAAAGAATAAGTAGAAAAAAATATTAATATAATTAAAATTTAAAATCAAGCATAGATATGAAAAAAACCTTAACCCCATTCCGACGTTTTTTTGTCACTGTGGCCCCCCCCCCCCATCGTTCATTTTGGGTAAACCAGACGTAATAGGGTTTATTTTCAAAATTCATTTTCAAAACATTTTGCTTTTTGGTTGAATTAAAAATGTGCCAAAAATCTATTTGAAAATCCAGGAAATTTACATCCAACTAGCTATAGGTATATTTATTTCTAATTAAATTTAAAACTTTAGATGAAGAGTTTTGATGAATTGTTTGCTTTAAACCAAGCAGCTGCAGGTCGTCTTCAAGCAGTTGCTGAACCAGCTGTACCTGCTCTAACTCCAGCTGTTGCTGACCCAGTCGCTCCAGTAGTAGCTGCTGTAACTGGAGCAGCTGTTATACCGCCAGCATTAAGGAAGGAAGGTAGATCCCTGGCTTCAGGTTGGTCAACCCAAGCCTCTACAGTTCCTGGCAGGTTTTCATACGTTGTCAACTCTGTTCATCCAGTTCCTGAGGTAGTTTATTTTATTCTCTCACCTGTGTCCCATCAACATTGTTTTTCGTGCAAATCGTTAAGATTTTTGAGACATACCAGAGAATTCAGAATATTTAATAATTTTTAAAATCAAAAAATAATTTGAATGCAAAATATATTTTTTTTGGGAGAGGCTTTTGCGTCTCGAAATAATCTAAAATTATAATAACAATATGCAACCCTCCAACCCACCAAAGTAACTCTTAATCCTAGAAAGTCAGGAAGGAAAGGGAGGGAAAACGAGCAGAGTTCTTGACACTAACTCAAATTTTCTAATCTATATATAAATTTGGCTTGTCTGTCTGTTTGTCTGTCTGTTTGTTTGTATCCAATAAACGTTAAAACGGCTGAACCGATCGGGCCCAAATTTTTTGTGGGACATCTAGGGACCCCAGGGAAGGTTTATGAATGATCAAAATTTCAAATATTTGTCTCCATCAAAATTCGATCTTCATTAAATTTTTGAAAATTTTGAAAATCCACGAAATTTTTTGTGAAAATCCGCGAATTATTTTTGTTTTGTTTTACGATGTACACAAAGAGAACATGTTCACAATTAATTTAGAAGATGGGCGCGAAGCGCCCTCTAAGGCTAGTCTATATATAAATTTAGCTTGTCTGTATCCAATAAACGTCAAAACGGCTGAACCGATCGGGCCCAAATTTTTTGTGGGACATCACGTGACCACAGGGAAGGTTTATGAATGATAAAAATTTAAAAAAATGTGTTTTAAAGGTTTTTAATTTTGTAAAAAAATTAAATTCTTGAAAATCCGCGAATTTTTTTTTTAAATTCCGCAAAATTTTTTTCTTCTTTGTTTTAAAATGTAAACAATAGAACATATTCACAATTTAAATAAAAGATGGGCGCGAAGCGCCCTAAAAGCCTAGAAAGAAGGGCGCGAAGCGCCTTGAATTTCTAGTATCTATAATTTTTTACCTGATGGAGATATCTCAAATTTAAACTATTTGATCCAGCAGAATTTATAGTTTGTAACATAGACGATTAATAACAATACAGATAGAACACTAGATGTCGTCTTTCAAAGATTTAGGGGTTTTTCGTTTACATTAACCCTGAGACAGAAGCCCAAATGAGTTTCTGTCTTGTAATTCTACGCTGCATGCGCGTAACTCCTTTGGGCTTCTGCCTCAGGTTTAATGTGAACGAAAAACCCCTAAATCTTGAAAAGACGACATCTAGTGTATTGTTTGTGATATCAAAGGTCTACGACTCCGGGTTGCAAAGATATAGTACCAAAAAAATCAGAGTGTGTGGCAAAAACTTAATTCCTTTACTTGTATTATTAAATTTTCCCTCTTATGTAAAATTTAAAATTCAAACAGACACATATAGAAATATGCTTGAAATTATAAGATAATTAGCTCTTAACTTTCCAATCAACTTAGTTACTAAATCTTTAATTAAGTGTTAAGTTCTTTAATTAGATAGATAATTGAATAATTGATTTCCCAGGAGAAGCCAGTACAACCTAATTACAATCAAGAACCAGTGGAAGAGGTATATTAAAGGGACTGTACACGTAATTTTAAGCAACTCATTTTAATCGCTTATTAGGCGACTTTCAGTCGTCAAAAATGAATTCATTTCTAATGATTTAAAATCGTTTAAAATGCAGTTAATAATCGGTTAGTAAATGAATTTTAGACCTTAATTTCACATTTTGAGTTTTAGACGATTTAAGATGCAAATTAGGCGACTTTTAGTCGTCTATAATGAAGTTTTTTTCACTTCAAAAATAACAATTTAAAATGCAACTAAAAATCGTTTATTAAGCGACTTTTGTTCTTAATTTCACTTTTTTGGGTTTTTAATTAAGAGTGCAATATTGCTAACAAAAGGGGGGTTTAACAGTGCACCAGTAGTTAAATCAAAGGCCCTGCCCTGGTAAAGGGTAACGAACCATTTTAAAGTTAACAAAAAACATTGTTTCTATGAAGGTTTAGAGAGAAATGTTTAAAACATACAGGGTAAACCACAAAGGAAAGCACTGTAAAGACGATCTGAATTTCTTAAAATATGACGAATTCAAGGTTGATTTAAGTTGCAGGGAATTATGAATATAAGGACACAAGTGGTATAAATTCCGTACAGTCGTCTCTGAAGTCTTATTCATTGTGGGTAACCCGATAAAAAAAACTTGAAACTTGAAATTACAGAAACTAAATATATTATATTCTAGTTTGATCCATTTATATCTGTGAAATCAAACAACAACGTTGAATATCCTCTTTCTACTGTTGGGTAAATATTATTCTATAACTTAATAATCTTGTCGACAAATGTACATAACAAACTTTGTAATTTTTTGGAGTTTTTTTTAACCTGTTAAACGATGCGATTAAATGAAACCTTACATTAAGGCGATACATCAAGATTAACAGGGCATTCACATTTTAGTCGTAAATTATGATATATCGCAAAATGAATAAATGTTGCTGTTGAATTTAAAACATTTTTAATTATTTGATTCACATTATTGCATTTTTTTAACCTGTTAAACAACGCGATAAAATGAAACATTGCATGATGGCTAAACAACCTTTTATAAATTGTCAAGATTAACAGACATTCATATTTTAGTTGTAAATTATGATATATCGCAAACTTTCATCAAAAGAATGTTGCTGTTGAATTTAAAACATTTTTACTTATTTGATTCACAATTTTGCATCTTGTTATATCAAGAATAACAGATAGTTGAAGTTGAAAAACATTGTGTATGAAAGTGTTTAGCATACAAATTTTGGATTTTATTACTTTCATTTTCACTTTAAATAAGATTCAAAATATTTTCAGTTTATTGTTACATTTTGGTTTAGAGCCTCTAGTCTTTTTAGGGTTAATATTCCGATGTTTTTAGCACCACTTTGGAAATATTGACTGATATGATTTAACTTCAGTCTTATTTTTGCTCCTCAATTTAAACATTGGTTATTGCAAAGCTTTAAATATGAAGACGGCTTATAAGAATACCATCAAAATATAACACTCATATATAATAATAGGACTTAGTGTTTTAAAGAAAAACAATTTATAATTTTGTTTTAGATTTAGATTGAGAGGAAACTTTGGATATTATGGATACTCTCAATACTCTGGATACAATGGATACCCTGGAAGCCCTGGATACTCTAGATACTATGGATATCCTGAATTCACTGGATTCCGTGGATACCCCGGATACACTGGATACCCTGGATTTGGTGCAATTCGTTGGTAAAACTGCGAAACTGTCATAGAATAATCTGCACAACTCTACCACTGTACATGGTTCAACCCTACCCATGCAAACAACATCACATGGTACAAACCTAACCATGTACATGATACAAACCAATCAACCCTGCCTTATTCATGCAAATCTGCTTGTAATGCAATAAAACATTATTATGAAAATCAATTTTTAGATCTTGAAATATATCTATATATCTATACATATAATAAAGCTCTTCGCTCATGCAAAGCTATAGCTGGTCAAACGGCTGGACCCAGTTGGCTGAATTTTTTTAGGAAATCGAATTTTATCCTCGAAATTCAATTTGTTTTAATAACGAGCACGTCAGCTATAAAAATTTTTAAAGAAAGTGTTTAAAAAAAAGATTGTACGTTGAAACAAAATGAATCAAAGAAATGCATTTCACAATTTTTTATAAAAATTTCTAATCCTTTTATCTGTACAATCTGTTGTCGTTATTGGCATTAGATATTTGAAGCTATGAATTCAGAAATTTGAAATATTTAAAACATAAATTTTCCTAAAATATCTTCTCATATCCTAATATTATAAGCATAAAGTGATGGTACATAACTGTATGGTTCGCTTATCGATAATTTAAAAAAAAAACTTTCAACATTTCAAAACTTAAAGTTTATTTTTCATAACTTTGCAATATTTTTATCCTTAGAGATAATAATAGAAAAAAACGAACCAAAATAACGATAGTTTTTTTTTCTTCGTTCTTTTGGGGTAAAAGGAATTGAGTCTTTGTCACAAACTCTGATTTTCCAATCCCTATATCTGTGCAACCCATTGTCGTAGAGCTTAAATATTTCAAACAATGAATACTGATAGATCAAATATTATTATAGTTTGAAATATCAAAGATTTACACTAGCAGGTTGTACAGAAATAGGAATTAGAAAATTTGAGTTTGGGTAAAGACTCAATTTCTTTGGCACGTTGTAAGTAAAGCAAATGTTTAGAAGAAACAAAAGAAAATTTGTAAAACTTCTGAAATTCTCTGGAACCTTTTAAAAGTTCAAAATCCCTTAAAAACAAATGTATTATTATAACTATAAAGGATTTAAAGGTTTAAATTGTAATAATAAGTTTATGCATATGAAAACTTATAAATCATAATTATTATTATAATATTTTATTCATGATCCGGTTTCAGTTACGGTTTTTGGCTTTATCAGCCGGAAGTGAAGTTTTGATAACTTGACAAAACCTGTATTGAAATGATAATAGACATGTAACAGTTGGCGTGCCTTTCTCTTGGAAAATGCTAATTTTTCAAAAACAGTGATGTCTTTTCCAAATAAATAGTTTCATATGTTTGTTTTCACAATAAATTTTGTAAGCCCAGAGGCCGAATTTAAAGAATTTGAGCCGCTACTTAACCCTATTTATCCTGGCGGGGAAGGGGGGGCCTATAGCTTTCTTTCGATAACTCAAAAAGTATTTGAGCTAGGAATTTTCTGACCTTTCTAACTAACACATGTCCATCACTTTAGGCTAAAAGCTGGGCATTTATATCTACTGCCTTGAGTCCTCAGGCATACTGCCTAAATGCCTTATTTTACCTATACCAGTCTTCTCAGTTTTTTTCAATAAACATTAAGGTTTTCCAAAAACGTATCAAATTTGTATCACAATAAGAAAATAGAGGGGAGAGAACCAGTTCTGAAACCAGACGTTAGGATAATTATGGCTAAATTTGAGTCGTGGCTCAAATAAGGTTGGTTCCACATAAATTGTGCTCAATGTTTGAAGATTTAAGCCGGCGCTCAATTTGAGACCGGCTCAAATTCATTAAACTCGGACTCTGAGGTGAAATAAAGAAACAATTATTTCTTTCTACGGGAAGTCAGGCTTAATTTTTGGTGATCCTTCAATTTGAAATTTCTAAATCGTTTATCTTTTTTTACAGCTATCGGAAAATTTCCAAAGGCCTTTATGGAATCAAATTGAATGTGAAAAAAATGTGAACCCTATGTCTAGATCTCTCTGATCAGTTGTTCAGAATATAATATTTGTGTGAATTATTACTGAATCAACATAAACATAACATTGCTTTCAGACAGATGAAAACATGGAAGAATTTATTATCTTCTCTTTTTTGTTGGCTTTCAGGTACGTGCATATGCATTTTCATTCTTTCCATGTAAGTAACAAAATTGCAGTTAAGATAGTGGACCCCTCCCCTCCATGAAAAAAGTCAATGGTTAAGGTGCTTAAGGGGTAATTGCTATGAGGATCTTAAAAAATATATAACGGTATTTTTTTCGAAATTTTTCGTTTGTGAACAATAAAACATTACAGAAACTAATAAAAAATATGAATACTTATGATATGAGTTTTTTAATTTCATTTTGTCAACCTGTTCCTAAATAAAAAATTATTTAACTGCAGTAGAATGTGTGTTGCAGTTTTTGTCTGGGTTATTAAATAATCGTAAAAAAAAACGTTTCTTCTGCAGAATTCCTTCTGATGAAATTTTACAATTTAATTTACTTAGAAATTATGCAGTATAAAAACGTTTCATTGTTATCAAATGAACACTACAACTTTTCTCTATAATACTGCACTTTCGGTTTAAATAAGTTACATAGCCGGTCTCTCCCTTTGAGGGAATATTTCGAATGATTTTAGCACAAGGTTTTAAGAATTTAAGTGTTTTTAAAGAAATAAGGAAAGAAATTAGAAACCTTTATTTTTTTGGAATTATTAGAAATACATCAGTGTATAGGCATAGAGTGTTTTTTTTTTCATTGACACTGCATGCTTACCATGTAAAAACTGAAAATGTCTAAACCCTTATAAAAATAATGTTCTATAGATTTCCTGGTTTTAGATAATGTAAAGAAAAGTTTGAATTGATATGGTCTGTAATGCAGAAATTGGAAATTTCAAGATTGAAAATAAATAGAGCGAAGAAACATCAATATTTCTATATTATTAGAAAAAGATATCTTAACATATTGAAATATTATTCATTGAAACCAAAAAATATCATAAAGGATTCACTTCAGCGTATGCAAGTTTTTAGACTTCCTAAAATCAATTATTGATTTCACTCTTTTAACAATAACTATTCTTTAGATACTGCATTGCAGAATTGAATTTATGGTTTATAGCCACAGAACAGAGAATATGAATAAAAAGGAATTTAAACAATCCCTCGGTATGAATTTTGTCAGTCTCTTTCAGCCTGAATGGGAGTTCAAAGTGTACAATTCATGTAAATGTTCACAAATTATACAAAGTACATCACACTAATACAGTTTGATCCAGAGATAAGAGAGTTACAGAGATCGATTATCAGCTAAAATATGCGATATTTTCCACAGCATGTTCTATTGTGTACAAGTACTGTACACGACCAATCAGGAGACATCTGTATTCAGGGATATTTAAGGATCCTTTGAACACGAAACACAAAATCTTTAAAAAAAGACTGAATTCATAAATGTTATGTTTCATGTTTAAAATTGGAGTATTTCTTTAAAAGTTGTAAAAGTTAACCCCTGAATGGGTATTATGTTCAACAAGTGGCGTGAGATGGCACTCTAAAAATCTATCGTAAAAACGTAGCATGTCGTGCCGGGTCAACTTAGGCCTATGTAGCCCACCCTGTGAAAGGAGTTAAGCAGTCTGTGTAGTCTGTGGTATATGACCCGTGAACATATCCGTTACAGTTTCTTTGTTTTATGAAATTGTTAAATAACTTTTAACGTGTGTATAAGCTATGGGTGAATTAAAACCATTAGTTTATTGAACATAAAATGCAAAAGTCTTCGTTTGTAAAGTGAATACCTGCAGAAATGTTAATCTTTTTTGCTTCAGACTCTAATTTGTATACTGCAATTAATATCTTGTTTTTTAATCAATTTTCCTATTTTAAATAAATGAGCGTTTAGGGCGCAAATTGTAGAGTAATGGATATCCAAAAACTTAAAAATCATATATTTTTGGTTAATCTTGCAAGCTAATCTATTTTCATTAATATTTATAAGAAAAAGTTTAATTAAAGGAAATCGTTTTTTAATCATTATATATCGTTGCTTGTAGACCTTTGGTATTTCGAACATTGAATTCTGATAGGTGAACATTATCTCTTTGTATGCATTGTAAAACAAAAACAAAACAGAAAGTAATGAGGGTTTCCATTTTCGACAATAAATATTTTTCTCAAAATTTGGATGATTTTCGTAAATCAATGCAGAATACATGCAAGCTGTCCCAAAAAGCAAAACAATTAGAAGACGGCTCTGACAATAAATTTGGATGATTTTTGTAAATCAATGCAGAACACATAATGGCTGTCCCAAAAAGCAAAACAATTAGAAGACGACTCTAGAAAGGGGATACTCAGATATCGAGCTAGGTTGAACCAGTGATGAAAAAAATTTCAGAATTAAAAATATCAAAATATTTTTTTTTCAAAATCACATAATGATTCATATATTTTTATATATGAATCATTAAAATTTCAAAAATTAGCCTCCAGCAAAATTCGAATGTCAATCAATTTTAAACATCCACGATTTATTTTTATAAAATCTGCAAAATTTTGTTTTGTTTTTGTTTCAAAATTTACATATACGAAGAGGAAATGTTCACAATTGAAAAAGGAGGGTAACCGCCAAAAAAGTCCTTGGAAAAAAAGTTTCCGGGAAAAAATCCTAAAATTTCACACTAAAAAAAGTCCTGTGGAAAAAAGTCCTTTTATTAAAAAGTCTCCGGAAATAAAGTCCTACCAATTTGAGACTTTATTTTCTAGGACTTTTTTTCTGGCTCCAGTATGATTTTATACAAAAAAAGTCCTCGAAAAAAAGTCCTCTAACAAGTGAAAATGCATGATTTACAATGAAAAAAGTCCTTTTTTTCTAGGTTTTTCTTTTTCTCGGATTTATTTTCTTCCGGACTTTTTTTTCCTGAGATCTTATTTCATGAGACTTTATTGGCAGCCCCCATACTATTTTAGGAAAAAAAGTCCCTGGAATCCAAAACACAGGACTTTATTTGCAGTGACATTTTTTCCAAGGACTTGAGAAAATTCGGACTTTTTTTCCAAAGTTTTTATTTCCAGGTTTTTTTCCAGAAACTTTTTTCCCGGGACTTTCTTACATAGATTTAAAAATGAGATGGGTGCGAAGCGCCCTCTAGTATATATATTTCATATCTTTTGCGACCTCATATATATTTCACATCTAAAGTAACTAAAAACTTGTCAAAACTTCGAATTTTCTAAGACTTTTCTTTTTAACCTTATATTTACATTTCCACATTACGAATTCTGTTTGAAAAATCAAGATTTGAAATATCAAAGATATCACTGTCGTCAGCTTGAAAATGAATTATCGTGGTATCTAATGTACCTTTAAGCTAGATTTATTATGGTTAAATTGATGTTGGTAATGTTTTATAAGAATTCCCTCTGAAGTCAGAACTCAAAACCAATTCTTTTCTGAAATTCTTTTTTTACTTTTTCACTTTTCAGTAGATCAAAAAGATTATCAAGTACAATAGGTGGCAACAGAGAAATAGATTATCAAGTACAATAGGTGGCAACAGAGAAATAGATTATCAAGTACAATAGGTGGCAACAGAGAATTATACACGACGTCACTGCAAGTGTCAAATATAACAAGGAAAACGAAATGTTTTCATATTGGTTGACATATATGCCAAGATTAAATAAAAAGGTGTAAAAACAGAAAATAAAGAACACATAAAATTTAACTCATTTTGCTGTAAGATAAGCACTTTATTCTAAAATTATCACTATTATTAATACTTTTGTCGGACACAAAAACTAAGTTGACAGCTATAACGTAAGAATACAGTAGAATACAAATTCTACATTGTCACCTATTGTACAGAATCTAATTTAAGTAGATCAGTGGAAGGGGTCGGTCAGTACAGAAAATGCTGTAAAGACGGACAAGCATTGAACTCTAACAGGTAGAAATTGATAAGTTTTTTTTATAATCATAGTAAATCAAAATTATTTTTGTGACAGTTAATCCTTTAGGCAGTGCACGTCAGAGGGGACTGGTCCAAGCTCAATTCTTGATTTAGGAAAACAGAAAATAACAGTTCTAAGAAAAGTCAGTTAGACAACGGAAATTCCACTCTATAAATACAAATATACTTGGAACTCCGTCTACACTCTACAGTCCATTTTAATGAAAAAAAGTTAAATAAACAGGGTGTCCCAAAAAAGAAACTTTGTAGTATTGAGTACTAAGGGAAAAATTGTCGTAACGCGTTATTAGAATTAGCTCTATATTTCAGTTCTTTCTCTTTCAACTAATGTCTTATTAGAGAACACAAGGTTTCAGAGGTATTGTTTTATAGGTATAAACATAAACATGTTTCTGTTAGAAGCCCACAACAACATTTTTGGCCTATTTTATTTTGAAAGAAACCAAAGACTTAAATCTTAATGATTAAAAGCATGTTTAAAAAAATAGGAAATCTTTTAATTTTTTCATACTTTATACTCAAAATTCAACTACAAAAAAGTGGATTTGATTTTGATAAAAATTTGTGTTTACTCCAAATAGACACTAAAGTCGATGTCTTATTTTTGGCATGAAAAAAAAACATGATTAGAAAAGTACAACAAACACAAAACTAATATTTATTATAATTATTATTATTTCGTTGTCTGTATTCTTTTTCTGTTCTCCTAGAAGAAAGATATCAGCCAGATTTTGAATTGGTAAATATTTTTTAATTGCTAACAATTATTAAAAAATAAATTTTTAATGCAGGCTATATCGGAATTAAATGACGTAAGTAAGCATGGAGCTGGAAACTTTTGTGTTAAATATTCGGCTCAAATGATGTTTTTTAACCACCTAACTAGTTTTATAAAGTTTATTTAACAGCTTTGAAAAATTCGAAATTGAAATGGGATCATACTGTATTAATGTACTCTACTGCATATAATTTGTGAACATTTACATGATTTGTACACTTTGAACTCCCTTTCATGCTGAAAGGGAATGACAAAATTCATACCGAGGGATTATCTAAATTCCACTCTAATATATATTCTATTCTCTTTGTGTAAAGCGCATCGATTAATAACAAAACATATAGAAAACTAGATGTCGTATTTTCAAGATTTATCACCCTAGAGCCAGAAACTTGCAAGGAATTAAAGGCATGCTGCGTTGAATTAAACGACAGAGAGCGATCCTGTTCTACGCCTCATGCGCGTAATTTCTTTGGGCCTCAGGGTAATGTGGTTTTTGAACGAAAAACACCTAAATCTTGTAAAGACGACACTGGTGTTCTATGTGTGTTGTTATATTAATCTATGGTTACGCTTCTATGAGGGAAAATTATTGGAAACGCTAAATACTCCAGTCTCCCAGAGCGTAGAGCTCATGCAAATCCACGAAGCACTATTATTCCACACAAACCGTAAATAATTCAATAACAAATAAAACTATGAACTCGTAAATATTCCGGATTTGGTTTGGGTAATACTTATATAATACTAGTGTAATTTTTGAAAATATTTATTCCAGAAATTTCGGAATAGGAACCAAGACGACATTCTCATATTTGCTAAAAATTCAGCTCCAACCGTAAAAGCAAGTTTGCAACGAAGACTAAAATAAAAAATGACATGTCAATTTATTTACTTAAATGTTGAGAGGAATAGTTTAAAATATAATTGTAGTATTTTCAAAAATCCAAAACCGTCAAATAAATTATAAATAGTTTTCAAATTATATGATTTTATTACACACATTTTATTCTAAGATTGGAGTTGGATTTCCTGATTGTTCTTATACAGAAGCTTTCCAATTCAATATAAGGAAGAATTAAGCACCCATTAAAGGGATTGTAAACTTAGTTTCAAGTGACCCTCCATTTGTGGCATGTCTGACTGAAAACATACAGTCCCCCGTAAAAAAAACTTTTTTGATCAATCTATTTATAAATTTGGCTTGTCTGTCTGTTTGTTTGTCTGTTTGTTTGTTTGTTTGTATCCAATCAACGTCAAAACGGCTGAACCGATCGGGCCCAAATTTTTTGTGTGACATCTAGATACCCCAGGGAAGGTTAATGAATGATCAAAATTTCAAATATTTGTCTCCATCAAAATTCGATCTTCATTAAATTTTGAAAATTTTGAAAATCCACGAATTTTTTTGTGAAAATCCGCGAATTATTTTTGTTTTGTTTTACGATGTACACAAAGAGAACATGTTCACAATTAATTTAGAAGATGGGCGCGAAGCGCCCTCTAAGGCTAGTACTGGATAAACAATCCATTATTGTTTCTTTGAAGCTTGATTATTTTCAACAAATTTACGTAGACACATTAATATGTTGATAGGGTGAAGGTTTATAGACTTACCTAAAGCTTTTTACGAAATTTCGCGAAAATAAATAAAGTGAAAAAATGCAAAAACGATGCTAAATTTTGCGAGACATTTATTCGCGAACACGCAAAATGAAAAAATTTTGCGAAAATATTTTCGCAGAAAAAGTATTCCGAGAAAGTCTTAAGTTTGTAGCTGCAACAATTAATTGTGGAAGTCTGTTCTCTGAGAGCTCAACATTTGAAGTTTTATTATATCATATGAATATTTTCTCTTCCTTTACTTTTATAAATGTTTGATGAAGAGAATTTGATATCTCTAGCTATCTTTCTGAGTTTCTGTCCGTCCGCGTACGTTCACCCAAATCCAGCTAGTCATGAGCCAGCCAATTACAAGAAAGAAACTTTTAAATGGACCGTATTTTTCGTGTGTTTTTTTTTGCATAATTTCCCTTTTTTTTTTTGGAAATTTCCGCATTATTTTTTCGTGAAAGTTTTACATTATTTTTTTTTTCGCGAAACAGATTGAAACAAAATTTCGACAAAAAGCGAAAATTCTCACCATTTTTGCAAGCGAACGAAATGGAAGATTATTTGAAATTACGTAGTCTAAGTAAAAGTTTCCTTAGAAATTTTACTTTTCAATATTATTTCAAATTATACATCGGCATAAATTAAAAAATCATCATGATTTTTGACAAAAAATCCACTAAGAAAAGGCTTTAAATACGTTTAGAAACATAGCAATAAGGTTGTCAGCAACCGTTTTTCTTAACATCTCATTGTTAATAATTTTGTGGGTTTTATTCTTGTTTAGTTCAAAATTTACCATCTGGACAGATCAAGGTAAATAAACTTAACAGATTAAGGTAAATAAACTGAACAGATCAAGGTAAATAACTGGACAGATCAAGGTAAATAAACTGAACAGATCAAGGTAAATAAACTGAACAGATCAAGGTAAAAAAACTGGACAGATCAAGGTAAATAAACTGAACAGATCAAGGTAAATAAACTGGACAGATCAAGGTAAATAAACTGAACAGATCAAGGTAAATAAACTGAACAGATCAAGGTAAATAAGCTGAACAGAGCAAGTTAAATAAGCTGAACAGAGCAAGTTAAATAAACTGGACAGATTAAGGTGAATAAACTGAACAGATCAAGGTAAATAAACTGAACAGATCAAGGTAAATAAACTGAACAGATCAAGGTAAATAAACTGAACAGATCAAGGTAAATAAACTGAACAGATCAAGGTAAATAAACTGAACAGATCAAGGTAAATCAACTGAAATCAAACTATTACTGTTTAATCAATACATCTTTGCAACCTTATGGTGTAAACCTGCTATATTTCAAACTTTGGTATTTAAAGGGAGTGTTCGCGAAAAATGAAAGGGGGTATATACTTAATGCGATAAAAAGCGCTTTTGATCGCTACTAATCTTACTTCTATCTGTTGCGTCTATAAGGAGAAAATTGTTAAAGACGTCTCATACCGAAGAACGTAGCGTCCATACAAATTGAGAAAATTGCAACATACGACTTAGTCCGTAAAAAAATCAATTTCATTTCAAACAAATCAATCAGATATTACAACCTATAGTCATCGATTACTTTTGGCCGCATTTGTATATAGTTTATATTTTATTAAGTTAAAAAATTAGAGTTTTTTTTCAAAAACGTCACAATTCCCATCAATGCCAACGTTGTTCATTATACATTTTTTACCTTTTTTAATTAGCTAATGCGAGATTTCTTTTTTTTCATTTAAAGACGTTTCTGGTTGTTTTTTTAGAATCTTAGAAGTCCTTCATGTTTAATTATAGATTTGCCAAGCTTCTCTTATAATTTTAGGGTTACAGCTAGCAAAATACTCAAAAATATTTCAAGCTTCGGAGTACTGTTTGGATTTCTTTGAAGACCAGGTTTTAGATTAAAGATTTTTATCAAAAATATTACTAAATATATTACTAATATTACTAAATATATCACTAGTATTACTAAATATATTACTAATATTACTAAATATATTACTAATATTACTAAATATATTACTAATATTACTAAATATATTACTAATATTACTAAATANTGAAACAATATTTTTGCTCTAACATTGTAGGGGTTTTGGAATTAACCAATTTAGACTTTTAGTATTTGGCCAATAACAAATTTTTTTATCATTCATAAACCTTCCCTGTGGTCACGTGATGTCCCACAAAAAATTTGGGCCCGATCGGTTCAGCCGTTTTGACGTTTATTGGATACAAACAAACAGACAGACAGACAAACAGACAGACAAACCAAAATTTATATACTTAAGTGCATTTGATATTGATCCAAAGCAAATAAATTTACTTGATACGCATAGAATCATTAATTTAGTGAAATGAGTGTACTTAAACTGCACTTTTGATGTGTCTCACTCTCTTTTTTATAAGACTATCTTCTATATAATAAAACAAGACATTCGTAGATATTTCCATTACAGCCGGCCAAACGGCTGGACCGAATGGGCTGACATTTTTTGTGGATATTCATGTGTAGCCTGGGGGTGACATAGACTAATAAAATCCCATTTTTTATTCAAATTTTTTCTTTTTCCACAGGCAACGCCGGACCATTCAGCTAGTATAAAGTAACAATTATAATAAGAATAAATACTTAAGTAGTCTTCCTATTTCAGAGTTTTCTGGTTATCACTGATGTACGTATCTAGATTTTTCGTAAAACTGTGGAATAGGAAATAAGCTGTCGGACTTTAAGGGTCTTTAAGCGTAATTTTGCGAACACTCCCTTTAAGCGCAATTTCAAGTGACATTACATTATGAGAGGGTTATAAGCGATTCACAACGAAACGCTGCTAGAAGTTGTAGTATGGTTTCCAACGTAATAGATTATTCTCTTACGCGTTATTACGTGAAGTTACGCGTAATGATTTTCATTTCGTGTAATTTCGCAGGATTACGCATAATTGGGGAAATATCCATTTCGCGAAATTACGGCGTAATTACGGCGTAATTTCGCGTAATTTGGCGTAATTTATCCAACGTAATTTCGCAAAATTTCGTAATGATTACGTGTAATAGGCGAAACTATAATTACGGCATAATTTCGCGTAATTTCTATGAGGTAATTTTGCGAAATTTTGTATTAATTACGCGTAATTAGCGAAATTTTGCAATAATTACATCTATGAAATATCGAAGTTTTAACTTTTGATTTAAATAAAACAACTAACTTACAAGGAATATAATGTCACACAAGTTGAATCAGAAATTTCAGCCAATACTATGTTGATGTAATTTTCACGTTCGACAACTAAAAAGTTTAACAAAGGGCCAACAATTTATTTTATCAAAAAATACGTAATCTATAAATTTTCAATTTTCGACGACTTGTTAATATTTCAACCTACTTTCTCAAGTTTACCTTCCTTGTTTGAAGAAAATGTCAATAAAATCGTCAAAATATGTTTGACATGGTTGTAGCGGGCATATCCTTACACACACTTTCCCGCTATAATTATTTCTGAGAATTAATATGTACTTTATCTATTACGGAATTGTTTTGTATTACGCAATTTCGCGTAATTACGCATTAATTACGCGAAACTAGACTTTCTTTCGTAAACGTAATAAACGCGTAATTACGCGTGATGCTCCTGCGTAAGTGATAGAAAGTGTTACGCGTAATTACGCAACGTAATTACGACTGGAAACCCTGTTGTAGATCAAATATAAATATTCACATTCAGATTTTTAAAAACCGCGTTGTACATACAGGGTGTCCCAATAAACATGGGAATTAAGTGACGAATTCGATATCGTCTTTTCAAATAATTCTTTGATTTAGTATAGTGATACCTACTGAGAAAGCTGAAATCTGTAAGAGTTTCGTCTGCTATGTTCACATTTTGTTTGTTTATGTTTTGACTGCATAGGGGTGTACTTAGTAATGCAAGAAAATTACAGTAAACAGAGTAAACTTGTCCGTCTTCACTGTTCATCTTGCGGAAACATTATAGACACATCTTTGCAGTCTTTTACCCTTTTCATAAAATAAACTCTAGCAGACATAATAATATTATGGCTTTTGAAATTAGGTATTACACTGCTAATTCAAAACTAAGACGACAACCCGATTCGTCACTGAATTCCCATGTTTTTTGGGACACCCTGTACATAAAACTATTTTGGGTTTTCCAGGAAAAAATGCGATGTCATCCATGTCAAGTACATTCTCATTTTCTGGTCTTTTACACGGCGTGTAAGAGATAAAAACAATAAAATCTCTGTCCTCAATAATCATTCAGAGGTTTAAAAGGTACAGTTGTGAATCAGGATCTTCCTCGTTATAATGGATGATTTCTATGATTTCTAAACACCACAATGCATGTCTAAGTTTTTTATGCTTATAGCGCGTTTTTTTATTTGTTTCTAAAGGATTTTGGACATTGAAAAGGTTTCAAAAATACGATGCGTTTTAACAATTTCAAAATTGTGTATTCTTAATATTTGCCTTTCTCACACGTTGCCAAATTTGGACGGTGAGAGAGAATATATGTAACAAACCAAAAACAAATTAAAAACGTTACAAAAATTATTTTTTTTGAATCACTTTTTTTTCGGTTTGTTTTTCCTTAATAATTTCTCTTAAATTAAAAATATTGCAAAGTTTAGTAAAAGAAAACTTTCACCAAATACAGCTAATTGAAATTTTGAAAGTTTTATAAAAAGTTTTTAAAAATTAACCATGCATATCTTCTTGAATTGAAGGATAAGATTAAAAACACACAAAATTTTCTCCAAATGTATTGTATGACCCCTATTTCATTGAATGATGGGTTGTCCTTTAGTAATAATAATAATAATATGATAGCGGAGCGTTCTCTCTCAAAAATGGTGATTAAGTTATTAGCTTGAAATTTACTCAGTGAATTTCATTTTAAGTCATGGGCTTTGATGACAGATGACTAGGGATAGATCGTTTCCATTTTTTTAATTGATAGTTTCGTTTAAAAAATGGCGAAGAAAAACGATAAACGAAGCTATCGTTTTTTTTGAAGAAAATTATTTTTAATAAAGGATTGTTTTCAAAAACGATAGTTTTTCGTTTAAAAAAAAAGATTGTTCACCGTTTTTTAAAACGATTGTTTTTTTTCTAAAAACGTAACGATAGTTAAAAAAGACGAAACGAAACGATTGTTTTTTGATCGTTAAAAAACGATAAACAACCCTACGGATGACATCGTTTAGCAGTATTTGTCTGAACATGCAGAAAACTTGGTAAAACAATATTGTTTTCAGAAATCATCAAATGATTTGACAAATCATTTGTTGATTTCTGAAAATAAAAGTACTTGCTAAAAAATATGGAAAAAATGCAACAAATCTTGAGTGGTATTGAGTTCTACAATAACTTGGTAGGCGATGTATATATAATACTAGGCTATTAGGGCGCTTCGTGCCTATCTTCTAGTTCAATTGTGAACATGTTCTCTTTGTAAACATTGCAAAACAAAAACAAACTAAAGAAATTCGTAGATTTTTAAAACTTTCCAAAAATCGAATTTTTAAGAAGAAAATTTTTGAAAATTCGATCATCCGTAAATCTTTTCTAGGGTCACGCGAGGTCCCACAAAAAAATTACGCCCGATCGGTTGGGGCGTTTTGACGTTTATTGGATACAAGCAAACAAACAGACACCCAGCCAGACAGACAAGCAAAGTATTTATAAAGATATAACTTTAAAAACATGAATAAAAATTCCATTCTCGAAGTTCAAAAAAAAAGCGATATAATTCAACCCTGTTTTAATGTAGAATAAATTCAAAAAAAGAGAAAAGGAATTGAGTCCTTAATTTCCTAAAGAACGACTTTTGCATTTTTTAATAAAAAATAAATGATAATAATTTTGCTGATAAATAAGTGGTCATGTACAAAATTAATAGAAGGGGGGGAGAGGGGCCGGGAGGGGGGTCCAAAAATCGTTCTCTAGGACAGACCCATTGAGTCTTTGCCACAAACTAAAATGTTATAATCCTTATATTTTTGCAACCTGTTTGTGTAAACCTTTGAAATTTCAAACTTTGATTATTTGATCTAATATAATTTACAGTTTGACATATCTTAGGTCTACAACATTGGGTATTAAGATATTAAGATTAGAAAATCAAAGTTTGTGGCAAAGACTCAATTCTTTGTATGGGTTCTTAAAACAGACAGGGGGCATGCTTTGTTAAACTGTAAAAAAACAAGCAATGAATGAATTGGATCGTTGAGAGAAATTAATAAACGAAAAATTAGAAATCGTTGACGAACTTTTGCATTTTATGTATCAGGCAGTTAATGAATAATTTAAAAAACGATATTTTTACCACGATCAAACGAAATTTTGAAAAACTTATTGTTTTATTGAATTCGAACTTGGAAAACTATCGTTTATCAACTTAATGAACAATTTTTTCTTAATGAATTTTTATTGTAAAACAATTTTTTAAAATGAATTTCTTTTGTTAAAAAAATAAAAAGTTGATTCAGTTTGAATATGAAGATTTATTTACAAAGATATCACATACTAATGGTGTAGTTTAGATTTGTTTAAATATTTCGAATATATAGTTTTACATTTTTTTTTATTTTGCAAAAAAGCGACATTGATCATAACATAACATATTTACAATTTCAGTAATTGCGTTTCTTTCGAATCATTCAAATTCCATTCTTGTATCAAATAGTTCTTGTATAATAGAAAAATTCCCATACTATAGAAAAATTAGCCTCATGATGAGAAAAGGTTGGATTTATTTAAATAACAAACTTTCGATGCATGCTCCAATAGGACATCAACATACTTTGGTTTTATAAAAAAATCTTAACATCTTCCGAAAATTCAAAAATGCACTGAGCAGAGCTACCCGAGTATGACTATGAGTATGATGAAGAAGAAAGCACAGTCTCAACTCAAGATATAACTATTCCATCCAGACTATCAAGAGATGTGACTAAAGAGTCAATGAATACAAGGTCCTTTATACTTTAATTTTACAAACATATTTTTGCTAAAAAACAATTTCCAAAGTAAACCATAATTTTTTTTTTATAATTTATCATTCTAGAGAGTATGATATCCTACCCTTTATGAATGACAGACCACTTCCAGAGGATTATGAACAAATTCAAAAGGGAACGGATTTTATGAATTCCTAAAAGCGGTGAACTTTGTAGAGATGGTTCAAATATGCATCTCTTTTCACTGGTTCAACCTAAAGTTTTTAAATTTTAAACTATCCTAGTGACTGAAACCGGAATCTGTTTTACACAATAAAGATTGATGATACCGATATTTGAGGTGCTCTATTTGTATTTTTGAGGTGCTCTATTTTCTTTTGTAATCTTTGAAAAATTTGCCTGCTGACTCGCTGATTCAAGATTCTAACCAGTTAACTAGTATGCGCTTGAAAATTAGTTGAACTGGTGGTATGTAGTTCACCGACCTGTAAAGTAGTTGAACTGGTGGTAGGTAGTTCACCGACCTGTAAAGTAGTTGAACTGGTGGTAGGTAGTTCACCGACCTGTAAAGTAGTTGAACTGGTGGTATGTAGTTCACCGACCTGTAAAGTAGTTGAACTGGTAGTAGGTAGTTCACCGACCTGTAAAGTAGTTGAACTGGTAGTATTTAGTTCACCGACCTGTAAAGTAGTTGAACTGGTGGTAGGTAGTTCACCGACCTGTACAGTAGTTGAACTGGTGGTAGGTAGTTCACCGAACTGTAAAGTAGTTGAACTGGTGGTAGATAGTTCACCGACCTGTAAAGTAGTTGAACTGGTGGTATGTAGTTCACAGACCTGTAAAGTAGTTGAACTGGTGGTATGTAGTTCACCGACCTGTAAAGTAGTTGAACTGGTGGTAGGTAGTTCACCGACCTGTAAAGTAGTTGAACTGGTGGTACAGGTAGTTCACCGACCTGTAAAGTAGTTGAACTGGTGGTACGTAGTTCACCGACCTGTAAAGTAGTTGAACTGGTGGTAGGTAGTTCACCGACCTCTCTCCAAATCATATAATTCTGTCCTAGGAGAACCAAACCAAAGATATTTGTAAACCAATACTACAAGCTCAAAGTGACACCAGCATGTTGAAAATTTTTCAAAATGTAAGTAAAAAAGTTGTTAAGCTCCTTCATAATTTTTATTTATTTTGCCTGTTTTTCTTTTCTGAAAAGTTTAAAGAACTGTCAAGAAGTTTGAAAAAAAATAGTTCGTAAAACAGAGATTTTTTCAACCATTTTATTAAATCATATTATGAAAACAATTGATTTGCGCATTAATTAATAAAAGGCCTATAATAACTATGATAAGTGTTTAAAAAAAATTATTCATTGATTGTTATTGCATAGTGCACACCACAGGAAAAATACATTTTTTTCAGTTATTTTTCCCTTTTCAATATTTAGAAAATATTAGTTAATAATAGTTAGTTCAATTTAAAAGAATTAAGTCGTTGCCACTATTTCACATTTTCTTATTCCTACATTTTTGCAACCTGGTGGTGTAAATCTCGATTTTTTTATTAAAAAAATTCATAGTTTAAGGTCTATAGCATCGGGTTGCAAAGATATTAAGAAATCAAAGTTTGTAGCAAAGATTCAATTCTTTTTTATTTTTTTATTTCCTTTTTTATTTCATTATTTATTTCCTTTTTTATTTCCTTATTTATTTCTTTGAATATTTCCTTATTTATTTCCTTATTTATTTCTTTAATTATTTCCTTATTTATTTCCTTATTTATTTCCTTACTTATTTCCTTATCTATTTCCTTACTTATTTCCTTATTTATTTCCTTACTTATTTCCTTATCTATTTCCTTATCTATTTCATTATTTATTTCCTTATTAATTTCCTTACTTTTTTCCTTATTTGTTTCCTTATTTATTTCCTTATTTATTTCCTTTCTTATTTCCTTATATATTTCCTTACTTATTTCTTTACTTATTTCCTTATCTATTTCCTTATCTTTTTCCTTATTTATTTTCTTATATATTTCCTTATCTATTTCCTTATTTATTTCCTTATAAATTTCCTTATTTATTTCCTTATTAATTTCCTTATTTATTTCCTTATTTATTTTCTTATTAATTTCTTAGTTGTTTTCTTATTTATTTCATTATTAATTTCCCTTATTATTTTTTTTATTTATTTCTTATTTATTTCTTATTTATTTCCTCATATTTTAGAGGAAACAGCTAAGTTGGACAGCGGGAATAAATTATCGCTTGGTGGCACCTAAGAAGGATTTTTTTCAGTATGTAATTTTAATAAATAGTTTTCAATATTAGTTTTAATTTATAAATTTTATTCATAATATTTATTAATAATAATGAGTAGATATATCATTTAAAATAATCATCTCGAATGTAGAGTATTTAATTTTAATGGACAATTTAGATTATAAAGTATGTAATCTCTGTTTGTCTGTTTGTTTGAATGTATTTCCGATCATAACTCATGAACCGTGTTCCCGATTTGCCTCAAATTTGATTGGGACATCTAAGTAATGTTTGAAGTTTATGATATATGTAAAATACTTGCTGAAGTGCCGAGCGTTGCCCGTTGAATTCTGAAAGCACTGGCAGCAGTTTCAGCCAATTTGTTCCAGCCGTTTGGCCAGCTAACATATAGATAAAATTCATATTTACAGGGTAAATCAAAATATGAACGTTTTTTAAATAACTGGATTCACTTCTTTTTCTTTAACAAGTGTTAAGAAATGACCGCCATTTTCTTAAATACATAATTTATCTATCTTGCGAAAATTTACTAAAACTCTCAGAAGTATTTCGGCCTAATTGACGTTGTAGAGTAATAACTCTTCAACGAAAGGACGTATCGACAAATTTTTTAAAACTCTGAGGTCGCTTGGCTATATTCGTGCTAAATTAGTTTTATTTAACCCGCCTTCCCCAAAAAAAAGAACTGCGCGTGAAACGTTTTATCGAAATATCGGTGTAAAGGAAAACTGAATTTGTGTTTTTTTTTTTGCAATAAATGTTGCAGATATTGTGTTATGTTGCAAAACGTTCATATTACAGTTGCTCAAATCTTTTTGAAGATTGTAAAAATTCCAAAAAATGACAGAGAAATAGCTGTTTAAAAATTGTTAGAATTATACGGTCACCCTGTAGGAGCAAAAAGCTTTATTATATAAATAGATGAATAATGTTAGATGAATTAGTTCAAGGTTGAAATCTCAAAAGTTTACACCCTCACTCATCCGGTTACAAAGATATATGAATTAGAACATTTGAGTTTGTGGCAAACACTTCATTTTATTTATAAAGATATATCTAAGGTGTCCGATGGATCCGATTACAAAGGAAATTGCAAGTCTGACTGCAATCGATGGTGACCCAATTCTTTTAGGTAAGGTTCACATGTATAGGAATGGTTTTTTATTATAGGGTTTCAAACCAACAGATACTAGATACTTATAGAAAACTAGACTTTATTATACAAGACTTTTTAGGGCGCTTCGCGCCAATCTTCTTTCTAAATTGATAACATTTCCTCTTTGTATACATTGTAAAACAAAAACAAACAAAAAAGTTTGCAGATTTTCTTTAAAAAAAATTCGTGGATTTTCAAAATTTAATGGAAATTGAGTTTTGTTAGAGACAAATTTTTGAAATTTTGATCATCAATAAATCTTTCTTGAGGTCACGTGATTTCACACACAAAATTCGGGCCCGATCGGTTCGGCTAGTTTGGAGTTTAAAACAGACAAGCATAGTATCCATATAGAAAATAGATAATAGAATCAACTTTAAGGACGAACTGAACCCTTTTATAATTGTTTAATTGTTGGCTTTCAACCCTTATAATATTTTGTCTATGAAAAAATAAGTTTACAGTTGCAGCCAGGGAACATTCAATGATTAAGCAAAGAATAAAAAAATGCTGGCTGTTGTGTCTTTGTGATTCTACAGAGTGTCCTATATCATATTTGATTACTTCCAAGCTTTAACGAATACAACTATAATACTAGAAAAAACTAGAATTTTCCGCAAGAAAATTCTTATATTAGCCTTATTCAATTTTCAATGATTCATTCTTCTTAAATTTTCTGATTAGTCCCGAAAATCGTAATTTAGACCGATTAACGAGCTAATATGATGTGGGACACCCTGTAGATAACCCTGTAATATACAGTACGGCTGGTTTCATGTCTCTTGTTAAAAAACACAAAACTAAATTTAAATATACAGCTAGACGAATACTGTTAATAGATTACAGGGTGTTCAAATCAACATGACGATTTAAAGATGACCGAGTATCATGTTTGATGTTAATCTTGGTAAAACATTCTCCTAAGCAGTTTAATACTTAATTTAGATAATTCTGCTATAATTTAGAGATATTATAATTGGCAAATTGAGAAGTAAAACCAACTTTACAAGCATTTTTTCGTTCTTTTACTTTGAGTATTATCTTTCATATGAATCTTTGGTAGAATATTCTCCTGAGCAGTTTTATGCTTAAATTATTATTTTTCCATTATTCTACAACGACTGCTATCAGTTTGAAATATTATATTAACAAATTGAGTAGTTAAAACAATTTAACAAGCATATGTTTGTTCTTATAAATCAGTCAAACAGTTTTTGCGAAGCAAAGGATTTTAACGAAAGTTCGAAAGAATATGATTTTGAACGAAAGTACGAAAATTTTCGCAAAATAATTGAGTCTTTGCCAAAAACTCAAATGTTCTAATTCATATATCTTAACAATCTGATGGTGTGAAACTTTGATATTTTAATCTTTGATTATTGGATGTAACATAATTCAAAGTTTGAAATTTACAAGATCATAACAAATTTTGTTGCAAAGATAGAGGAATCTTAAATCAGAGTCTGTGGCAAATACTCAATTCGTGAAAATAATAATAATTGAACTCATGACTTTTACTGATAGGAAAATCCAATATTTTGAAATAATTTGACGAGTGTATGGTTTTGAAGAAGTGCTGGACGATGTTGTATCTTAAAACGAAATGAAAAAATACTATTTTTCAAAAACATGGTTATGGGACCATCACGGTAATTCCTGATTATCTGCTTATTGTTTAGGAACAGGAGGTCTTGATGGAGTAATAGATTCAAATGACGAAAAGTATGTTTTTGTTATTTTTTATTCTAAAACAATATTGTAGACCTGAGGCCGAATTAAAAAAAATTGAGCCGCGTCGGTTTCACTTAAAATCGTGTTCAATTTTTCAAGATTTAAGTCGGAGCTCAATTGAAACCGATTTTGGGGGATTTTAGACGCGGCTTAAATTCATAAAATTCGGGCACGTATTCTTAATTAAACAACTTTATTTTTAATTGTTTTTTACAATGATCATTCTAATGTATCCTTTTATGCAAGCCAAAAAATCGTGAATAGCGAACGCTCAAAACAAAAACGTTTTAAGCTTAAAAGGACTGAAAGCGTAATTTCAAGTGCAAAGATGGCAATATTGTCCATTTCACAACCACATAATAACTGATTATTTTCCATTTTGGTTTCTCTACAAATTTGACTTACGCATTTGTACTGCAGGAAAACATGTCAGAATTATTGGAAATTAACACTTGTAAATCTAGTAAAAACGCAATATCTTCCATATTATTGTTTAGAGAAAGGTTGTAAATGGGGCATTGCTTTCTATGCACTGAGAGCCCCTTGAAAATACGCTTTCGACAGTTCAATTAAAGCCTATTTTTTTCAGTGGAAGAAAAACCATTTTGCCACCTGAAACTTTCTGCCTCTCGGTCAATGGTAATATTAATTAATCATTTATAAAAATCTGTTATTAAAATCTTGTTTAGAAGTCTAAAATTTCTTATGCTCCCGGGGCCCCTCATTTCTAGCTACAGATTTGATTTTCTCGCCTCCATTTTTATTTGTAATTGTATAAATACCATTTCTAATTTTTTTTATCGCCTTTTTTATGGAAAAATATTGTAATTTGTTAATTTGTTCAACCGTTTTTACTTTTGTTATTTGTTAGATCCAAACATACAAAAAAACAGATAAACTGACAGACAGACACTCACCCACACCCTGACAGACACACCAATAAGCAAGCAAAATGTTTACTATATGTATAAGGAGATTATATATATTTTATCAAGATCCTGATCCTGTATTTCTACAGTGTGTATTTTCTCCAGAAATAGGTAAATATAACTTTCTAACTTGCAGTAGGAACTAAAATATAACAGGGTTGGAAGACGACTTTAATACAGTTTTCAAGTAATTGTTTTGTTTAGTTTAGATGGACAGAAGAATTTTAGTATCTTTTTACTGTTGGACTATTTAAGATCAAATTTCTATTCTAAAAGTCGTCGTTGTGCTCTAGTTTTCTGGTTCTCACTGCACTAAAATAATATTTTACAGGATGTCTGTGAAAAAAGTGTTTTTAGACTTTTTAGCCCGCTAAAGAACGTTGTATTATGCTAAAAAGTACTTCTATGTAGGTACAATCCCAAAAATTGGGGAAGTTTGGATAACATCTTTTTCTCAAAGATGTCCTGTTAACCTTTAAAATAAGGCCTAATATTGAATAATTTGCAAGGACTCTTTCAATTGCTTTTTTACCTTCTAGGCGTGCCGTTTTATTATTTTACAAAGTATTTCGGCTCATTTACATTTGCCATAAATACATTTGCCATAATTACATAATTGCCATAATAAGTTTGCCATAAGTTACACTTACCATAAGTTACACTTGCCATAAGTTACACTTGCCATAAGTTACACTTGCCATAAGTTACACTTGCCATAAATTACACATGCCATAAGTTACACTTGTCATAAGTTACACTTGCCATAAGTTACACTTACCATAAGTTACACTTCCCATAAATTACACTTCCCATAAATTACACTTGCCATAAGTTACACTTGCCATAAGTTACACTTACCATAGTTTTGTGACTACAATTAACAAATCTAAATGAGCAGTATATAAGGTTAAGCTACTGCTCTATTGAAAAAGTATTGTATTGTCATTGATTCTTCACCAAGCTCTTTCTTCAAGTATTATAGTGTTCATATCTCTCCCAGCAGCATTCTTAGAAAACTAAAGATGGGAATTTTCTTGAGGACATTTAACGCATTTATAGAAAAATAGTTAGACTTATATCTTTGTAAAAGTTAGAAAATTATGGCAAAAGTTGTTATGGCAAGTGTAACTTATAGCAAGTGTTACTTATGGCAAAATTATTTATGATAAGTGCGATTATGGCAAATGTATTTATGGCAAAAGTAGTATGGCAAAAGCATTAAGGCAAATGTATTTATGGCAAAAGTATCATGGCAAATTTAACTGAGCCAGTGTTTCTAGTAGGTTAAACACCCATAGAAAGGGAGGTCGTCTTTAAATCATAAAAATCGGCAACTCTATCCTTGAATAACTTTAAAAACATTTAAAAGATTTAATATTTTTTTGGAATTTTTTTGAATAATAGGCTTATTTTGAATGTTAAAATGACATTTTAAAGAAAAACGTTTCATTGCAGACTCCTCCTATTTACGCGAATTGTATCTTTTAGGAGTACTTTTAACATAATACAACAATGTTAGTGGTAGGCTAAAAAGACTAAACACACTTTTTTCAGAGACACGTTGAAGTAAAGTACCATATCTCTTAACCTAAATATTTTTAGATAAATGCGAGGCTATTCGATTCTGGGTATTTAACTGCGCTTTTATCCTATCCATTATATTTATCATTCTTGCAATCATAGGGAATAATTTGTTTCAGCTTTATCTTAAATTTTCCGTAAATGGAAGGAATTATTTTTAATGCTATTTAATTATATTTACAAATGGAACTAAGTTGCACGGCAATAGTTTTGCTAGTTTCATTAATTTTTGCCAATACCAACTAAAAAACGTATTTTTTGCTACAAACAACTTAAAAGCGTATTTTTTGCTATAAACAACTAAAAAAGTAATTTTTGCTATAAACAACTAAAAAGAAAAATTTTGCTAGAAACAACTAAAAAATCTATTTTTTGCTATACCAACTAAAAAAGAAATTTTCGCTACAAACAAGTAAAAAGCGTAATTTTTGCCATATACAACTAAAAAACGTAATTTTTGCTATAAGCAACTAAAAAACGAAATTGTTGCTATATACAACTAAAAAACGTAATTTTTGCTGTAAACAACTTAAAAACGTTATTTTTGCTATATACAACTAAATAATGTAATTTTTGCTATAAACAACTAAACAATGTAATTTTTGCTATATACAACTAAAAACGTAATTTTTGCTATATGCAACTAAAAAACGTGATTTTTGCTATATACAACTAAAACACGTATTTTTTGCTATATACAACTAAAAAACGTAATTTTTGCTAAATACAACTAGAAAACGTAATATTTGCTATATACAACTAACAAACGTAATATTTGCTATATGCAACTAAAACACGTAATTTTTGCTATAAACAACTGAAAAACGTAATTCTTGCTATAAACAACTGAAAAACGTAATTTTTGCTATAATCAACTAAAAAACGTAATTTTTGCTATAAAAGATATTTTTCGTATGAAAAACTTTCAGAATCTCAGTCTCTAGGGTTAGGTTTGGCCTTCTAATGCAGTACACGAATTAAGGGATTCTTGCTCTGCTGCTAGGACAGCTGTTAGGGGGGGGGGGTGGAAGTGATGCTACTAGAAAAGCTAGGGAAGTTGTCAAATAGGGAAAATGTATGTAGTAAACAAAGTTATCGCAAAAACCACATAATGTATGTACAGCAAAAATCATACCAGCAAAAACATGTACACTTAAGCTTATTTAATTGTGAATACCAACTTATTCGATGTAGCACATTTTATTGAACCCCTGTTAAAAAACACTGCACTGGGTACACTCAGTATAGGATTCCTCTTCAATCTACTGATGACCTATATTATCATGATCATCTCCAGGCTTGCAAGTAAGATTTGAAAATTATGTCTAAGCAAAAGAAAAAGATTAAACTGAAATACTAGTTTTCTTAAACTTAGGCCTTTTACTGGTCTTCAATGATGGAAGATTTCTTATATTTTGACTGGAAATTGAGTACTGCGAAGCTCAATTCACCTTTCAATTTCCAGCCATAAAAATAAGAAGTCTCTGGCATAGATGATTAGAAGAGGGTTTAAATGGCACCGTTTTCACGTTTATGTTTCGGACATGCCTTTGTAGTCTCTTTAAACGTGGACTTCTAGTAGTCTATTGTCTCTTTAAACGGGGACTAAGGTAATTTCCTAGAGAGCAACCTAATCCTAAATAAAAGAAAGTGTCATAACTTTACCTAACCCGTGGCTAAAGCAATCGGCCCCCTAGACTGTCCTAGCCGCAGCCCTCGGCCCAGAAAGTGTCTTAACCTAACCAACTCTAAATAATAAAAACATAAATAATAATAAATTTGCTGAAAAAATAAGTGTTAATGTACAAAATTGATAGGAGGGGGAGCGGGGGGTCCAAAAATCGTTCTCTAAGACAGCCCTGGACTACTTGTTAACAAATAGATTATCATGTACAATAGGTGGCAACAGAGAAATGTAACATTTATACATGACGTCGCAAGTGTAAAATATAATTAAGGAAGACAACCATTGGTTGACAAGTTTTCCAAGATTAAATAAAAATGTGTAAAAACAGTAAATAGAGAACACAAAATTGAACTCATTTCCCTTGTAATAAGCACTTTACTATCACTATTATTAATAATTTTTCTGACACAGAAAACTGTGACGTAAGAATACAGCTGTGCTAAGAGTGTACAAATTCTACATTGCCATCTATTGTACTTGATAATCTATTTGCTTTAATTCCTGTATAGCATTTTAGAAGCTTAAACCTATAATCAGATCTTGATTGTTTAGAGACTTGTTGGACACAAACAAAATAATTTGATTATATGTTCAGCTTTTGAAAGAGAAACACCACCATGTGTGTTGATTGGATACTTACAACAATATTTTTACCTATCCTTCTTTACGTGGAACAACGCTATTGCAATAATTATTGGGTAAGTATTGATGCAACGAGTATCAATTCTTATGGGGTTCGTGAAATCGAGATATTAGAATTCAATAAATCAAACCCTGTGAACTCAATGATACCAAGTAAACTGTAGAAGGGTGAATTATTCGACAATGTTAACTGTACAAATCACAGCCAACTAGGACAAGAGCTAAATAACTATGTCCGCCCCTGGTTCGTAACCTCTCCAAGGTTTAACTGTGAACCAATCATAATGATTAATTAATATCACAAGGACTCTAAGATATTAGGTCTACATGGTAAAAACTTCAGGCATGGCAAGGTACATTTCTTCTTGCAAAAAAAAACATACGAATTAATTCTGCGGCAGCTGTTGTCCTTGTTGAAGGTGAGTGCATCCTCCCTTTAGGTTTTAGGTCTTATGAAGCTCAGTTCTGAGCATGCATAATTATGATCTGGCAACTAGAAAAGCTCTTTAGAGTTTTAAAGCTATTTTGTATACATTTAAACAGATTCCTGTCATTTTCAAGCCAGTCCTGTACCTCTCTAAGCTTTGTGACTGTTTTTTTTCAAATAGAATTGAATTCGTCGTTTCAGCAGTTATTTAAATTATTGTGGATAAATCTTTAAAACTATAGATGTTGACAAATATGTATTTGAATTTTTGTCAACCCTCTTCAGTGTCCCCATCTCTGAGAAATAATTCATACTATTATTTTAAACTTTTATTAACGGGACTTTCAATGTAATTTCAATTGTCACATCTATGTCTTTAAATGTTAAATCCATTACTAATCAATTTATCACTAACCAATCTTTCACTTACCAATCTATTACTAACCAATCTTTCACTAACCAATCTATTACTAACCAATCTATCACTAACCAAACTATTACCAACCAATCTATTACTTACCAATCTATTAATAACCAATCTATTACTAACTAATCTATTACTAACCAATCTATCACTAACCAATCTATTACCAACCAATCTATTACTAACTACTAACCAATCTATTACTAACCAATCTATTACTGACCAATCTATTACTAACCAATCTATTACTGACCAATCTATTATCAACCTATCTATTACTAACCAATCTATTATCAACCTATCTATTACTAACCAATCTTTTATCAACCTTTCTATTACTAACCAATCTATTATCAACCTATCTATTACTGACCAATCTATTATCAACCTATCTATTACTGACCATTCTATTATCAACCTATCTATTACTGACCAATCTTTTATCAACCTTTCTATTACTAACCAATCTATTATCAACCTATCTATTCTATTATCAACCTATCTATTACTGACCATTCTATTATCAACCTATCTATTACTGACCAATCTATTATCAACCTATCTATTACTGACCAATCTATAACTTACATATCTATTACGGACATATCCAAAGTGGTGCGGTGAGTTTAATAGAGCAATAAAAGTAAAACACAGATTTCTGATTTTTTTTTTTTGGGGGGAAAAACAAAAAAATTTTAAATAAAAATAAAAATAAAATATTATGCTAATGAAATAGTAATAGTTTTAATTTTCAGACAGAAGCTGACCACTAGCAGAAACAGAGATTCAAAGAAGAAACAAATCATATGCATTATTTATGCCCAGGTTAAACAGTTGAAATATTCAACATTTATATTAAAGGAGTTTTGTCAACTTACATCAATAACCTGTATTAAAAATAACATCATCGTTTAGAGTTAGTACTATATTCATGTTCTTAAATATAGGGGTTATATTTCTTAAAAAATTAAGATAAAACATCAGAAGGTAAGTTTGATTCGGAGGAAACATGCATTTACTTCTTGAAAAATAACATAGGTTAATCTTGTTATGTCCCTCATGAAACTTATGTATTAGATATAGATTGAATCAAATATATAATAAATTTACAAGAAACTTATGCTTAAAAAATCTTTCCCCGGGAGGGGGGGGGAAGGGGTTGTATTTTTTACGCCCTTGAAAATGTGTTTTTCTACACATAAAATATGCATATTTATAGTTATAGTCGAGTTTCTTTGACTCACCAACAAAAATAACAAGAGTTATGTTAAGCTCAATATTTTTACCATATAAAGATGGTATAAAATAAAGGAAAAAATGTATTTACATGTAAAAAATGAACAATTAAACATGATACTAATGAATCGTGGAAAATCATATGACGAGTTAATCTTCCCTCTTTGGATTCTTCATGACCACTGATTTCTTGTTTCGGTTTTAGTCAGGCTAATTCAATTTTCTTTTGCCTCATGTCAAGCCGAGGCTCATGCCTATTGGCTTGAATTCAAACTTAAAAAATATAATTCCTGGTCCAACGGCGGCTTTGGTATCTCCACGCACCCAAACATGCGTTCATAGCATTCTCTGGGTTAGCATTTTTTATCTGCTGAATCTTCCTACACTATATAGAGGAGGTGACTTGTTATCCGTCCCACTTTCTGTCCGAGCTATATACAAAAGAGCTAATACATTGTCTTGTTTGTAGGCCCGACTACTTGTAATCCGAGCTTGGCTCCGGGTCCATATCAGGACTGAAGGGGTTACATCAATAGAACTATTTATTCTGAGTTTGGCTCAGGGTTCGTATGAGAACTGAAGGGGTTACATCAATGGAAATATCCCTTTTTTGAGCTATTGAGTTTACACTGGTTACATCTTAGCTCCGGGTCGTATGAGGTCTGAAGGGCTTACAATATGACAAATCAGATTTAGCCAAAAAGAGATGGGTTAAGAGAGGGGGGGGGGGAATGCCCAATCACTTCTGTAATTTTTTTATTTATTTAGGGTCTTCCTGCTGTTATATGTGTCTTGACCTACATCATTGACCTGTTTGTACCTGAAGAAGGGCCTAACCGAGCATACTTTCCAGAGATGGGAGTATATTCTTGTTATTTAGGTTTTAATACATAACAGCTTCTTCATAAATTACATTAAGTAATAGGGGAGGGGGTCCGGTTTTTTGATTTCCCAATACTTTCAACCAGAGTTGGCTTATGGGAGGGGGGGGGNCTCCCCTCCCTGGAAAAAGTAGGAGCGCAATGAAAATAGAGCAGGCACCTTCTTACCATTTCATCTTGATTTTTAAAAATTGATTTAAAAAATGTTTCATAAAAATGACGAAACGCCCATGTAAACAATTCCAGGGGGGGGGGACAATTACGTGGCGTTGGACATTTTTTTTCAACCATGTTCCTTTTCCTTTCCAATCACAGATTTCGATTTTTATCCCAAACATTTTTGAACTATTTATACATTATACAGAATTAAAATTAAAGATAATTTTTCAAATTTATACATCCTAATATTAAATTAACACTAGGCTTTCAGGGCGCTTTGCGCCCATATCCTATTTAAATTGTGAACATCTTCTCTTTGCAATTTGTATACATTGTAAAACAAAAAAAATCGTTGATTTTCAAAATTAAAGAAAAATGGAATTTTTAGGAGGCAAATTTTTGGAATTTGGGCCCGACCCATTCAGGCACTTTTACGTTTATTGGATACAAATCAACAAACGAGCAGTCAAGCAAAGTATATATTAACATGTAAATACAATTTTCTGAATTATCTAAATATATTTTTAACTTCTACCTTTAAGGATCAGAGAGAACAGCTGTTAGACCACACTACTTTCTTTCACCAGAGTTTCTGTATGTTCAGGTATGTTAAGAAGTCAAATAAAGGGACTCAAATGACCCTCCATTTGAAGGTTCGACATTGACCAGCAAACGACACAACAGGGACGAAAACGACGATATCTGGAAATTTAGTGTCACCTTAAAAATTCTTTCCCTGCCACAGAACTAACTAACATGACCTGTTTCTGTTTCCATTTTATGATTCATTTTTAAGTATGTCTCATTTGTCATTAAACTAAACCTAAGGAAACCATCACTATTGGGCCAGAAACCCCATCAATAGCCATTAAGAAGTATGAATACATCTTGAAAATTGCCTTATTCAATTTTTTTCACATGTTCATGGTTGTGTGCACATGAGCAGAGAGGAAAACGCATCCTCACTGCCAAGCAGCCATTTTTTCATTGCGTATTTCAATAAAAAAGTTCGCTGATTTTTCTGTTTAATTTTTGCAAAAATTCTAAAACCGTAAAAGTCAAAAAAAATTTATTCAGTTAAATTTGAAATTTCCAGAAGTCATAAACCTTGCTTGGGGTTAAGTGAGTTGCCCTATTATTTGTGACGGTAATTGAATACAAAAAAACCAAAAATATGAAGTAAAAGATGTTCTATGTTTAGGGATTTCAGCTCCTGCTTTTGCTGATTAATCTTACTTGGTTTATCAGAGCGGCAATGTATAATCTTCAATAGCTTTAGTTTTCAACAAAATATTATTATAAATATAATTAACAGAAAAATGCAATATGTTCTCTTTTATTTTTAACATTTTGAGTAAAAAATAAAGAATTATTGTAGGTTTATTGTGAAGAACAGAACCACAGTTGGAGAGTCAGATGTCAATAAACAGAAGGTATGTTTCACAAATTATATAAAGATCTTCTCTCATATATCTATATCCTATAAAGCTGACCGAACGGCTGGACCGAATGGGCTGAATTTTTTTGAGGAAACTCGTAGGTATCCTGGGGAAACATTGCCAAACAAAAATTAAACTTTTTTCTTTCAAAAATATACGTTTTATTTAAATCGGGCACTTCAGCTAGTAAACTACCAGGATTTACGCACCTTTTCTAGTTACAATTTACCTTTTAAATGTTGCCTAGTCGGCTTATCACTAGAAACCAAAACAAAAGAGATTAGACCAAGATGGAAAAAAACTTTTTCTTGCAAATCATATTATAAAAAAAATTGACACATTATGGAACAGGTTTACAAAAAGAATTAAGTTCATAACAGTTTTCAAATCAGAGTCACTGAATAATTTTTTATGATAATCTTTTCATTTTTTTCTTTGCACACAACCAAAGTTTCCAATGAAATGTAAAAATATTGAAAACGTCATGAGCTAAAAACTTTAGAATTGGATATCCTTAATACCGATATCACTTTACCTGAATTTTCACGATGGACAATTTTGATTTCTGCCTATTATGCTCTTCTTCCCTCGTATTGGAAATCCTTACTGAATCCCTATTGGCTCCACTGGATTTCACAAACCTCACGCTGATTGGTTGAATTTTAGAAATCTTTCTGGATACAAACTAAAGATTAAAATAATCTTAAGATTAACAAAAAGAATAGATCTTGAATTGATATCGATATCCACAATTCTAAAGTTTTCAGCTCTGAAGTCGGAACTGTTGAGAACCTCGGGATCAGGTATTGACCGCCATCTTTGATATCCCGTGGTGATCATACCCTGCAGATATAAGTTTAGTTTAGGGATAAAACATGTATCCTCAAATTTTAGAATGCCCATATTTGATATCGAGCTCAAGGGTAAAAGAAATCCACACAAAAGTTTCGATCTGCAGAGAATTATTGTTATTTCTATAAGGATTCTTTTCGCTCTATATATTACATTTGTATATTTACATGCTAGCTGTCCAGCCAAGCGACTGGACCGAATGAGCTGACATTTTTTTTAAGCACCTAGTGGGAGTATCCTTTTTTAAATTAAAGTTTTTTTTACTTCCTTCAGCTAATTTGATAAAAAGGAATAGCATTAACATTTCTGAAAATGTTTACTTTAGGAAAACTATGTGATTGTTCTAAAGCTGTTTATCCATATGTGCAGTCTTTGGATTTGTGAAATTATAACGTCAGCCATAGCTGTTGAGTACGGAGTAATCGAGACATGTAAACTTAGGTAGGTAAGCCAGGATTAAGGAATTTAACTAGTTCCTCTTGAATATCCAGTGAAGTGATATCCAGGAAGTGATAACTAATTTGAGGAACAAAGAACTTATCCCTCAAATTCTAAAGGTGTCACAACTCACAATTAAAATCAAGATCAAGGGTAAAAGATTAGTGCTAATTCATATAAAAAGTTAGACCTCGTGTCAAGTTCTTAAAAATCTGAATTAAAAGTTAATTTAGGTTTGATATTGTTTTTAAGTTCACTTAACTCTGGTATAACATTTTTCGTTTTCATTAATTACCATGAAATGGTTTTTAACAAAATTTAACCGTCGTTTTCATACTTAAGATAAATAAATAAAAATAGATAAATCTTTTTTAACTTTTAATAACAATATGAGAATTTCTTTTTGTTGTTTATAAGTTTAATGAATCATTTTTTTCGGCAGAGGTATTTAAAAGGGATTAAAGATTTGCCACAAACTATGAACTTCTTAACCTTATTTTTTTTTCAATCTGAAGGTTTCAATATCAGACTATTTGATCTAGCGCTTTTCATAATTACTATCTAAGGTCTACATCATCGATCAGGTTTAGCCTAAACAAAAAATAGGAATTTGGGACAAAAAGTAAACAATTGGGACGGAAAATAAAATATTTTGGTTGGGAAATGAAATATTTGGGATGGAAAATGAAGTTAACAATCAGCATCTGAAGAAAGGACTAAAATTAAAAATATTTGTAAAGGTTATGGGACAGAAAATGAATTTTTAGGAACAAAAAATGGAAATCTGAAGGATAGAAAATGAATTTTTGTAACAAATAATGAAATAATTGGGATAGAAAATAAAATTAATAAGTGGAATTTGAAATATTTTCGGAGGACGAAAAATGAAGTTAATGGGAATAAACTTAAAATAAAAATCCAGGTTATTAAAGGAATGACTAGTAGAATTGAAATTATTTGTTTTGCTTTTGGGACAAAAAATGAAACTGTTGGGACAGAAAATGAAAGTGTCGGGACCGAAAATTATTTTTTTCTAGGACAAAAAAATAACTTGGGATGGGACAAATAATCAATTTATGGAATTATATTGACCCCTGGGTTTAGGTATTATAAATTGTAAATTTTGGCTTTTGTTCAGTTCCTTTCAAGAAGATATAAGATTGATTATTTAATAAATGGTTTTATCCTTGAATTCTATTTTAAGGTTTGTATTTATGGATTGTTTTGAAATGCATTCTTTTATTTATAAGTTTAATAATTAAGCATTTTTTCGACAGTTAAGTCTTCAGTATCAAAGTAACAGAAGATTTGCCACAAACCCTAACAATCTTTGCAACCTAATGATGTAAACCTTTAATATTTATGAGGTCGACTTTTTAATTAAGCAGTGTCCGAATTTAATGAATTTAAGCCGCGCCTCAAATCCCCCAAAAACCGGTTTCAATTAAAAAAGTAACTAAAATTTTAGGTGGTACCAACCATATTTGAGCCCCGGTTTAAATTTAAGCCAGGGCTAAAATTTTTTAAATTCGGCCTCAGAATTCTTAATTAGTATCAAAGGTTGCAACATGTACAGGTATTAGAAAATAAGAATTTATGGCGTTTGTTCAGTCCCTTTCAAGTAAAAGATTGATTATTAAAACAATATTTTCATTATTAATTTTAAATAATCTAAATATCATTAATTTGAAGGTTTGTATTGGATTCTCCAAATGCGTTCTACGGCGTTCTTATTTTCTTATTTCTGATTGTTGGGAAGAAAGCAGTCAGGAAGTAAGTTTCTCATCACTTAAAGGGACTATGTTGAAATTTTAAGTTGCCTTTTCTTTAAAGGGAGGCATGTGAGATTCACAACAGTGCCATGACTTCTTACTAATTCTATATCTTTTATCAGTTTTTACATAATTCCTTGTGTATGATTTAACTTGTCGTTTTTTTTTACCTTGAAAATTGATTGATTTCCACATTTTCCTCTCACAGTAGAAATAGTCAATTCACATAACCAAGAAACCAAAATGGAAAAATAATAAACTTTCAGAGTAATGATAAATAATATCTCATTCTTTCTTGATTATTGAAAGCTGTAAGGGTAAGACTGTAAATCAGACATACCACTCTATAAATGGGGGGGGGGGACAATATTGTCTAAATGAGGGGGGGGGGACAATATTGTCTAAATCTAATTTTTCCAGGAATCTGCAGGAAACAGTTTCCTCCTGGTTCTCTAGCAGTAAAGAAGTGAATACAGAGGTGGGATATTCAGCCAATGGAAGATCATCAGACGAGTCTAAAGTTACTCTGTCAACTAGATTTAAAAAATAGATTATAAATGATTTTAGGATAAATAAAAACAGTTTTCTCGTTATCTTAAAATTTTCAATTTGTGAAAGAAGTATTTTCAAAGGTTTGAAGAAAAAAACAATCAGTCTTAATTATCTGTCTTATTTATTAGTCTTATCTATCAATCTTATCTATCAGTCTTATCTATCAATCTTATCCCTATCAGTCTTATCTATCAGTCTTATCTATCAGTCTTATCTATCAATCAGTCTTATCTATCAGTCTCAAGAATCAGTTTTGTTTATTTGATTTGATAAATCAAGGCCTAGGGTGTAAAGAAACTGAGTTCTTGTCAAAATCTTTGGTTTTTTATCCATACATTTTATCCATACTTTTTAGCAAAATGATGTCATAGAAGTTGATAAATCAAATATAGTCCATATTTGAAATTGAAATCAAAATTGTATACTAGAACAATTTAGGGTTTTTTTGAATTTAATAGTTAATATTTGAAATAATAAAAAAATATCAGGATTAGAAAATTAGAACTTGTGACTTGTATTTGCCTTTTAACCCTTTTCCAGTTGAGGTATTTTTGAATCATATTTCTGAGGGCCGGGCCTGCAGAACTAAGAGATCGGACAGTTTTAAAAGCGAAAATTTATTTTAAACTGGCACCACCTTAGTTCAAAAGTGGCCTCGAGGTTGATCTAAGGTTGATAATCCCAGTGAAGGGTTGATTGGTTGATCTAAGGTTGATAATCACAGTGAAGGGTTGATAGGTTGATCTAGGGTTGATAATCCCAGTGAAGGGTTGATTGGTTGATCTAAGGTTGATAATCACAGTGAAGGGTTGATAGGTTGATCTATGGTTGATAATCACAGTGAAGGGTTGATTGGTTGATCTAAAGTTGATAATCACAGTGAAGGGTTGATTGGTTGATCTAAGGTTGATAATCACAGTGAAGGGTTGATTGGTTGATCTAAGGTTGATAATCACAGTGAAGGGTTGATAGGTTGATCTAAAGTTGATAATCACTGTGAAGGGTTGATTGGTTGATCTAAAGTTGATAATCACAGTGAAGGGTTGATTGGTTGATCTAAGGTTGATAATCCCAGTGAAGGGTTGATTGGTGCTCGAAAGCTGGTCAATGTCCTCTCTCTCTGCTACTTCTCCATAGTAGTAAATACAAAAATAAAAAATATGTAAAAACCTGTGATAAATTACCGGTATTAATTATGTAATAAATTACAGGTATTAATTATGCAATAAATTACAGGTATTAGTTATGGGTAACGATATTTAAATGTAGTTAAATGTTGATATAAATCGTTATAATATTTGATAAACAAAACTAGTGTGAGGTAAGTAGGGGAAAATGTGGGGTCGATAGGGTCAGAAGAATACAACGTTTTGTGCCTTTTGAGAAATAAATACCCGGTTGGTGACACAATTTTGTTGCTTGTAGCAATAATCATGAATTCAAGCATTTACTATACTAAATTCAAGGCGCTTCGCGCCCTTCTTTCTAGCCTTAGAGGGCGCTTCGCGCCCATATCCTAAATTAATTGTGAACATGTTCTCTTTGTGTACATCGTAAAACAAAACAAAAATAATTCGCGGATTTTCACAAAAAATTTCGCGGACTTTCTAAAAAATTTAATGACGATCGAATTTTGATGGAGACAAATATTTGAAATTTTGATGATTNCGATCCTTGTGGTACACCACAAGAGATTTCTTTAAGTGAAGAGTCAACACCCCTGATTGAAGTAAATTGTTTTCTTCCCTTTAAATAATTTTTGAACCATAAGTTAGAAGTCCCACGAAATCCATAGTGTTCAAGCTTGCTCAGTAGAATGTCAACATCACAGGTATCAAAAGCTTTAGTTAAATCTATAAAAATTCCCAGAGTATATTCGGATACAGGTTTATTTAGTGCGTTGTATATTTTATCTAAGAAATGAATTAAGGGTTGAGTAGTGTTGTGCTTTGCTCTGAAGCCATACTGATGTTCATAAAGTAGTTTAAATTTATTCAAATATTTCATAATTTGATTTGCTGCCACTTTTTCTAAAAGTTTTAAAAACAAAGAAAGCTAACTTATAGGCCTATAATTTGTAAAATTATCCGTTTCCCCAGCCTTGAAGATTGGGACGATTTTTGCAGTTTTAAGAGTGGTAGGAATAAACCCAGTTTCATATCTCTAATTGGATAATGAGATAGATGTTACCGCCATGCAATTTCTATTAGTTTAGAATAGACACAAAACACATGACTGAACCCTTTTTGGATCAGGGGCTAATGGACCGGCATACACAGTTGTGCCTATTTGCCGGAGAAATATTGGGTTTGGCTCCGGGAGTATGATTTGGCGTAAGACGACATTGTACGGAGAAATGTTGTAAGGTTTATGGTCTACACTAATGTTTTTAAGATGTATCCTATAAATACAAAATCTTAATCAAGCTAAAATTTCCAAGTTTTTTTGACGATCACTAACAATCGTTAACGACGACCCTTCATTAACGATCGTTCACGGCGGATATGGTAAATAAACGATTGTTTCTAAAAACGATTAAAAACCCACCCAGCACCCACTCCCCGTAGCTCCACATAAAAATAAAAACAATAACGGGATTGTGAATAAAAACAATTCCCTTTAAACAGTTTAGATATTCACACGTACAGGTGTCGCAACCCCGACTTATGAAAATGTTTAAATGATAAATATTTCCGTAAATTCTAAAGTAGTCCACATTTTGAATTTTAACAATAGTCGTCATATATTAACTAATTATAAAGGGTTTCAAGGCGTTATCGGTAAATGCTCATGTTTTTTGGAACACCTTGTAAGTTGTACATATGTTGCACATATTTTAAATATTGGAGAAAGAGTTAAATTTATTGAAGTATCGAATTTTCAGAGATGTATAAGCTGTTTCCTCTAAAATACTTTTCCATGGGATATTTGAAAATATAGTGTGTGCCAACGTGCCAATGGAGAGATTACTGATAGAGTCGTTGTCGGACAGAGCGTCCCATATCATATTATATTATCTCCAAGTTTTAACGCCAAAAAACCATAATACTCGAAAATCCTAGAATTTTCCGTAAGAAAAATTCTTAAATTAGGCTTATTTAAGTTTTTAAAATTATTCATTTTTCTTAAATTATCTGATTAGTCCCGAAAATCAATTTTTTGACCGATTAACGATCTAATATGATGTGGGACACCCTGTATGTATATTTATACATTGAAGACAGCCTTTTGATTTGTACCCCAAGCTTTCAAACAGCATGGATACACATGAAAATGGAAACAAAGAGAAGCCGTCAATTAAAAGATTCCTTTGTTTATTTGTAAACATGTAACTCGAAAAAAAATTTAAATAGAAAGTCGTCTTCATTGTATTATTATAAACGCCGACAACTGTAGATGGCAGATGCAGTCACTGTTCTCAAATTGATATTTTATAATCCATGGAAATTCAGGAAACTTTGGTTTTTAATTACCCTATCTTTTTGGGAGGAGGGGGGGGGGTAAGCTCCCTATTATCCCCTTACTTGGAATCTTTTTTGATGTTGTTGTTGATTTGTTGTTGTGCTCTAGCTCATTAAATTTTTAACGTTTTTAAATCTAAATTCAGCATTAAATTTCCAAGAGACAGAAGAATTTTAACCGCGTCACTGGTCCTCCAAAAACTGTTTCTAAATTCTAATTGAGCACCGGCTCAAATCTTGAAACACTGAAAACAATTTCAAGCGAAACAAAACATGTTTGAACCGAGTCTTGTATTTTAGCCGCGCCTCAAATTCTTTAGATTCGGCCTCCTAGTCCTAGGTATGTTCCCGCCGAGACATTTGTCCGATGATTCTTATAAATGGGACAATTGTTCAATGGAACACAGTTGCACACTGTATTTGAAATTTTCCAAGATCTACCCAATACTCGATATTTTGTTTTCCAATACAAGCCTATTCTATATAGTTATCTTACAGCTAGGGCATACCATTAAACTGATTATTTATTCCTTTTTTTGGTTCAGTATTAATGTTCGCAGGGAACGAAACGTTTCGCGAAAAATTGAGAAAATATTTGTTTGTTTCGTATTTCGCGAAAAAATATTTTTGCAAAAACCATAGGGGTTTAAATTTTATTATGTTTTTTTTGATTTTTTTCAAATACCATTTTTTCCGCAAAATTTCTGCATTTCTTATTTTGCGAAAGTTTCGCATTTTTTCGCGAAACAGATTGAAGTGGAATAAATTTTCAAATGTTTTCAAAGTACCCATTTTTTTCGAATTACTTAAGTTGGATCGGTATTTTCCAAACATAGGACCCATAACAGTTAATTGTCCAAAATTTAAAGCAAAGTCGATTTTGGAACCTTTTTAAAATAAATCATGGAGTTTGTCCGAGTTTAATGATTTTAAGCCGCGTCTCAAATCCCCCCAAAAACCGGTTTCAATTGAGCGTCGGCTTAAATCTTGAAAACTTGAATACAATTTTGAGTGGAACCAACCATATTTGAGCCCCGGCTTAAATTAAAGCCGCGGCTCAAATTATTTAAATTCGGCCTGAGGGCATTTATTAATATATAGAGTTGGATAAGCTGAACTAACTGCTGACCTAACTGCTGAGTTAAGATTAAGATTAAAATATCCAGCTCAGAAGAAATAATTGAACTAGCTGTATTAGTATAATATTTAATTTAAAAAGTTTTTTTAAGTTTATTTAATCTTCGAAATACATAATGATGTGTATGGTACCTTTATATTTAAAGAATAACGAGAGAAAACTTTATTTGAATTATATCATTACATGCAGATATAACTATAATAGATATAGCTAGAAATACAATTAAAATTTAGCTTAAGTGAAAATGTAAATAAATAAAAGCTGTTACAAACATTTTTTACAAATCATACAAAAAATCTATTTTTATAGCACACATTGTGAACATTTGAGGCCGCAAAGGTCTACAATTTTTTCAGCAAGTCATAGGTTCAATTCAAAAAAAGGATACAAATTTTAGGATTTTAAATTCCTAGTGATCCTAAATCAAAAAGTGGCGTGTCTGATTCACAACCGTGCCCTTTAAACTTAATTATGTCCAGACATTTTTCTTTATTCAGGATGTTCCAATAAACATGGGAATTAAATTGTATATCGTCTTTGTTCCATGCAGGATAATTTCGTAAATACATTTAACACCGAAAACTACTTATAGTCTCGCGATTTTTAAAATGTGGTTTACCATTATTTTCATCTTCAAAATCAACGCGCGGAGATATCAAGAAATTTGTCCAGATTTCAGTGAATTAAAAATTAACAAAGCTGTTTAAATAAGCTACAGAGATACGGAGAGTAGGTAATTTGGAAATCAGATATGACACATCATCTACCAAATTTTTTTTTTAAATTAAAATAAAAATAAAAATTAAAATTAAAGCTATTGTTTTATAATATTTTTAGGAATTTGGAAAAAGATTATTTTTAAAAGTACAAAACAAAAGATTGCTTATTCAGTGGCTGAGGGTTCTAACTATATGTAACCTTGTCCCTATGGATGTTATTTGTGCTCTAATAGGTTTAGGATTACAATGATGGTGATACACCTTCTCTCCTTACAAAATTAACAATAAATGTTAAAAGTTGAAATAAGAACTGTTTTTATGCTGAAAGGAAGAAATACTTTTATTGTAAAAAAAATAAGCAGTTTAGTGGAAAGATAATATTACCAAATTTTGTTAAGTTTCTTTATTTTATAATTTAATCCTAATATGTAGAAGTTATGAATCCCCTCCCACCATCTTTTTGAAGTAGTAAAAAAATTACTCATGAAAACAAGTTTATATATTTATATATATATATATATATATATATATATATATATATATATATATATATATATATATATATATATATATATATATATATATATATATATATATCTATTTTCAAGGGCTTTTATGTATCATATGAATTCAATAAGCTTGTGTCGAACTAAACTATGCAAGAAGTCGTCTTCTAAATGTATTGTTTTATGAGACTCCTTGTGTATCCATTCAACAACGAGTGTTTAAGAAAAATCTTTAAGTAGTCTTGTCTAAACTTTAGCAATTAATGTACTGTTTTCAGGGGTGGGGGTTGCTATACGCAATTTTAAGGTTAACGCATAGGGCATTGGCAAAAAAAGATTGTTTTGTGTCTAGGAAGCTACACAAGAGTATTTTCATATTACTTTGTGTTCATAAAGTTTGATCATAATCTTGGAGTTTATAATTAACAAGTTTGCTATGATTTATGTTGTTCTTGATACCAGAAGTTAAATTAGAATTTGAAAAATATACTTAAAATTTTATAAACTTCATAGAACAGGAGGATTTATCAAATTAGATTATCTAGGATTACAGTAGTCGGCGAATATATCAATATAAAGAAGACGACTGTTTAATAATAATGCTTTGATCCCTAACAAGCCTTTTTTAAACTAAGTTAAATTAAATCTAAATTGAATTAAATTAAGTGTATTTTGTAAACAAAGAGAAACTGTTATTTGACAACTTCTGTTTGTATACATGTTTATGTCTAAAATAGAAAGAGTCTTCATTACTGATATATATAATGGGAAAGATTATACACGTTGTATAACTTTTAAGATTTTATGATGAATAATGACCTTGGCTTTGACAACACACCAGAACAAATAAACACACAAATTATACAATAGAAATATGCTGATGATACAACAAAAATCTTGTTTATATATTGAAAAGTATATCCCTTAAATTACAAAACACTGTAAGATAGTCTTTCTTTTTTAGATTGGACTTTTTCTATAATCTACTCAAAATTTTACGTTTATTTTTTAGAATGGCATTTTCAAATTAGCAAGAGGACTCAGTTAATCCGTCTGCTCAAAGTCTGCATTAAATGTATTAAAATGAAAAATTATTAAATTTAAATAATAAGAGGAGCAAACTTAAGTTACTTAGGCTTCTCTGGGATATCTTTGTTTTAAGATTGGTTGCGAATTTGCTGAATATGATCTGTTTAAACCTACTATTTTATACAAAATTCGGTATATGTATACCGATTATTGTGTAAATTTGGAATTTTTTTTATTAATTTCTTGAGATAGGAACCTCAGATAGATGTCACAAGGGTTTCGACCAATTCCTAGGTAAGTTAGGCTTCAGCTTATACCCCCTTTCATTTTTCCTTTACAGTCCCTTTAAGGGCCAAAAAACTACACATTCATATATTTTCTAAAAACTGAAAATATGGTTTTTAATTTGAGTTTTGTTACAAATCTTGTTTCCTACAAGGGAAGCAAGAATTGTACATAGATTAAAACAAAACTTTATCTTCAGCTTGGTGCACTGAAAGAAGGAGCCCCTCGTGGGTATACAAGCCATGCACAATGATACCGGTTTTTTACTCGACCAGATGTGAGGACTGGATTGGGAGATTCCTCTTAAGAGAGCTTTCAGGGTTCACAACTCCCTATTTTGCATAAGGGGTGCAATTTTGGGTTTTCCTCATTCCCCAAACTCGGAAAGAGTAGAACAAAGAAGGACAACAGGGAGCAATATTTGGAAAAACCTAAAAGTGTAAAAACAAGAAACAAGAAGCAATAAGAAAAAGGAAAATTAAACAGAAAAAAGTGGAAGGGAAATCTCTTAACAGTAGAGATGGGGGCTTAGAATACCTCCCCCCTCCATGGATAAAGCACGCCCCCACCTCCAGGTCTGGAAAAACACTGACACAAGCAACATGTGTAAACAGAGTAGAAAACTAAAACTGGAAACAGTATAAAAACAAGATAAACAAAAAAAAAAAAAACTTTTAACAGGAAAATTAGAAGGGGATTTGAGCTTCACACAATTTTTTTTTTCACCGATAGCGAATGAAGACAAGTACACAGTATGGCAGAGGTCCTATCCTCCCCCCCCCCTCTATGTATTCCTACTCGAAATAAAATAGATTGGAAAATGTGTAGAGCAGCTTACTCAAGCAAAATATGAAGGCAATTTAAGAGGAGAGGGTAGTGACCTTGCTCATCTCACCCCCCCCCCCCTTGGGCCTTCAAGAATTCAGAAGAGTTCTGAGATACAGGGTTTGGAAAAATAGTTCTTTTCTTGCAATTTGGCTAGCTGAAGGGACTTCCAAAAAATTCATTTCTTTTTATTTTCAAAATTAGCCGGAGTATGATTGAAGGATGGACGAGGGATGGACAATCAAGAAGAAAGAATGAAAAACAAGAAATATAGAAGTCTCAAAATATTTCCATCTGATATCATATCAAAAATCGAAAACATTGTAAAATTTGATTTAAATAAATTATTAAAGTTAAAAAAATTCTATTAAGCAAGCAATTCTAGATTTAAATAAAAAATTGACAAAGTTTTTTTTGTTGGCAAAAATAATATCTTCAGAAATTGGCAATTAATATTAGCTTACATTTTACATATGTACAATTTCTCAAACTAAAAGAATTATTGTACAGTAGATTTGTTGTACAATAATACTCAGAAAAAAGTTGCATTGATAATTTGGAAATATAATTTTTGTGAATATTAATTTTACAATTTTTTTATTTAATTGAATTGTATTTTGGATTTAAGTTTGATGTTAAAACTTTAAAATAAAAATATTTTGTTTACTTAGCTCAACATTTCACTTAATTTTATCTGAAAGAGAAAGTCAGAACTTATGATAGAAACATGTTTTAGCATTCTCAAAATTCATTAAATTATTAAATACTTAGAGTATAGATGATTATTATGATTAATTTAAGTTAAGTAGATGATTAAATCATTAAATCATTAGAATTGAAGTAGATGATAAATGGTGTTCTTTTAAGCTAGACAGTTTTTTAACAACACTTTCTCCATCTTTCTTGAATTTTTTTCAATCTGTGAAAATATTTAGATAACTTAAATATGAAAATTTTATATTGTAACAAGCTGCAATTTTTAAGTTCAAGAATGCACAAAAAGTTTTTCTGTAAAGTTTTGCAATTTTAATCAGATCCCTGGTGTTTAATTTTGCTTGCACCGCGGGGAAGTCTTCTTGAATATAATAATCTATACTTTTGGTCAAAATTTTAAAACTATCCTATTATTGGCTGCCTGTGAAACCTTCATACTAAGATGTAGCTTGATGAAAAGAACTGTTTTCGCGTATTTTCGGCATGAATCTTTGCAGATTTTACAAAAAATACAGCGAATAACAGTAACAATAGAACACTGGCTAGCCAGCAGTAAACAGTAAATAGTTTAACAATTATGATTGCTATTTACTGTGCAACTAAGTTTATTTAATGTAAGATATAATATAATATAAAGTTATTTCTTGAGTAAGTTACTGGCATCTCTACATAGAACTTTGTACATTTAATCACAACAGTCACTTTTTACCAAACTCAAAACAGAGTGTTAATAAACAACAAAAAAGGTAAATATAGACAAAAAAATTCTCAATGTCTGTTTTTTATTATGTTTTGGTTTCAATTTTTTTAAAAGGTCAGATAAAGTGCTTTCCACGAAATCAAACTTTCTCATCTCTATATCTTAACAACCTGATGGTTTAAACCTTTTATATTTCAAACTCTAACTATTTGATCTAACAAAATTCACAGTATGAAATATCAAAAGTCTACTACATCGGGTGGCAAAGATATAGTGATTAAGAATTAGAATTAGCGGCAAAAATAATTTTCTTAAATTTTACTTTTACTTTTATATTTCACTAACTAATTGGCTTTAGTGAAATAAAAATAATTTTTAAACTGGTTTTATATATATACTGATAAAGATGGTTGAATTGATTGATTGTGAATTTATGGGCTCAAGGGAAGCAACTCATCTAAATACGAAGAGTTATATGATCCTTGATTGAGAGATTGAACTGTAGAGTTAGATTCGGATTCTCCTGAAGCATCTAGCTGAAACTCTTCCTGAACATGAAAGGGAATTTAGGTGTAATGTAAAGGGGATGTCCGATTTACAACGAAACCCTAGTAAAAATAGTGAGTTTTTGCCATAAACTCTAATTACCTAATTCTTATATCTTTGCAACCCAATGTCCTATAGACCTTGGATATTTCAAACTATGAAGTCTTTTAGATCACATAATATAAGTTTGCACAGATATAGGGATTTGAAAACTCAGTTTCTTTATCTGATTTGATCAATTTGTCGCGTTAAAACTGTGCATGTGCATCCTTTTTTAAAGTTCTAATAAAAATATCTAATTTCTGCGACGGTTAAATATTAGTTTACGATATAAAACACGTTGCATTATAAAAGTGTTAACCGCTACAAGAGTTTCGACGGATATAGTACTGATAACTTGTCCTTTATAAGTCTCAGGTAACATTGTGAATTGAACATAACACTTAACAAATGATAAGTCATTTTAACTTTTATTTCCAGTGCCTTGAAACACTTTTTAAACCCGAAAATAAGGTTTAAATTTAAAATGAAATTAAATTAAAATAAGGTTTTAAAATTTCAACTTCAATTAACTAGCCTCTCATTGGCTAATTTTGAGTAGTTCAGCTAATTAAAATATATTGAATTACCTGAACTATAATAAGATAGTAGAGCCAGTATATTATATTGAAGACTGTGAACCCAAGAGGGAAAATCATGCGTGACACCTCATCTATCCCTGGGTAGAAATTATCCATAATCAAACATTCTCTAATCTTGATATTACGGACTTTAAAAGTCAGATTGACAAGAAGAAGAGCAACTGTTAAAGGTATTTGCCTAGCAACAGCATAAAATACTCAAAATAATGCTTAAATATCGTCTTATCATTCCACAGTTTTATGGGTCTCACTGTATTTCAGAAACTATACAACAAATCTTTATATCTTTGTGAAGTAGAATTTTCTTCTATGGATATAATCTGTCCCAGAGCTGTACATGCCGAGAAAACAATGGAATAAGAAGACTTATTAAAGAAATATATTTTAGTATAGCAAGCACCACATAGTCATAGGTTTAATATCTATAATTGAGTGATTTGGTCTCCAGGGTTAAATCTAATACCTCCATAAAGTGATCGGCGATTAATACAATGAAGACAATTTTTTGATTCATGTTTTGATTTTTAACAAGCTTTATCCTAATTACAAGTTAACAAGCAATCACAACTTTTCTTTGTTTTCATGTTTTTGTGTATCAAAGCTTGATATAAATTAAAATTGTAATCGAAAGTTGTCTTCATTATTGTGATATACAGGGAGTCCCATATCATCTATCTAGCATTTTCTGGAAATAATTTCCATTACCCTTATTATTTTTTTCAAAATGATTCATTCTTCTTACATTTTCTGTCCCCAAATCGTAATAAAGACCTATTGACGCGGTCTAATTTGATTTGGGACACCCTGTATGCAGTACTGAGACAAGATTAATATCTCAATCATTTTGACATTACAAAACTGACATACCGCATTTTGTCCCATAATTGGGGTGAAACATTTTAAGATTATCGAAACATATAAAACTTTCAAGTGCATTAACAAAATTAGCAAGGAAATTAATTTGAGATAAATTGCAATACTAAAATTAGCACAACCTGTTGCAAACTTTCTCCAACAATTTGCAGATGCAAGAGCAGTGGCAACCGGATCCTCATGCCTAGGGTCCTCCTGTAATAATCAATTAAAGGGACCGCTGACAATTGTCGTATATATCAATACAATACAGATGTTTTTTATTTCAATTTTAATTTCTACCAAACTTTTTATGGATACACAATAAAATTGTAAGTTGTTACCCCTTAGTTCGAAAAAAACCTTGTTAGAAATTTAAATTTAAATAGAAAAGTCGTTTTTATTGTATTGATATAAACGCTGACCACTATAATTCTTCATTTATAAAATAGAATGTCTGATGCACTACCGGAGGATCAAGAAAAAATGAGACATCCTAGTTTTTCTCTATGAAAATGGATTATTTTGGTATCTCTATAGCGCAACTTAGACAACGAGACGACGGAGGAAAGTTATCAGAATTCAGAAAAATGACGATGGTACTTTTTTATTCAAATATTTTAAGACGATCCTAACCGAAGCTTTATTAAAAAAGTTTGTTTAGGTACATTTTGTTTCTTTAGCTTAAAAAAAGAGACGACAACAATTCCGCACAAAAAAGACTTTTCAACGTTTGACAACAACAAAAAAATTAAAAATTTGTCTCAAACAATCAAAGGTTAAAATAGCAAATGTTTGTATCATCAGGTTGTGGAGATATTTTGCTTTCAACTAAAGTTGTGTAGTAAAGTTTCTTACTGACGATGTGCTCCAATGTGCGAGAAATGTCGTCTTCAAAGCAATGGACACTTAAATAGAGGGCCGTCTCATTTTGTACCCGCCAACTGTCCCATAAACTGTGACGTCATGGGAAACACATTTCCCCGTACAATAGAGTTCATCGAGATTAGAGAGTAAGTAACCTTAGACAAATAGATTTTGAGAAGTGTAATCAATTCCTCTAAACTGCATTATTAGTATTCCATAAAAAACTCAAATAAAATTTGTTGATATTCATGATGCTTGTTGTTAATCTCCCCAACAGAAATCTTAAACCAGCATAACATAACATTACATAGTTTCTTTTGTCCTTACAATTTAAAAAAAAAATGGCGTCTTCCAAGACTCTTTGAACTTTAGAGAAACATAATTAAATCGGGCAAATATTTGTATATTCTTTTAGATATATTTTCTTTTTGATATTTATATTCTTTTGAAATTTCAGAGATAAAGAATATTAAGATTCAAGAAAGAACTTTAGATTTAGATTTTTTTTACATATCAATTTCATTTATGAAAAGTAATCATCAAACCTAAACTGGATTTTCAAATCTAGCAATTTAAAGTATAAAGTAGAAACCACAATTTATTGCAGGATATTTGAATATTTGCACAGTAAACTTTATGCAATTTAAGCATTAATAAACAAATAAAACATTACAAATTATTACACAAGTCATAAAATTGTAAAAACTACAAAATTAAGTGAGTATCAGGATCTTTTAAAAATCATAATTAAAATGCTAAAATTACGAATGGAACAATTGCCTCAAATTTTTAATTTGTAAACCTTAAACATTTACAATTTAGTGAGGTAATCCGAAATATTGACTTCAGACTTTTTACTAAGTTAAGCAGAATTCAGAGTTTGAAATTTCACTAAATCTATGAATACACTAGGCTTTCAGGGCGCTTCGCGCCCATCTTCTATTTTAATTGTCAACATTTTCTCCTTATATGCATATTGTACAACAAAAACAACGAAAAATTTCGCGGATTTGAAAAAGAATTAGTGGATTTTTAATACTATCAAAATTCGAATTTTGTCAGAGGCAAATTTATGAGTATTCGTTAATTCATAAACCTTCAATGGGGTCATGCGAGATACCACACAAAATTTGGACCCGATCGGTTCAGCCGTTTGGACGTTTGTTGTACACATGCAGCTTAACAGACACCCAGACAATCAAAGTATATATATAAATTGTGTCACAATGGACTATAGGGTCTGTTACGCGAGCCATGCTGCGTGTAGAAAGTCTGCTTGTCACCCCTGGGTATTTCTGAGTTCTCCCTGAAGATCTGTACGGAATGTATTGTGAAAGAACTAGTTTAGGAACTGTTTACAGTCCGACTGCGCAGACGCAAGATTTCTCGCGGAGTAGTAGTTATATTTATATTCAGTATATGTTTATTCGTTTTGCAAGTATTTTCCGTGTTCAGAATTCTGGGATCACCGTGGTAATTATTTTATATATATCTATGTTTATCGGTTGATTCTAGTATGATTGATGATTATGTATTCGTTTATTGGTTCCTAGCCACAGTTTTTTAATGCCTGAGTGGATTATTTGTTATAATTGTATGATTTTCACTCAAAGCTTTTTCTGTGGGTTTATTAAATTTGTTTAGATTGAAGGCTCAGAGAAATAAACGTTCGGAACCTTACTATCTTCCTTTTTATTATGAAGAGCGTTGAGAGAAGGGAGTCTTACGATCAAATCCTGAGAAATACCAAACGGTACATATATTAGGTCTTTAGGGAAATCGCTAAGTAGCGAAACAGGGTCAATTTGAATTTGAACCAGAACGACCCCTTATAACATCCATATAGTGACGCGCAGCAAGTACCGACCCAACTCAGTTTCATTTTATTGGCGCAGCCATACTTTTTACAACCAGGCCTATCGTAGGCCTATTTAACCTACCCTACATAGTGTAGTTTATAGTGCGTGTTAGACATTTTGTGAATTGCATTTTCTTGTGTTAGTTATGGTGCTTTAGTTTTCATATTTACCAATTCTATCATGACGCATTTGTCTCCATTTTCAGTTTTCTTGGAGGTTTGGACAGGACACGGACTGGTTACGGTTGGGTAACGGTGATTCACTTTTCCCTTCGTCCTAAGATATAAAATATTAGTCAAGTAAAAAGTAAAAATCAACAGTTGGAGCCAGGATGCGAGATTCAGAGCTTGTTTATTGGGGCCTGGATTGTTGTGTTGTGGGATTCTCAGGTCGGTCGGCAAAGCCTGTGGTTTCAGACCATCTTGCGGTGGTTCATGGTGGCACTGCACTCCCTCCCTCAGGTTACATATTAAATTTATGGAGTAATATACTTTGATATTGAGTCGATTATCTACTGTCAGGGATTGGGCATTGTTGATTTAACCAATATATAAATAGATCTTATCAGTAACATATTACATAGTTTGGTATTTTGGTCAAATTTATGACATGGATTTATATGGTCAATTTTATTGACGAGGACATTAACAAATATTTGCAAAAATTCATCGAAAAATATTAACAATAGTTCTAGAAAAAATTACAGTTATATATCCATGCGCCTTCCATTTTTTTGCAAAGTTTTCTGTATGGTTTCCCTTATAATATCATTTTGAAATGAAAAAATAACCATACATTTTTAAATTTGAATGAAGGAAGTAAATGGAAAATTTAAAAATGCAGTTTTAATTTCCAAGATCAAAGAAAATTTAAAAAGAAGAAAAAAGCTTTTTATAAGATTAATTAACTAACCTTCGTTTTCAGAAAAAATAAAGGGTTAAAACTAATTAAAAGTGAATAATTTGAACGTTTTACAAACAAAAATTAACATATTACTCGCAACACCTAGTACTTTCAGCACGCAAATTTTTATATTTATCAAATGATTTTTTTCAAATGATTCATTCTACTTACCCCTATCCCTGCTGGGGTACTTGAAAACTAGGATATGCTGAGGGNCCCTCTAAATCCCATGTTTGATATCCAAATATGACAAATGATACATCATTGGAAAGCTCTTATGCTCTACTTTTAGAGTCTGAAAAAAATTTGCAAGTTTTCAAAAAAATTTTTTTTTTTTGCAAAATCCTTCCATATAGTAAAATTGTTAGCAAACTGAAATGTCCAAAAATTGATAAAATATACATATTTGAAAAGCCCTTGACCATGCAATTTCAAATATGCAAAACATTTGCAAAATTTCAAAAAAAACCTGATGTGTAATAAAGAATAACACAAAAAAGTGCAGTTATTTCTTTTTGACTGGTTGTATGCAAATAATTTGCAAATATTTCTTTTCAAAACTTGTGCAACTTGTGCCCTACATTCAGTGCATTTAAGGGGGCGGAAACGTCATGTATGTGTTTCTGCGCCAAAAGAGTGTGTGTAAGTAAGTAAAACAGAACCGAAAGGTGTGAACTGCAAGTTTTATACAGTACATAAGAATCTCGGTATTTGTACAGTCTGGGAGAGTACATTTGTTTATTGTTAATTATTTACTTAAAAATAAGTTTAATATACATTTATACATTTAATATATTATTCATACATTTAAGTCAACACTATAAGCCAAATTTACATGCAAAGAATATAATTTGATTAAAGTTTACAATAAACTACTTGATATTCAAGCTTAATTATGATTGATGACATTGTTCTACAATTTCCTTGACTGTAGTCATGTTGTGCGATGTACCAAAAAGACTGTGCGTATGTAATAACGAACTCGTCTGCAAAGAAGTGTGACTGGCTTTCTCATGTCAGACCAGCGTCATTTCCTTTCCCTTTATTCCTATTCCCTGGTGCAATTACTGAGATTTAGGAATACTATTCTTCTTCTTATAAAATTCTCAGCGGCAAAACCCATAAACTGTTCAAGACGACATTTATTCAATTCTTCCGATGTATTCGATATGAATATATATATATGAATCTATGTAAGAAAGTCCCGGGGGAAAAAGTTTCTGGAAAAAAACCTGGAAATAAAAACTTTGGAAAAAAGTCCAAATTTTCTCAAGTCCTTGGGAAAAATGTCACTGGAAATAAAGTCCTGTGTTTTGGATTCATGGGACTTATTATCCTAAAGTAGTATGGGGGCTGCCAATAAAGTCTCAGGAAATAAGATCTCAGGAAAAAAATTCCTGGAGAAAATAAATCCAAGGAAAAGAAAAACCTAGAAAAAAAGGACTTTTTCCATTGTGAATCATGCATTTTCACTTGTTAGAGGACTTTTTTCCCGAGGATTTTTTTTTGTATAAAATCATACTGGAGCCAGAAAAAAAGTCCTAGAAAATAAAGTCTCGAATTGGTTGGAATTTATTTCCGGAGACTTTTTAATAAAAGGACTTTTTTCCACAGGACTTTTTTAGTGTGAAATTTTAGGACTTTTTTCCAGAAACTTTTTTTCCAAGGACTTTTTTGGCGGTCACCATATATATAGGGTTTAACTGTATTTTTTTATGAAGGGACAACTACCTATTTCTGATATATAATGACTAAAAGAGTGGAATGTTAGAAAATAATATTTTTGGAAAACTTTGATCAAGATCAGCTAAATATTTATGTTGCTTCAATATCCTATCAATTTTCCAGTAGATTACATTCATATTGGAATTGTTTCTCTCAAAACTTTGTAAGTCTCAATTTGACAATTTATTATTTTACAGATGGCTTTATATGACGATAAGGAAAGCTATAAATATATCAAGAATAAAATCAAATAAAATCAAATATAGGGATTTGTTTCAAAATTTGTTTTGATCATAATTCTTCATGAAAGCAAACTTAATAATCTAATGTATAAATTTTCCTCTAAAAATGCTTGAAAATTAAATCAAATTAGAACTAACTATAAAATTCTCACTGAAGTCACAAAAATGGCATAATTTTAACAGGATAAACTAAACGTTTGAATTATTTTAATACTTTAATTCAAAGTAAATATACTAGAGCTATTTAAATAGTACATATCATGATTTTGTATTCTCACTAATTACAACACTAAAATGACAGCAAAAAATTGCATGTATAAAAAATTTATATAATACATCCCCAATAATCAGGAGACTTTAATGACGACCTTAAACTTTATAAATATGCTAAAGGAATTGAGTCTTTGCCACAAACTCTGATTTTATAAACCAATGTCTTAGATCTGTGACTTTTCAAACTATGACCTCTGTTAGATCAAATAATATAAGTTTGAAATATCGAAGGTTAACGTCATTGGGTTCCAAAGATATAGGGATTAGAAAGAAAGAGTTTGTGACAAAGACTCAATTCCTTTGTCTCAAAGTCATTCTAATGTTTAGCTATGCAATTTGTATATAAATATAAAAATATATATAAACATACATACATACAGTTTACATTGCAATTTTCTTCCTTAAAACTGGTGAATTAGCTTGAATTTGATATCTATAGTTAGTTCAGTTTTGTATTACCTCCACGTGTAGTTGACAAATGTAAATTCTACCAGTGCAGCAAATACAAATGCAGTACATGTACCCATCCAGATATCAATGGCCTTAATAGAATGTAAGGATTGGCATTCTTTCATAAATGATTGTCACTTTAAAAATGTTTTTAATCTAGATTAATTTTTGGATTAACAAAAGGGATAGTTTTTACAAAGAATAAATTAAACATTAATTATATCTATTTATGTCATTGTAGTGGGTATTATTAAGTGAGTTTTTGCCGGGATTTTTACGCATGAGTTTTATTCAGTTTTACTCAAATTATTTAAAAGCAGGTCGATAAAGTTACTTAATCATCCTTTTGTAGGGTGATTAAGTAACTTTATCACCCTGCAATGAGACAAATTAGGCATGAAATTTGAAATTTGAATAGCAGGGTGAAAAAGTTACTTTTTTGCCCTGTTGTATAGGGTGATAAAGTTCACCCTACAACGGGAAATATTAGGTGTGATAAATTCGATCAAAATTGAATAAACTATTTAAATACCTTCACATAAGAAGTCTGAGGCACATTTGTTCCTAAAATTTATATAATATAAGAGCATTATTTCAAGTGGTGCCTCATTCCCAACCATATCCTTAAAATTTATATAATATAAGCATTATTTCAAGTGGTGCCTCATTCCCAACCATATCCTTAAAATTTATATAATATAAGCATAATTTCAAGTGGTGCCTCATTCCCAACCATATCCTTAAAATTTATATAATATAAGCATTATTTCAAGTGGTGCCTCATTCCCAACCATATCCTTAAAATTTATATAATATAAGAGCATTATTTCAAGTGTTGCCTCATTCCCAACCATATCCTTAAAAGCGTTGTCTGATCAAGTTTGATTTGAAAATCAATGTTTAATTTATAAATCTATTGTGACTTGCGTATTTTTACTGCGGGAAAACATGAAGAAATTCTCAAAATTAAACACTTTTAAATCTAGAAAAATGATAATATTATCCACATTATTGAAAAGATAAAGGTTTCCAGGGTACCATTGTGAATCGGGCAATGTTATCTTCGCATGGAGGGTCACTTGAAATTACATTTACAGTCCCTTTAAGAAAGAATAAGTTTTATTTTATTTTATTAATTTGATCGAATATTGAAGAAAGAAGAAATAAGCATTTACTTAATTGAATGAAAGAAAATGTAAAGAGGGGAGATATTTAATGCAAATCTAATGTAAGGTAAAATAAATAAGTAAAGAATTATCCATTGAATACAGGATAATTTTATTTAGAGTGAATCAATGAAAGCTTTTAATCAAGAAAATTATCAATAAAAATTGCAAAGATTCATCATGATTTGAATTCATATTCTAGAGATAACCAAACATGTGTTAATTACATTTATTTATCAAACTTAAAGGGAGTGTTCGCGAAAAATGAAAGGGGGTATAGGCTTAATGCGATAAAAAAGCGCTTTTGATCGCTACTAATCTTACTTCTCTCTGTTGCGTCTATAAGGAGAAAATTGTTAAAGACGACTAATACCGAAGAACGTAGTGTCCATACAAATTCAGAAAGATGCAACATGCGACTTAGACCGTAAAAAAAATCAATTTAATTTCAAACAAATCATTCAGATATTACAACATATAGTCATCGATTATCTTTCGCCACATTTGTATATAGTTGATTTTTCATAATATGTTTTAATTGTTATGATCTGAGAGTTACTTATAAAAACATTTATTCCTGTTTTGAGGATTTTTGGTAATGAAGACGACATTTTCAAATTTTCCAGGAATGTTCGAAAACAAGTTGCAAGCTAAATATTATTTTAAAAAATAAAATCAGAGCATATTATGAAAAATCAACTATATACAAATGTGGCGAAAGATAATCGATGACCATAGGTTGTAATATCTGAATGATTTGTTTGAAATTAAATAGATTTTTTTACGGTCTAAGTCGTATGTTGCATCTTTCTTAATTTGTATGGACACTACGTTCTTCGGTATTAGTTGTCTTTAACAATTTTCTCCTTATAGACGCAACAGATAGAAGTAAAATTAGTAGCGATCAAAAGCGCTTTTTTATCGCATTAAGCCTATACCCCCTTTCATTTTTCGCGAACACTCCCTTTAAAGTTTCTTTACACCAGTTTTCATTTAAACTTTTAACATTTTTAGATTTAGATTTTTTCCAGATTTTTATAAAACAAATTTATTGATACATGTATTTAATGCAGAATGCAGATAATCATTTTCTAATAGAAGATTTAAAAAAACAGGATTGTAAATTAGACATTTAACTGAAATAAAGGATTGAAAAATAGACATTAAATTGAATTAATTGGGAATAAAAATTGTTTATACATATTTCTTAATGTCAAATTAATTAACTAACAAATTCTGTGTGCTGAAAGTTTATTTTTCCATTCTGAAAGAAGATAATCTGAATGAATTTTTGGTTAGGATTAACATTTTAATGTTAGGGTTTCCATGTGGCAAAAAATCACAAAATTTGTATCATTCTTCTGCTATCTGTAACAACAAAAACACTGACAATTAATGTTTGTCAAATATTGCAAATGGAAATTCTTCGTTAACGCCAAAATTTGTTAACAGAGGCAAAACTTGGCATAATACAAAAATGCACAAAAGTTGAAATATTCAAGTTCTTATGAAATTTTATAGAGCCTTATGAAATCCAAAATGTAAATAACATATAAAAAGTAGGATGCTTATCACTTCCTGTAGGGGATACTGCAGTCATACAGGTAGGAATAGCTAATCAAATCATGGAATAAAAATATGGAATAAAAGAAAATAGAGATAAAGACACACCGGGATTGGGAATCAAATTTCCTGAATAGAGTATCTCAGGAAGATTCATTCTACATATTGGAAAACTTCTAATTATATCAGCCTGGATATTAAAATAATCAGCTTTATTACAATAAATTGTTCAGGCCATGTGATAAAAATACTGATACTTTAAAATGGTCAATTAATTTGTTAATGAAGGTTTTGAAAAAAATTAGGTCCGAGTGGTTCTCTAGGAATATAAAAAAGACTACCTGAAGCTTGGTTGGATATGGAAAGCAGAGTTATTACACCGAGGGATACCCTTCCGGGAACAGATTCTATATCCATCCAGAAACTAACCCAGGATATCCCAACTTTAACCAACCATTGCATCTTTTCTTATTCTTACTTAGTTTCAAATTAATATCTTACTCTCTTCCTTCCTTTTCATTTTGTATTACTCTATGACAAAACTGACAGGACATAAGAAATTAACAAAAGTCTTTTAACAGTGGGAAATTTAAAAGATTGGCAGTATGTCCATTTAATTTTGTATTTAGCTGGTCGGTTAAACATGGAGGAATTAAATTTAATTTAAATTTAATTCAAAGTAAAATTGATTGAAAGACAACACATACAGTATCTCTTACACTTGCAGTGACTCTCCAAGTCTTGGAGTCCAAGAGGAGTAGTTTTGGACAATTCTATTATATTCTTACCTGTTCACAGAGCAGAGTACATCTATACAGAGCAGTGTACACTATGACCTCATTTAAATTCACAGAGCAGAGTACATCTGTACTGTACACTACTTTATGAGTTCATACCTTGTCTTTGAGTAGAAATGGCAAGCAGTGTAACTCCTCCTAGAGTAACACGTGCTGGAACTGTCTCAACATCTATCCAGAAGGAAACCCAGGAAATAACAACTTCAAAAACTGTCATTGAACATCTACTTAACATGCTTAAACACAAGCCTGAAAGTGATACCAATTAAACACAGAAATAATGGTTTAATTCAACAATTATTTTATTTTGCTTATTTGTAGATGGTAAAAGTATTCCTGTGAAACATCCAGTGTTGAAGCAATAACCAGCAGATTAAAGCTAATGTCGCGTTTGAATTTAATTTAATTGAAACAATCTGAATGAACAAAACTTAACCTAATTTCTACAATCACTTTCAATGTAAGCTGGGTTGCAAAACTTACATAAACTAACTTTTTTCTTATTATATTATACATAATCTATCATTTATAAGTGTACCATGCTTAATGTATGAATACTGATATTCAAAACTACCCAAATCCCTGAATTCAGATAAATACTCAAATATTCTGTGCTGATAGTAAGTAACTGTAGCTAGAAATCTTTAAATATACAATTTGATGGCTGGGGCCTTGTTCTTTCTGTTCAATTTATTTTTCATATTTACTTTTACTTTTTTTTTACATTATTTACATATTATTTTTTTCTTTACTCTTGTTGGTTCTCCTTCCTTCTTCTTATTTTATATATTCTTTTATTTCTTTATTAATTTTTTTCTTGTTTCTTATTAATTCTTCTTACACAAATTCAATGATTTCTAGTTAAGATTGCTAACTGCAAAGTGTAAAAAATGTGGGTGTGTTTGTTAACTTAGGAATTTTGGCAATACAGGATTTGTAAAAATGCATCTCTATAACTGGAGAAACAGAAAAAGAAAACTTTTAAGCAGTTTCAGCCAACTGCCAAATATCATAAACAAAGATTACCTTTTCCCTAATATTTGAGCCTGAGGTTGAATTTCCAATAAAGGTAGCACAATTTGTGCTCATAAAGTTAGGCTAAAAGGTTGCAAAAATAGACATTAATCATTTTGAACTTTAAAGAGCTTCATTAGAATAAGCTGATGAATAGTAAATGATGATATTTGTGAAATTTTGCGCACAATTTTTAATTAAATTTTTCTGATAAGCAAGCAGTTTGAACTTGATGTTCCTATTAAATATTTTAAATGAGGGTAGGATATTTTTTATTGACAAATCAAACTCTATTCAGAAACTAATCAAAAAAAAAGAATTTTTTTGTAAATTTAGCCAAACTGTCTATCAATTTTAAACTACAAAATTCTATTGAAAGTGCCAAATCAAACTGACACATCCTTTAACCCTGCTAACTCTAAACAACCACCACAACAATGTGATTTAAACAGGTAAAAAAGTTACGTCTTTCCAAATAAATCAACCCTGACAAATTTTATGGTAATTAACTGTGTTTACTAAGTCACAAACTATTTTTCAACAATAATGCATCACTTCAATGGCTAGGAAGGGAGTCTCTACAATAAAATTAAAAACTTATGAAATGATGCAATGACTTCCCCATTAGCATTGATGGCAGATAGTTCTGAATAAGGTGAAAACTGATCGATCTCTTCATGTGGAATTTTGCCACCAAGCAGCTGTAGTTTCCTAAACATCAATATTAAATGTTAGATAATTAATTGAAAACAAAAATTTTTATTGCAAAAATATTAGATTATCAAATCCCAATTGATCAAAAATCTTTAAATGATCAAATAAATGTACGCTAAACAGGTAGGAAAACTATTTTTTCCAAAAATATCATACAATTTTACAATAAAGTTAATTCTATAGTTTAAGGTATGCTTAAACATATTTTACTGATTAAACTTCTGTAAAATGAAAACTCTCTCTTTCACGCAATCTATTTTTTCTTCTTTCTCTTCTCTTCTATTTTCTGCTCTTCTCTTCTATTTTCTTCTATTTTCTAGTCTTCTCTTCTCTACTATTCATTTTCTTCTCTTCTCCTTTCTCTGTTCATTTTTTCTTCTCTTCTCTTTTCTTCTTTTTTTCTTTTCTATATTCTTATCTTTTCTTTTCTTCCGTTCTCTTATCTCTTTCTTCTCTTCCCTTATTTCTTATTGTCTTGTCTTTGCTCTTTGTTGTTGACATTTAACCCATTTTGAGATGAACAATGCAGTACAATCCGTTGTTGTGATTTTTCTTTGATTTGTTTACATTTCTAGCTTGTAGACCTAATTGAAACGTACTGTGTTTGTACTAGATAATTAGGCATTTGATTATTTGGCATTTTATATTCTAATTTTTTCCCTTTTTTATTCACCAATCTATTACCAGACATGTGATTATGCCTAGATACACTTTGTGGGATAAAAAAAACCATATACTGTTTAATAAAATTAAGTTAGTTTACACAAATAATTTTTCAATGTCAAATGTCAAATATTGATATTCCAATACAGAAGGTGAAAAGCAAAAAATTGATTTTCCGTATTTCTGGACAACACTGTACATTTCTCCTTTGACGGCCTAAGGTTAAATATTAACTGTCAATGCCTTCTTACAATTGCAGAGTTAAAAGAAGGATTATAGATTATCCTGCTACTTAGAATATGCATTGAAATTTAAACTTTTAAACAAAATAAAAATGTTATCGTTATAAAAGTTTTTATGCCTTTTTTATAGTGCAAATCAAAGACTTTGCTAATTAAAGATAGCGCAGCAGAAAATCTACGCAAATGTCTACTGTCTCATCTTTATATACATAGAGCATCTTTGGAGCAAATGTTCATGCTTTAAAAATTAAATCATAACAAATAATCTAATCTTAAATTTAAAAAAAGGATGTTTTTTTCTGAAGCCAAGAAAATAGATTTCTAAAATCCACAACAAGATTTTAAATTGAAAATATCCAAATTGGTTCTCTGTCTGTAAAATGCACATCTAAGTAGGAAATACATTTTGAACTTTATAATAATGGAGAACGAATTTTCTTTTCTTTTGAGAAGGTAGAATATTTGCTTAAAGTAATGGATATTAGCACAAAAGTAAAAAGCCTCCAAGGGACAGATGAAAATCTATATAACCTATTCCTGCAGGAGTCCTAAATATAGAATATATGTACATTGCATATTATTACAAAAGATAAATTTTTGTAAAGGATTTCTTTTAAAAGTAAATGTTCAAAGTTCACCAAAATTTAAGAATCCTTTTTCAGATTTAACAATACCAGATTTATATAAGTAGGGTTCATAAAGATTAGACTTAACAGAATAGAGAAAATAAAGATAAGATGTAGAAATATTTTAAAATCTAGCCATTCTCTAGAGACCAATGTAACTAAAGAGGATGTTCAACTTAGCCCAGGAAAAACCTCTGAAACCCAAAAACACAATTTTACACATCTATTTTTTTAACCCTATCTCTGCTGGGGTACTTGATCCAAAAAGCAAAATTTTATCAAAATCTGACAAGTGGAAGTGGGTCAAAACAAAGACTTAGTTTGTTACAGGAGAAAGCAGTCATCAAGGCAGTGTGCCTGAGGACTCAGGCAGTTAGTATTGAAGCCGGGTTTTAGGCCTACAGGGAGGGCTTTGGGTATGTAGGAAAAGTCAGAAAATTTCAACAGCCTCAGACCAATACTTGAGTTATGAAAAAAAAAAACTACAGGAATAGGGTTAAAAAGGTTGAAATATGAAAATTTAAGGATAATGTTTCACACTGATTGGATTTACATTACATAATACGTATCATCTAAATTGTTTTTAAAATTCATAATTTTTGTGTTTTAAATCTTTGACTTCAAGGCTTAGCGGGCTACCTTTCCCGTTAAATGATAAACCTTTGATATAGAATACCTCTGGTACCAGTGAAAGAAGCTTGTATGTTAGCTGGATTTAAAACGCAAAAGTTTCAACTTTTGAAATTTTCTCTGATTTAGGGGCTTATGTGTTTCAAGTTAATTCCTGCTGCTAGAGATGGGCATTTTTTTTTGAACAAACACAATTTTTTTGAACAAACTAAATTTTTCAGAAAAAAGGAAGGATATTGACAAATGAACTAAAAAAAATATCGTTTTTTAAAACCAAAAGAAAAAACGAAAAAAAATGATTTAAAATTGTTAAAACATTGGGTTGGGAAAATATAGAAATTAGTAAAGTTATTGGCAAAGACTCAATTTCTTTGCTGCAGCATAAAAAGGCTATTCAACTGAGAATTTAGAAATTCATGAAGCTAGAATGCAAAATTTGTTAACTTTTGTCATAAAACAGGATTGAGTTTTTACACAAAACATTTTCCGTCATATCTCAAATATTAATCAGAAAATACTAGGGTAGGGCACTGTTCCGTTATATAATACTTCGGCTTTTGAAAAATTAACAAAAGTTTCAAAATACTTTCAAAATGTCGACAAAGTTAGATCAGAATTAAAACAAGAATCACTACTTCATATTAATGTTATTTTATAAATAGACTTGTTAATGCCGTTAAATATCTTAATCTTTAACAAAAAATTGCTTGATTAATGATAGTAAAATCCGTTAACTGAAAGGTCAAAAGATACGTAAAAATGAACATTGAATTAATGAGCTTGTTCCATAATTTGAACCATTAACAAACCATTTTAAAAATTCTTAACTTGAGACTTTTTAGTTGGCACAGTTTCAATTTGTAATTTCTTTATCTTAACATTTTCTTAAAGTAAAGTGAAACATAACAATTGCAGTACTCAATCGTTAAGCTCTCTCTATTTGTTCATATTTACACTTGTGCAGCAATTAATCTGTAGATGGTTTAGTGTAAAGTGCTATAACCTTAAACCCCTCTCTCTACCTATCCTTTCCTTATCCTTATCAGTGGTGCAAATTTGAACCGACAGACAGGTAATGCAGCAACTTCTGCTCAAATTCATTAAATTTGGTGTAAAATCCAACTAAAAAGGCTGGCTGCTAGAGATGGGCATGTTCGACTTTTTTATCTCGTTTTTTCATCGTTTTTAAACGACCCATTTTGTTTGTTTTTTCCAATCTTTCAAAAATAAAATTGATTTCGTTCGTTCTTGAAATTAATGGTCATTTTCCATCTATTTCGTTCGTTTTCTCACAGAACGATCGTTCAGTAAATTTGTTTGTTCATGGTTAAATCTTTGTTAAATAAAATAGTTTGGTTCATAAAAAAACAATAGTTTTTACAAAAATCTGTATGAAAAAATTTTATGTTCAGTATAAAACAACCTTGTTCCAAAAATGTTTTTTCCCAAATCTCTTGTAAAATTTGTGCGTCCACAAAAAAGATAGTTTTCAAGTTCATTCAAAAGTTTTTAATTTTACCTTTTTTTTTAAACCAATCTTTTTTTGTTTCTCGGAACAATCCATTTTGTTCGTCCATTATTCGTTTATTTTCTAAACAACAGCCTAGTTTTCACTAAACATTTATTTTCTCTCTAAAATTTCATTCGTTCAATAAAACGATGCCCATCTCTACTGGCCGGTTGACAACTATCAGCTGCCATAGTTTTAACTATAACCCCCTTCCCCCCTGGTGTAAAGTCCTGCTAAAAAGGCTGGTAGGTGGACAATTATCAGCCCATCCCCCTTGTGTAAAGTTCAGATAAATAGGCTACCAGGTAGAAAATTATTATCCCCCCCTTGTGTAAAGTCCAGCTAAATAGGCTACCAGGTAGACAATTATTATCCCCCCCCCCCTTGTGTGAAGTCCAGCTAAATAGGCTGGCAGGTGGACAATTATCAACCCCCCTGGTACTCACCCATATGATTATAATCATCACACTGTTTAGCTGTAACCTTCTCTAGGGTAAACTGTGGCATCTTCAAGTCCTTAGCAACAGTTACAGATTCCTCAACCTTCATGAAATAAGCATATGAGTACCTGCCACAGGCCCTGGTTTTCTAAACCCTATATCTTTGCAACCCCATGTCACAGACCTTTGATACCTCAATCCAGGAATTTTGGAAGATCAAATAAACCATAAAAATTGAAGCATCATCCGGTTTAAGAAATATTAGGATTAAAGAATCAGATTTTCGAGCAAAAACTCACTTCCTTAATCTATAGCAAGTTGATAGATTTTTTAATTATAATAATTTATTTCAATTACAATTTCTATTTCTATAACATTTGATACATTTTTGGAAAGCCCTTGGACTCTACTTTAATAATCTGCAAAAAATGGCAAATTTTCAAAAATCTAAATATTTATTGCGAAATCTAGTTATTAAGCAAAAAAGTGCAAAAAAACGCTCAAATTTTAACAAATTATAAATTTTTTAAAAGCCCTTGACTCAGCAAATTCAAATATGCAAAAACATTTGCAGAATTTTTATAACCTAGATGTGTATTCAAGAAAAATGGAAAATGTGCAAATTCTCTTTAAAGGCGTCTGTGCAAATTTGTGCAAAATTTCGTCGCAAAATTAATGCAATCTGCTTGCTTAAGTTATAGGCTTTCTAAAGAGCTATTAAATGTTTAAGTTTAATGAATGGAAGTAGGTCTAAATATAGATTTAGTCTGGCATACGAAAAATATTGCATTTAACCAGTATGCCTAAGGCCTCAGGCAGTAGGTATAAAAGCATAGCTTTTAGCCTTGAGTGAGGGGCATGGGTTAGATAGAAAAGCCAGAAAATTAGAGAGCTTCCTAGCTAAAATACCTTTTGAGTTATCGCAAAAAAACGCTAGAGGGTCCAACGTAAGAAAGCAGGGAATTATTCTAATGTTTTGCATGATTTATACCTCTATATTAGAAGGATTTTTCAGAGAAAAGAAAATATTTTTGCTAAATATATTCTTTTACCCGTAAAGCTCAGAAAAGAGTTTTTGAGATAGAATAGTACTTTCTCACTCAAATTCAAGTCATAGTTGGGGGATTTGGGGACCAACATTAGGTAGAAGGGGGGGGATCAAGTTATATTTGGGGGATTAGGGGACTAACACTAAGTGGAAGGGGGGGAGCCAAGATTTTGTTAATGATGATTAGATTTACCTTAGACCAGTGTAGAACCATTTCTCGAGTGGTTTTGGAAACTGAAACAAATTAAATTAATTGAAAGTGTTGGGAAGAAAATAAAAAGAACTCAAGTTGTAATGAAAACTGAAATATGACAGCGAAGATTCTATAGAACGGACAAGTAGTGGCTTGATCAGGTTCCTTCTGGGTAAAGTGTCCAGAGAAGAACTTCAAGGGACAGTAGATAAAATTTCAAACTTGACCCTCTATTTATATAAAATGTCTGATACAAAACTGGTCGATTATCTTTCGCCACATTTGTATATGGTTGATTTTTCATAATATGGTTTAATTGTTATGATCTGAGAGTTACGTTTAAAAACATTTATTCCTGTTTCAAGGATTTTTTGGTAATGAAGACGACATTTCAATATTTTCCAGGAATGTTCCAAAACAAGTTGTAAGCTAAATATTATTTTAAAAAATAAAATCAAAACATATTTTGAAAAATCAACTATATTCAAATGTGGCGAAAGATAATCGATGACTATAGGTTGTAATATCTGAATGATTTGTTTGAAATTAAATAGATTTTTTAACGGTCTAAGTCGTATGTTGCATCTTTCTGAATTTGTATAGACACTACGTTCTTCGGTATTAGTCGTTTTTAACAATTTTCTCCTTATAGACACAACAGCTAGAAGTAAGATTAGTAGCGATCAAAAGCGCTTTTTCATCGCATTAAGCCTATACCCCCTTTCATTTTTCGCAAACACTCCCTTTAAACTTAGTCTTCGTCGCAAAATTTCTCTTATATCACACAAATTTTGGATTAGATTTTTGCAAGAACTATAAATAGTAATTTTACTCACAAGTATAGGAATTGTCGATTTATTTGGTTACATAAGAAGTAAATATTTCCATTTATGTTGTAGCGCCGATATAAGGATTTTTCTCTGATTGGAAACGTAGCTAGATAGAAAGATAGATGTTACCGCCATGCAATTTCTATTGGTTCAGAATAGACAACAAACACATGACTGAACCCTAATTGGATCAAGCGCTAATGGACTCGGCATACTAGAGGAGGAATAATTGAAAACATATATGATTTCAATCTTACCCATAATTTACTTTAGTTTGGTGTGTCTGAAGTAGTGACATGATAAAATCATTGAATTAAAAACAGATTCAGAATTTTGAAAATTTTCCCTTTCGAAAGCTTTTAAGTTTTCCGTTTTTCATTGAAATAAAACGAATGTTGGAAGAGGCTTGAACTTAAATACCGCTTAATTACAATTCTCCAAAACACTTGCCAACATCTACAATCTTAGCGATGCTTGAATGGTAATTCGAACATTAAAATAACGTTATAAAAGGACTGTACGCGTAATTTCAAAAGACTTGTAATGTAAAGATAAGAATACAACGGTACCCTTAAAAGATTTGTCGGAACAAGTATGAATAAGATATGCATCTCTATATATTCAAAATATTTACATATTTTCATTAGTGGTTTCCATAGATAAATAAATAAACATAGATAGCTTATGTACGCAAAATCACCAAAAATTGTACAGTCCGAATTCATACTTCTAGGGGTCAAAGTGTAATTCGATGATAAGCGGGGTGGTTTGGTATTTTAATGGATTTCATATAATAAGTGTAAAATAGCTCCGGGAATGGAACTATTTGAACAACAATATTTCACTGAAGAAGGACATGAGAAGGACTAGACTAACTTAAATTTCTCTCTACAGAACTCATGTACACCACAAGTACTCAATGACATAAGAACAGCCAATGTTCACAACCGACCTAGTTAATCTATATAATAGGAATATCTTTAAAACATCTCTGTACATTTATATCTTTCAAGATGAAAAATGTCGTCTTATGCGCAATCTATCTTTATCTATGGTGGTTTCTCTGAAATGAAGAAAGTCATGATAGGCAAAAAAGCCTATTTAAGTCCGAACAATTCATCTGTTAAATTGGGATTTTTGTATTTCCTATCTTTTACTTTTTTGTTCGTCTATATTTTAAACTTTAAATTAACAACATGTCGTTTTTTTCGACAGATTTAGAATTAGAGATGAAAATATTAGTGAAAATATATTGATACAGAAAGTTGATGCACTTAATTAGCTGTATAATTAGTTCTACATGACAAAAAATCTTGGTTTTTGTTTATGCAAAACGGTTGCCATCAGAAGCCATCTTCATGTTTTCGATAAATCAAACAGATAGTTTTTCTGCTAAAATTATACTTACACGAAGAAATCATCATTCCACAAGTTTGTTCATCCAGAGGGTATCTACTCAGTTCCATCATACAGGAGAATTTTAATCTTAATCTAGATATTTTAATACAGAGGTTATCTACTCTATACAGGAGAACTTTAATCTTAATCTAGATATTTTAATACAGAGGTTATCATACTTAATACAGGAGAACTTTAATCTCAATCTAGATATTTTAATACAGAGGTTATCTACTCTATACAGGAGAACTTTAATCTCAATCTAGATATCTTAATACAGAGGTTATCTACTCTATACAGGAGAACTTTAACCTCAATCTAGATATTCAAATACAGAGGTTATCTACTCTATACAGGAGAACTTTAATCTTAATCTAGATATTTTAATACAGAGGTTATCTACTCTATACAGGAGAACTTTAATCTCAATCTAGATATTCAAATACAGAGGGTATGTACTCTATACAGGAGAACTTTAATCTCAATCTAGATATTTTAATACAGAGGTTATCTACTCTATACAGGAAAACTTTAATCTCAATCTAGATATTCAAATACAGAGGTTATCTACTCTATACAGGAGAACTTTAATCTCAATCTAGATATTTAAAACAGAGGGTATCTACTTAATACAGGAGAACTTTAATCTCAATCTAGATATTTTAATACAGAGGTTATCTACTCTATACAGGAGAACTTTAATCTTAATCTAGATATTTTAATACAGAGGGTATCTACTCTATACAGGAGAACTTTAATCTCAATCTAGATATTTTAATACAGAGGTTATCTACTCTATACAGGAGAACTTTAAACTCAATCTAGATATCTTAATACAGAGGTTATCTACTCTATACAGGAGAACTTTAATCTCAATCTAGATATTCAAATACAGAGGTTATATACTCTATACAGGAGAACTTTAATCTTAATCTAGATATTTTAATACAGAGGGTATCTACTTAATACAGAAGAACTTTAATCTTAATCTAGATATTCAATATAGAGGTTATCTACTCTATACAGGAGAACTTTAATTTCAATCTAGATATTCAAATACAGAGGGTATCTACTCTATATAGGAGAGCTTTAATATCAATTTAGATATTTTAATACTTTTAAAAAACTGATTGAAATTCTATGATTCTAACAAAAATGAATAATTCGAAGAGACAGAAAATGAAATGAAAATTATTATTTAATATCTTTATAATAAAATTTAAGACATTCGTTTATGTTCCCTGTGGCCGACCAAACGGCTGGACCGAATGGACTGAAATTTGTTGTGGACACTCATGGTTAGCCTGGGGGGATATAGGCCTAAAAAAAGACTTTACTTTTTCAACATTTTTCAATTTTTTTCCACGGGCAACGTCATGCCCTTTTGCATGTATAATATAATACTAAATTGTGCTTCTTCCATAAACAATAAAGTAATTAACTAATTAGTGTTAAAATGGAGAATTTAATGGGACCTTTACGTAAACTAGAATCATTAAATATTCACTGTGGAGTGTGGACGTGGTTGGCTTTGTATAAAACATTAATAAAAAAACGTACTTTAAAAATGTGCGCAAAATGTACTTACAAGTATCATGGTTCCTTTTCCTAAGATTTTCAAAAAAATTCAAACTTCCTTTTGTGTCGTTTATTTTGAAAAATGCTCAATCATATCATTGAAAATGCGAAACTTATTCTATTCTGTTGTATAAAACGTAAAAACAAAATCAAAATTTTAATTTTTTGAAAATCTTTGAAAAGAGACAGAGTACACTTTCGAATATTTGATTTACTTTAAAAAGTGAAAATCGCATTTTATAGGATATTTTTACAAAAAAATGCGGAATTCCGTGAGAAAAAAATATGCGACATTGCAACATTTTTGTTCCTTTCGTAAGATATCTTTAGGCAAAAAAATGCAAACATTTCTCAAAATGGATTACGAAAGTCGAAATTTTTTGCATTTCTTTCTATGCACGCAATGCGAAAAAAAAGCAAAATATTCAAAACGATTTCCCCATTTTACAATATCGAACATTTCGTTTTATAATTAATGAATTGTGGAAGACGAGACCCAGCGGCCTCCTTACAGCAAAGCCAGGAACAAAGAAGAGAGCTGAAGAATTCTACGCTGCATTCTCTCAAGATCTGTTCATGTGATTTCGACCGATATATATATAGACCTGCTTGTTTTCTTAGATTTAAATATATACTCCAGAAAGACTCCTTGCGTTATTTGGAGACCGACGCGACGTCCTCCATATTGGTGACCCCGACCGTGAACACGAAGGAGAACGAGTGAACTCTAAACACGAAGGAGAACGAGTGAACTTTAAACACGAAGGAGGAAGAGTGAATCCTACTTAGACATATATACGTGATCAAGTAACATGAGTGAGAACGACGGAAACCTTCCTGCCCCCGCTGCCCACTACGTCACGAAGGTGGCCGTCAAGCTTCCCGATTTCTGGTCTGACAATCCTGACCTCTGGTTTATCCATGCCGAATCTGCATTCCGCAACGCTCAAGTGACACAATCAAGAACGAAGTTCGACCATGTAAACTTCCGCAGAATATCATGGTTTCAGTGCGTGGCCTAATTCTTAGTTCCTCTGCTACTTCCTCTACACCCTACGAGGATTTGAAGGCCAAGCTGGTGGCCTCTTACACCTTATCTCGCTGGCAGAGGGTTTCTAAGGTCATTCATCATCCTGCTTTAGGTGACCGCCGCCCCACAGCCCTGATGGACGCCATGCTGGCGTTACTACCTGAAGATGAAGTTCCTGGAAGCCTGTTCCTAGGCTTATTCCTCGAGAGGTTACCTGTGGAGATGAGAGACCACCTGGTGGCCAAGGATTTCAAGAATCCCAGTGAGATGGCGTTGCACGCCGTTAAATTGTGGGATGCTCGTAGAGCACAGGCAGTAGATTCTTCTCTCCTTGCTGCAGCTTCTACCTCTCCTTCACGTGCTCGAGGGAGAGATCGTTCCGATGGTTCTCCTGTCCGCCGAAGCCAGACTCCAGGACCCGCAGGAGCTGGTGAATGTTACTTCCACAAGTGTTTCTGGAAATCTGCAAATAATTGCCGTCCACCATGCAATTTCCAGGGAAACTCCAGGGCCGACGGGAGGAGGAGGAATTAAACAGTCTTCCCGTCGGCGATTTCCTTATTTATCTACAAGATGTCCTCTCCAACCGCAACTTTTTGGTCGACACAGATGCATCACGCTCAGTTTTTCCGCATCATTCGTCAGCCGCTCCCACAGGTCCTCGTTTACTGATGGCTGATGGTCGTCCTACCAAAGCTTGGGGTTCTAGGACTATTCCGCTCCAGTTTGGTAACCGCCAATTCCAGTTTTCTATTCTATTAGCAGATGTTGACCGTCCTATACTAGGAGCTGATTTTCTGGCTGAATTTGACCTTCTGGTGGATGCTTCTAATCGACAGGTTCTGGAACGTGCATCTATGAAACCTCTTTCTGCTCCAGTCATGTCAACCGCCGACCTCGCCGTTGCTTCAGTCTTCAAACTTGCTCCTGATGTTGCCTCCCTTCTGAAGGAATTCCCTGCTGCCTGGGAACCTCGCCAACCTGGTCAACTCCCAGCTCACAAGGTAGAACATGTTATAGAGACTGAAGGTCAGCCACTGTTTGCCCGTGCCCGCTGATTGGATCAAGCAAAGCTGGAATCTGCTAAAGCTGAGTTTCGCAAGATGGAAGAAGCAGGAATTATACGACGCTCTGACAGTCCTTGGGCCTCTCCTCTACACATGGTTCCTAAACCAGATGGTTCTTGGCGTCCTTGCGGCGATTACCGCCGTTTGAACAACGTGACTAAGCCTGATCGTTATCCTTTACCAAATATCCGTGATTTTACAAATAATTTGAAACAATGTACAGTTTTTTCAAAACTAGATTTAGTGAAGGGTTATCATCAAGTACCCATGAACAGTGAGGATATTTGTAAAACCGCCATAGTCACGCCTTTCGGTTTATTCGAGTTCCTGTCCATGCCCTTCGGGTTGAAGAATGCTGCACAGACCTTTCAACGTCTCATGGACCGGATCTTTAAAGGTTTACCTTTCGTCTTTATCTACCTTGACGACATTCTGGTGGCGAGTCGTGGACGAGGTCTTCACCTGAAACATCTCCGAGTTGTACTGGAGCTCCTGGTGCAGAATGGCCTGGTCATCAACCTCGACAAATGCAGTTTTGCTCTTCCGGAGATTGATTATCTCGGTCACAAGATTACAGCCACAGGAATTGTTCCGCTCCGCTGTCATGTTGATTCACTACTCCAGCTGCCTCCTCCTCAGGATGTCCGTTCCTTGCAGAGATTCCTTGGCATGGTCAATTTCTACAGGAGATTTCTTCCAGGGATTGCAAAGATTCTCCGTCCGCTCACAGATGCTCTAGCTGGTAATCCTAAATCATTAAATTGGTCAGAAACTCATCAGGAAGCCTTCGAGAAAGCCAAGTCCGCCCTTTCCTCCGCCGTTCCATTGACTCACCCTTCTCCGTCCGCCGAAGTTTCCCTCGTGACAGATGCTTCCGCCTCACACGTTGGTGCAGTCCTGCAACAGCGTGAAAGATCCAGTTGGAGACCTCTAGCCTTCTTCTCCGCCAAACTCTCCGCCACCCAGCAAAGATATTCCGCCTTTGACAGGGAGTTGTTGGGAGTTTTTCTCGCTCTACGTCATTTCCGTTTCGAGCTAGAAGGTAGAAAATTCCACATCATCACAGATCATCTACCCCTGGTTTCCGCCCTGTTCCGAGTTTCTCCGCCCTGGTCAGCACGCCAACAACGCCAATTATCTTACATATCAGAGTTTACCAGTGATATTCGCCACACTCCAGGTTCCGCCAATGTTGTAGCAGATAATCTTTCCCGTCCATCTCCTCCTTTCCATCCTCCTTCCCATCCGCCTTCCCTTTGTCATCCGCCTTTTGCCCATCCCCCTGGTGGTCAGGTGTTGGAGGTGTCGGAGGTGTCGGAGGTGTCGGAGGTGTCGGAGGTGTCGGAGGTGTCGGAGGTGTCGGAGGTGTCGGAGGTGTCGGAGGTGTCAGATTCTTCTCTACCCTCACCTTCCAACCTCCGCCAAAGGTATTAATTTTGAAGAGTTAGCATCAGACCAACTTTCCTGTCCAGAGATTCTCCGCCTACGTAAATCTCCCTCTCTCCGCCTCGTCTCTGTACCTGTGAAGAATGGTTCTCTACTCTGCGATGCTAGAACGCAAGTTCTCCGCCCGCTAGTACCATCTTCTCAGCGATTCAAGACAAAAAGAATATTAAATTTTGTGTGCCCACAAGTAGGAAATCAACCCCACCACTTCTTCTTATCTGCTCGTCATGATTATCATAACCAAAATTTAGCATAAAAAACCTTTTAGTGCGGCGCCCTTTTTTTATACTAAAATTTCAACTGCTAACCGTTGCTCTTCAATCTACTAATTGAAAATTATATTTTGCGGATTTTTCAAAAGTAGAAAATGTTGACATTATTTTCTGAGAAAACTTTCTATCGTTGACCATCCATAGTCAATTCCTCATATGATTCTATCATGTGAGTTGTCCCTATAAATATGAGCCCGATCGGTTCAGCCGTGTTGACGTTTTATCGACCGACGAAAAAGTTTATATATATAGAAGATTGAGAAAAATCTTGTCCTTTCTTTGTAACCTTTGCATATTTTATAAGAATTAGATTCAAACTTCAAATCTATCTTACCATACATAACAACAGGATATAAACAGGAACCATATATATATATATATATATATATATATATAAACAGGAACTCTTTAAATAAACAAGAATCAGGGATGTAAACAGGAACCAGGGATATTATCATGAACCAGTAATATAAATAGGAACCAGGGATATTATCAGGAACAAGTAATATAAATAGGAACCAGGGATATCATCAGGAACCAGTAATATAAATAGGAACCAGGGATATTATCAGGAACCAGTAATATAAGTAGGAGCCAGTGATATAAATAGGAACCAGGGATATAAACAGGAACCAGGGATATAAATAGGAGCCTGGGATATAAACAGGAACCAGGGATATAAACAGGAACCAAGGATATAAACAGGAACCAGGGATAAAAAACAGGAACCAAGGATATAAACAGGAACCAAGGATATAAACAGGAACCAGGGATATAAACAGGAGCCAAGGTTATAAACAGGAACCAGGGATATAAACAGGAACCAGGGATATAAACAGGAACCAGGGATATAAACACTGAAACAGGAACTAGGGATATAAAAAAGAGTATCAACAGGGGGAAAAATGCTTGTAGGATCAAAATAATTGGATAACCGTCCTCTGCTCTGCACATATTTTGAAAAAGAAATATTATTTTATATTCCAGAATTTCCCGGGGCAGGGTTTACACAATCTTCTCAGTTTTCAAGAAAATATTTAAATTTCCTGGGTGTGAATAAGCACAATCGGAGGCAGATGCCATTAAATACACCCATCTTACATCAAATGATATTTTATCTTTAGAATTTTAATAATTTATAAAACTCCAAGTATTAAGGGATTAAAAATCTCATTTACCCCAACCCTCCACCCACCGACCAACTACCCTACCAGCTTCCAGGGTGAACATAAATAAATTGTTAGGGAAATGTATCAAAAAAGGGGAGAAATTAAAAAATACAATCTCCATTTCTCAATTTCCCCCAAAATACCCAGCCCGGGGAGAATACCTGAGAATGTAGAGAATTTGTCCATCTGGATGAATTCTTATTAAGAGGTTTGGCATTGTGACAAATTGGAAATCTCCTTCCTAATCATAAATACACTGTTATAAAAAACATAAAGAAGGACTAACTGCGTCTAAGCCTTTTGCTTTTTTAACATCAAATTCACAGAAGATTGCTTACACGTTTTATTCTTATTTTAAAGAGGTTTGGGTTAATTTAATTCTTGGTATTAAATTTTCACAAACAGCAGAATCCATAAACTATGGAATAGGAAGACGACTGTTGGTCTCCAGGTATGATTTTATGTTGTTGTAACACTGAGTTTATATAAATAAATGTCAGATTCAAACATTTTATCAAAACAAACTGTTATTAAATTGCTAAAAGAAATTGCTTTCATCAAACAAACATTTTTAAGCAGTTTTTTGTTCGATTTTTATTGTCTTGATTTTTATTGTTTTGGTTCGATTTCTGAAAATTTTCAATAGAACTTCCAAGATTTTAAAACTATCATAAGTTAGGATTTACTTTGCAGCTTTGCAATATTTTTACCCTAAAGAAAAGTAAACACTACCCTATAACTATGGTTATGTTTTGGATTGATTTGGGTCGCTTTAGTTTCGTTTTGTTAGTAACATATAAATTTAGAATAACAAATTTTGAAGACAATTGCTTTTCTTACACAATGACAATTTAACCCTATCTCTGCTGGGGTACTTGAAAACCAGGATATGCTGGGGGAGGTTCACTTTGACCCCCTCCCCCCTCTAAATCCCATGTTTAATGTCCAAATATGACAAATGATACATCATTGGAAAGCTCTTGTGCTCTACTTTTAGAATCTGCAAAAAAAATTGTCCAAAAAATGAAAATTTATACATTTTTCAAAAGCCCTTCACCATGCCATTTCAAATATGCAAAAATCTTTGCAAAATTTTAAATAACCTGAATTTTAATCAAGAAAAACTAAAAATGTGCAAATTTCTTTAGACAGGTTGTTTGCAAAAACTTTGCAATTTTTTTCGCAAAACTTGTGCAATTCGTTTCCTTATGTCAAAGTCTTTCCAAAAAGCTAAATTTTATCAAAATCTGACAAGTGGAAGTGGGTTAAAACAAAGATTTAGTTTGTTACAGGAAAAAACAGTCATTCAGGCAGTGTGCCTGAGGACTCAGGCAGTTAGTATTAGATACCTAAAGGGAGGGCTTTGGGTATGTAGGAAAATTCTGAAAATTTCAACAGCCTCAGACCAATACTTTTTGAGTTATGTAAAAAAAACTACAGGGGGGGGGTCAAATTGAACTCCCCCCCTCCCAGCAGGAATAGGGTTAAGGGCCCTGTACGCAAATGTAGACAAAAAAGATCCAAAAACGAGTCAAATAAATGTGTAAGAGTGTATACTCCCCTGAAGATGAGACCATATTAAAGGTTCTAATAAATATATTTATTATTCGATCTGGAATCAATGGATCAAATTAATAACTAATCATAAAAATTATTAAATGTCATAAACAATATAATGGTTTTTCTTTTCATTTTTTTTCATAGTCTTCATCTAAACTTATGTAAAGGCTGAAACATTTTCATGAAACTAAAGCATTTTTCGATAAAATAAAAATTGACCACCGAAAATGTCTATTTGTGGCCGAAAAACAAGTTATACAATTGATTTTCTAATTTTTTCAAAATATATCGATATGGGTATCAAAAGATCCGCCTTGCACTGGAAAGAATGAGGGAAATCACTAAATCAGCTCTTTTCCATAGTTTTTCAGCTCCAGCTTGGCTTTCCGTTGAATATGGCTTGGAAAGACGGATTTTTTATGCCCATTTCGACATATTTTAAGAAGAAGAAAAGCAGAAGAAGTACGGGCGTTTTTTATCAAAAAGGCCATTTTCCATGCGTCAATTTTGATGTTTGCGAAAAACACTTTTTGTAAATATTTCTTAGAATTTAAAGAAAAATATTATTCGTTCGATTTCAACTATAAAATGAACTTTCAGTCTTTCCTTTCACTAAAGAAATTTCCATTCGTTAACGATCTCGTTTTTTTAAACGGTCTTAACAGCCATGATAGCCCAAATGTTTTGTAACTGTTTAACCGTTAACGATTCATAGTCAGTTGGTTAGCGCGATTTGTGCTCCTTTATGACAAATGGTTTCAGGGTTTAATTTCGAGAAGTTCTTTTTTTTAACAATATTTTTCAGTTTAAAATTCTTTTTAACAAAATTTTAGATTTACCTTAGCAATGGGGAAATATTAGAATTAGAATAGATTTACCTTAGCATTGGGGAAATATTAGATTTAAATTAGAATTATAATATATTTACCTTAGCACTGGGGAAATATTAGATTTACCTTAGCACTGGGGAAATATTAAATTTATCTTAGCATTGGGGAAATATTAGATTTAAATTAGAATTAGAATAGATTTATCTTGGCACTGGAGAAATATTAGATTTAAATTAGAATTAGAATAGATTTACCTTAGCATTGGGGAAATATTAGATTTAAATTAGAATTAGAATAGATTTACCTTAGCACTGGGGAAATATTAGATTTACCTTAGCAGTTGTGAAATATTAGATTTACCTTAGTATTGGGGAAATATTAGATTTATCTTAGCATTGGGGAAATATTTGATTTATCTTAGCATTAGGGAAAATTAGATTTATCTTAGCATTGGGGAAATATTAGATTTACCTTAGCATTGGGGAAATATTAGATTTACCTTAGCACTGGGGAAATATTAGATTTACCTTAGCATTGGGGAAATATTAGATTTACCTTAGCACTGGGGAAATATTTGATTTATCTTAGCATTGGGGAAATATTAGATTTACCTTAGCACTGGGGAAATATTTGATTTATCTTAGGATCGGGAAAAATATTAGAATTAGCTTGGTATTGGAAAAGTATTAAATTACCTTAGCATTGGGGAAAAATATTTCCGGTTTCCAGATTGCTTTCACGAGATTAGGATCCGCTAAATCCAGGGGTTCCTGGACATACACAAGATTAGGATCCACTAAATACAGGATTAGGATCCACTAAATATAAGATTAGGATCCACCAAATACAAGATTAGGATCAACTAAATATAAGATTAGGATCCATTATTTATTTATTATTTATATTTCATTAGTTTATTTTTCCGGGGTTTGTATTTCCGGAGTTTGTATTTCCAAAGTTTGTGTCTTCGAGTTCGTATTTCCAGAGTTTGCATTTCCAGAGTTTGTATTTCCAGAGTTCGTATTTCCAGAGTTTGTATGTCCGGATTTAAAATTCAGTGATGGTGATGGACCAAACCTCTGTAGAGTAAAAAAGTAGATGTTAGTTCCACATTTATTGAAAATATATTTCGGTCTGGGTTGACCCTCGTCAGTTCTTGAGATTGTTTCTTCACAAAGATTATATTTCCATTGTTTTTGTGTCCGGAATTTGCATTTCCGGAGTTTATATTTCCGGAGTGATGACACCATTTCTATTTCCTCTCGTGCAAGTATTTGTTTATTAAGTAGAAGGACAATGGTATTATAAAAGCTTTCTTGATGAATGGGTAAGGGAGGAATCATAATTTACAGCAATTGTATTTACTATTCATTTTTTTGATTCATATCAGGCAAGGCAAGGTAAGGAGAGGGTCAAAGGAATTGAGTCTTTGCCACACGTTCAATTTTAATAATCCATATGTCTTTGCAACCTGATGATATAAACCTCTGATATTTCAAACTTACATTATTTGGTCTAACAGCATTCATAGTTTGAAATTTCAAAAGTCTACAACATTGGGTTGCAGCGTTATTGAAATTAGAAAATCAGAGTTTGTGGCAAAAACTCAATTCCTTTTGTGATCTCGTACCTTCGCTAGTTTTTTATTTTATGCACAAATTTTCTCATTCCTATTTCTTTGCAATCTGATGGTGTAAGCCGATGATATTTCAAACTTAGACTATATTTGATCTAACAGAATTCATAATTGTAAATATCAAAGGTCTACGACATCGGGTTGTCAAGATATATGTGAGAAAAAGTTAGAGTTTGTGGCAAAAACTCCTTTTCTTTCTCCGGTTCCGTTATAAAAATAACAAACTTTTTAGTTCTTCTGAATAGCTCTTTAATAAAAGAAGTTATTGAAAATATGAAAAAAATTCCATTTTACATGGAATTAGCTTGAGTTTGACATGAAAGAAAACTTAAAGAATGCGTACTAAATACAGAATTTTTTCAACTGCCTTGTTGTGGTAGTTTTCGGTTCTAAGATCTCGATTTTGAAAAATAAAAGGTTGAATAAAAATCAAATTTTTTCCTATGAGACACTTCACTACTTAATGAACAAATTTTAGTAAGGTTCCTATCTATCCTTCGAAATATTTATTTTTTAAATCCCTTTTCTACATTTTTGCAGGTCGACCTAATCGTTTTAAAATAAGATTTCATTTCAAAAAGAAAATAAACATTTTGCAGGAAAATAAATTATCCATGATTCCTTTCATGATTCAATTTTTCTTTTCTAGTTATTGTTTGCTTTCCTTTTTCCTTATAAAAGACTAAGAATTAAATTGTCTCGTTTTCATGAGAATTTGAGATTAAAGATAATATTTTGATGAACTTTTAATGAAGTACAATTCAATTACAATCCGTAATTGAATTGTTTTCTTTTTATGAAAATAAAAAAAAATACTAAAAAGCATTTGAACATCATCATATAGTTTATATATTGATATAATTTGAACATCATCATATAGTTTATAGAGATTGATATAATTTGAACATCTTCATATAGTTTATAGAGATTGATATAATTTGAACATCATCATATAGTTTATAGAGATTGATATAATTTGAACATCATCATATAGTTTACAGAGATTGATATAATTTGAACATCATCATATAGTTTATAGAGATTGATATAATTTGAACATCATCATATAGTTTATAGAGATTGATATAATTTGATCTGCACTCAAAATTCCAAATAAAAAATTAGAGCCGTTTTTTCCATCTCTTCAGGATTTCACTTTCAATCTGCAGTTTTGAGAATTTAGTAAAATCCTGATAAAGTAACAAAACCATGACAAAACTTTTCGAAAAAATTAACATAATCATAATAATTTCTTTAGAGAAATAGATTTTTTTCTGATTCAGTGAATTCATAGCTGAATGAAGGATATGTCCAATGTCCCTGTTTTAAAGGAGTCGCTAACGTAAATGTTTAAAGGGATCCTACGCGTGCATTTTTTATTCTATAAACTCCATTTTTTAGTTTTTAGTACCCTTGAAACCTTTTTCCGATCAATAATGTGGAAGATATTGTCGTTTTTGAGGTTTGAAAGGATTTATTTCTGATAATTTCTATTTGTGATCCTGCAGTAAAAATGCGCTAGTCACTTTTGTACAAACCCCAATTGAAATAAAACCGTTTTCAAAATTATAAAAAATTCATATCTAATTCATACTTAATCAGACAAAGCTTTTGGGTACCATTGTGAATCAGGCATTGGCTTATTTGCATGGAGGGTCATTTGAAAATACGCTTACAATTCCTTTAAATTGAGATTTAGAAGAAAAATACCGAAAAAATAGTTTTGGTACATTACAATGTAATTACTAAAATGTCATATATGTTCATGTATCTACAAATGTACTGTATACAAATGTACTGTGTACAAATGTACTGTGTACAAATGTACTGTGTATGTATAAAAAGATTATATTTCTTTGTTTTTATGTTGATTAAGTAAGTTTATTCTGGCTCATAGCATAATTAAATCTAGAATGTCCTTCAGCATACCTTTGCTTGATATTGCATATTTTTTAAGCACTCCTTCATATTTTCTTATTCCTAGTCAATATGCAGGCACAATACATAAGTAATTATTGATTTATATTTTTAGTATTTTGAAAGAAGTTTTTAAATGGTGGAACGGAGTTCTAATAAACCGTTGTTTGTCTTAAAAGTCGTTGAAAATCGATCTAAGATTAATTTTGTCTGCCAAAAGTTCAGAAACGAACAATGAAAAAAAAATGGAAGCAAGTACGATATTATAAAGTTTTGTTAGTTAAGATGAAATAATGGTGAGTTGAAAACAGCATTCAAAATATGAAATTGACGCTTTAGAAATAGACCCAAAAAGCCTATTTTTGTGAAAATGTAATAAAAGCATTAAAGTGTCTTTATATGTTATACATTTACAAGTGAAATGCATAAATAAAACATTTCTTACATAAATGCCAATAAAAATTCAAATACTTCTTTTATATAACTATAAAACTCTTATCTTAAACCAATAGAAATTATAATTTATAGATATACACCAGTGTTAAAATTAATTCGAAATATAAGGAAGACGATTTTTCCAACTCAATGCCGTAGCCTTTTCTCTATATGTATGTGTACTCAAGATCCATTTCCTCCTCATGTAGTGCCCACATGTCGAATCCCCGCTCATCCCAGCTCCCTTCCTGTATTCAGTCATGTTAGGACAGTTGAACTAGTAACAGCTGCGACACAGGGAGCCTCTTGACTCCTTTATGATGATGACGCAGATACTCAATTAGCAGCAGACAGGCTTACCCGAGGGTTCCCAGTTTATCATGCACTCCTCTTCCAGAGACTACATAATCGCTCAAATCCAGCATGATAAAGCCGCGATCTCTGCCTACTAGGTTGGATAAGCCCTGTTGCCCCAGTTCCTGATGATCTGCTCCACCAACATGAAGCTCTACAACACTCCAATGAAGTACCATCAAATATCCATCCATAATTCCTTTGTTAATTTCTAAATCAACCAATTTTAACTCCGCCTTAAATGCAAATATTTCAAAACACTTTCGTTTTAAATAAATGTTAGAAATATCCATTTTAGATCTCTTTATTTTATTATAGTGACTTTTCAAGTCAACAACCAGATATCTAACTTTCTTCAATGCTATTAAATAGTAATTTTAATCCTAATTTTGATTTAATTTGTTAAACTCAAATCTTTTATCAATCATGATTTTTCTAAAATACATTCGGAAAAAACAAGATTTTATAAATGGAAATGTTTAACATTTTTAAATTGAATTGAAGAAAACTAATGGTATTTAGAGATTAATAACCTTTAAGTATATTAAATTTAATGAAAAGAAAATTATGAAGGCTGCAGTATTCAATACACAACTTTAATTTTGAATGAAGATTTCATCTTTTTTCTATTCTGACAGTTTTCCTTTTTTATCTGGGGTAGAAACTCTGAAAAGTTACTTTTACGGAAACCCATTTTTTGAAAATTATCAATATTGTAAAATTAAGTTCACAGTCGAGTTGATCGTTTTCTCTCGTTTTCATTTTTTATCTCTCGTATTTTTTTCGGTTTCTTTCGTTTTTTCTCGTTTTCTCACATTTTCTCACGTTTTCTCTTATTTTCTCTTATTTTTCTCTTATTTTCTCTTATTTTCTTTCATTTTCTCTCTTTTCTCTCATTTTTCTCCTTTTCTCTCTATTTCTCTCTATTTCTCTCTATTTCTTTCTATTTCTCTCCTTTTCTCTCGTTTTCTCTCGTTTTATCTCGTCGATCTCTCATTTTCTCTCGTTTTCTCTATTTTTTTTCGTTTTCTCTCGTTGTCTCTCGTTGATCTCTCTTTTTCTCTCGTTTTCTCCTGTTTCCTCTCAATTTCTCTAATTTCCTTTCGTTTTCTCTCTACGCTGCTCACTTAACATTAAAGATCTAACAACTACTTTTTTAACTCTTTTTTTTCTGATGGGAGGGTAGAATGGTATTAGCAAATTTTACTAATATACCTGTAAACTATCTGATGGGAGGGTAGACTAGTATATAATATACCTGTAAACTATCTGATGGGAGGGTAGAATAGTATATAATATACCTGTAAACTATCTGATGGGAGGGTGGACTAGTATATAATATACCTGTAAACTATCTGATGGGAGGGTGGGTGGACTAGTATATAATATACATGTAAACTATCTGATGGGAGGGTAGAATAGTATATAGTATACCTGTAAACTATCTGATAGGAGGGTAGACTAGTATATAATATACCTGTAAACTATCTGATGGGAGGGTAGACTAGTATATAATATACATGTAAACTATCTGATGAAAGGGTAGAATAGTATATAATATACCTGTAAACTATCTGATGGGAGGGTAGAATAGTATATAGTATACCTGTAAACTATCTGATGGGAGGGTAGACTAGAATATAATATACCTGTAAACTATCTGATGGGAGGGTAGACTAGTATATAATATACCTGTAAACTATCTGATGAAAGGGTAGAATAGTATATAATATACCTGTAAACTATCTGATGGGAGGGTAGAATAGTATATAATATACCTGTAAACTATCTGATGAAAGGGTAGAATAGTATATAATATACTTGTAAACTATCTGATGGGAGGGTAGACTAGTATATAATATACCTGTAAACTATCTGATGGGAGGGAAGACTATTATATAATTTACTTGTAAACTATCTGATGGGAGGGTAGACTAGTATATAATATACCTGTAAACTATCTGATGGGAGGGTGGACTAGTATATAATATACCTGTAAATTATCTGATGGGAGGGTAGACTAGTATATAATATACATGTAAACTATCTGATGGGAGGGTAGACTAGTATATAATATACCTGTAAACTATCTGAGGAGAGTCTCGAGTCCTGCCATTTTTGCTTCAAGTAAAGATCCGTTGTGTAGTCCTAAAAAAGTATTTTATGGATCTGATTCAAATTTAAAACTTTTTTAAAGGGACTGCTGAGGTAATTTCTTAAAAGACACATCCAGCAGATTACAACCTTAAAGGGACTGGAAAGGAGAAATGAAAGGGGCTGAAACCTGAGAATCTCAGGAGTTGAACGATAAGTCATCTTTTTGATGTTCCTGTCTCGAATAATTTACATACAACTGTGTCAAAATTATACCAAAACGTACATAAATGTAGAATATATGTTTGTATCAGGTGACCAGAACTACCCCAATGACTGGTCACGTAATACAGTTGGAGGCACGTGACAATAATACTGCAATGCCATTGGTTGGAGTACTGGTGACGTCGTCCGGACGTGTAAATAATATTATCATTATATCTATAATAGGAGCACACACCCGAGATTCCCAGACTCCTGTGGGATATCGTCGTTTTCAGACTGGGTACGTATTTACGTATTTGTTGAATATGATCCATTTAATTCTACGAATGTACACATGGTATAAATTTCTCAAGACAAGAACATCAGATAGAACTCTTATAGTTCTTAATCAGCTCCTGAGATTATCAGGTTTCAGCCTATACCCGCCCACTTTCATTTTTCCTTTACAATCCCTTTAATCTCTTAAATAATATAAAAACTAACGTCGAATTATTAAGCTTGAAAATAATCAGCTATAAAAAAATAAAAAAACATGGATACACTTTTTAGAAGAAAGCTTTAAAGGATTCCATTGTAAATTGAGAAGAACAAAAATAATTTGAATTTCTGATATCTGTAAACAGATGAATTTGCTTTTCTCACAGTTGGGCGTAAACTCAAAACTACAGGAGCTACGAGGTCAAAAAGTCGTACTAGCAATTTTGTTGCATAAATTTGACATTGTCTTCAGTGTGTATTAAAGATAGAAACCGGAACTTAGGTCTTAATTTTGAAACCTGTTCTAAATCGTAAAAAAACATACTTTTCATTAAATACAAATTGAAGTTCATCTTCAAGTCCCCCCCCCCTCATTTATCATTTTTTTCTAGGAGACATTATAAAAATTATTGAACAGAAATTAAGATTAACTACACAAGTTTCCTAATTATTCATACAATAGGCTCATTAGATATTCATATTCTGCAGAATAATTCATGTTTGGATACTATTCAACAACTCGATAAAAAATATTATTTTTTATGTTTAACTTTAAAAAGCCGATGATTTTAAAACATGTTCTATCTCTATAAACTTTGATGCATTGCGAGTGTTAATGAGGTCCTAACACAAAATACTGTATTGCCTAAAATCTAATTGATTTTTAAAGGGCTTTTAATTTTGAAAAAAAAAATTAATGTTCACTGTATATACACTTCAAAGAAATTATAATGAGCTTATTCAAGTCTAGAAGGTTCAATAATAAAGGCAATGTAAGAAACGATCAAAATAGTAATATATAAATGGCAAAAGATGGCTTAATTAAATAACATGTTGTAGATATGTACGCCTTGCCGGCATCCTTCATATACTTTACAATACTAAGATTTAAAATAATTTTTAAATTATCTCTATTATAAATATATTTATATATTGTTCATGGACAGAAATATATGTATGACGTCAGAGAAATGTAAACTTATATACTATGTTGTTTCTAAGTTGTATATAATAGGATTACCAGTTTCCCGACGTCAATAAAAATCTTTATTTCTTCTCTTAACGAACATAAAATTGTGACCCCAATAAGCCAAAAATTTGTCAATGCGGTTAAAACCAAACCATGGGTTCAGTCATTGCTAATCAAACCATAATTTTCACTCAAAACTACCAAAAACACTTTGTTTGCTGAAAAAGTGCACTTGCACATATTTATTACGTTTAAATCTGAATTAAATTCTTCAAATGAATGGTAATTTCAGAAGCATAAAATGTAGACCACATCTTGGAAATTCCAGGACCAGAAATTTTTGGGTTTTCCGCAATATATTTAAAGAATTAAAGGCGATCTTCAAGTAGTCACTAAACTGACATGTATTGTGTGAAACCCTGTATAAAAATATATTTACCATATATTAAGTGACACCCTGCGTATAAAATACATTTACCATATATTGTGTGACACCCTGTATATAAAATATATTTTCCATATATTGTGTGACACCCTGTGTATAAAAAATATTTATCATAAATTGTGTGACACCCTGTGTATAAAATAAATTTACCATATATTGTGTGACACCCTGTATATAAAATATGTTTACCCTATATTGTGTGACACCCTGTATATAAAATATATTTACCATATTATCTGTGTTTATTGAGCCCATACTTGCCACATAGAACTCACAGTAAACATTGGTTGCAACACCTAGAAATTAGAAATTATTTACATTATTTATTAATTTATTTATTTAAATTATTATTATTATTTATGTACTGTAGCTTGGGAACCCAGCTTTGATTATCTATTTACATTATTTATATACTGTAGCTTGGGAACCCAGATTTTGACTATCTATATACATTATTTATATACTGTAGCTTGGGAACCCAGCTTTCATTATCTATATACATTATTTATGTACTAGCTTGGGAACCCAGATTTTATTATCTATATACATTATTTATATATACTGTAGCTTGGAACCCAGCTTTTATTATCTATGTACATTATTTATACACTAGCTTGGGAACCCAGATTTGATTATCTATGTACATTATTTATATACTAGCTTGGGAACCCAGATTTTATTATCTATATACATTATTTATACACTAGCTTGGGAACCCAGCTTTTATTATCTATGTACATTATTTGTACACTAGCTTGGGAACCCAGATTTGATTATCTATGTACATTATTTATACACTAGCTTGAGCCCAGCTTTTATTATCTATATACATTATTTATACACTAGCTTGGGAACCCAGATTTGATTATCTATATACATTATTTATATACTAGCTTGGGAACCAAGATTTTATTATCTATATACATTATTTATATACTGTAGCTTGGGAACCCAGCTTTTATTATCTATATACATCATTTATACACTAGCTTGGGAATCCAGCTTTTATTATCTATATATATTATTTATACACTAGCTTGGGAACCCAGCTTTTATTATCTATGTACATTATTTATACACTAGCTTGGGAACCCAGTTTTTATTATCTATATACATTTTTTATACACTAGCTTGGCAACCCAGCTTTTATTATCTATATACATTATTTATACACTAGCTTGGGAACCCAGCTTTTATTATCTATATACATTATTTATATACTAGCTTGGGAACCCAGCTTATATTATCTATATACATTATTTATATACTGTGGCTTGGGAACCCAGCTTTTATTATCTATATACATTATTTATATACTAGCTTGGGAACCCAGCTTTTATTATCTATATACATTATTTATATACTAGCTTGGGAGCCCAGCTTTGATTATCTATATACATTATTTATATACTATCAATGTAGATAATGTCGATTTCAGATTTAATAATGTTTGTGGAAAATGGTTTTTATAGTTTTATAAATAGTTTTTTTTCTTTTCCAACAATATTGCCAAGAACAATTTAATACTTTTTAAAATTATACTCATTGATGACTACTTTTTATTTTTAATGTTTGATTCTTAAGAAACATTTTCAAATTACAAGTTTTTAAGAGAAGCTGCTAATTGACAACCTCTCGTTATTTAGATGTTTACGCTCATCTACCGGTTAAAAGATTGGTAGAAAGTTGAAATAGAAATAGATAGTCGTATGTATTGTATTGATATATTCGAAGACGATTGTATCAAGTAAATTACCGATATAAAAAAAAAGATCCAATTTTGCCAACAATAAAATCGAAACCACTTTCTTTACATTTGATTATACAGCTAGGTGTGCATCATGCCCCACCGGTGTACATTTTAATATCCGAGGTGGCCAACCTTTGCAGTCCTAATTTGGACTGTACCGCCAATTTCCAATTAATAAAGCGGCTGAGTATTGTGACATAACCATATATTCATTCATAAATAATTTGAGATAGTAAAGGTCTGAAAAATCGGGTTGCAAAGATAAGAATTGGAAAATTAGAGTTTGTGACAAAAACTCAATTTCTTACTCGCCTCTTACTCTATGCAACCTGATGAATTGTAGTCTATAGACTCCTAGTGAGAAATATAATTGATTTGGTTCGTTTTTCTCTCAATTTTTAAAGAGGCATTTTTCGAGATAAAAAGTGAGTATGCAAAAAAACGTTCGAAATATTTCCCATTAAAGGAGCAGTGTCTGATTTTGACCTTGTGTGCTGGTAGGTGTTGATCTCCTGTCATAACCTCTGAGCAGCTTATCTAGAACCATCAAGGGATCTACTGACTTAGTCCTAAAACAATCAAGATGAGATTCCCGATAAAAAATACAGTGTTACCAAAAACATGATGGGTATATGATGACGACCTAATATACCAAATGTATGACAATCAAAAGGTTGAATTTGTTTTCTGATTGGCATAGAGTCTCAAACTTTGTGAATTTCGGTTAACCATAGCAGAAGAAAGTTAAATGTATAAAAAAATTAACAATGAAGTCGCTTACTGTTATATTATTCTTAGCATATTTGCTCTAATTCATAATTGCAATGCTTGAATTTTTAACTTAGACAGATGTTAATTTACATTTATAATCTAAAAGGACCGTTTCACTTATCTTGGTAGTTTCAGGGTAAACTATATCTATTTGTTATTTATTGGAACTCGTAATACTTTTAAATAGTTTAAATAGTGTCTATACAAATGTAACATGCCATTGTACTCAAATTCTGAAAGATAAATCGTTTTTTTCTCCGGCCTCTGCAGTTATCTTTAAAAAGTAAAAATAATACAAATGAATAGCTAGCTAATAGGCAATTTAGTTTACCCTCAAATTACCCAAATAATTGAACTGTCCCTGTAAGAGTGGTAAAAAGTAATTTATTTCTGAATGCAAGCATTAATCTAATTATCCCTGTAATAGAAAACCTTAGTGAATATAAATATTTTGCTTTTTGGACATTATAATCGTGATTTATAATACATGGGTGTCCCACGGAACAAAATACATGAGAAACAACATAAAAATCGTTTTTTATCATTCATCAACTTTATCTTAAAAGTAAAAAAGTACTAACAATAATCTTCCTGGCATTTTCAAAATGTGGTCTGTCATTCTTATAAAGTTGTACTTTCAATATTTTTAGAGATATGAACAATTTCCATAAAAATTAGACAATTTTAGTTTATTTTTAAATTGAAATATGGACGAAATTCTCATATAAAGCCCAAATCTTGGAAAAAAATCATGCTTGTAAAGTAAAGGATAAAGATCAAAGGCGATTTTCAAGTTGCCTCTCAGTGTCATGTTTTTAGAGACACTCTTTATATTGTACATTGTAGAAAAATCTGTCTATTACATCATATTCAAAAAATACATTTTCATAATTTTGAATTTCAAAATATTTTGAAAAAAAAGTTATTTTGATAAACTTTGAAGAAAAAAAATCCCATTTTCATATGTGAGTGTAAAATTGACAAAAACAAGAGTAAAGTAAAAATATACTTGTCTCTCCAATGTTATTAAATATATCAGTATTTGACCTAAATCTTGTATTAGAATAAACCATATGTCCTAATGTAGTCGATTAGATACCATTCCCTCACATTATATCAAATATTAGAGGAAAATGAGCCTTTTGAAACATTTTAAAGGGAGTGCTTCCTAACGCTGAAAAAAAACAAAAAATATGAATATTTACAATTGCATTTCAGTAGCTCGAAAAAAACCCCAATCATACGCTTTCAGCGTCATCAAATAATCCAAAGGTTGTAGGCTCTTATGCAAAAATCTTTGAGGATTTTGAAAATTAATTCTTTAAAATTCTGAAATGCACTCAAGGATGAGTGCAGTAAACTTAAAGGCCAGGGCCTTGCGACACTTCAAAGTGGATCCAGCTTTGAGAACTAATGCAAATTCATATTGCAGTGTGGATCTCTGAGCTTCTTTCTAACTTTAGAACTAAAATATACATTGCTTTTCCTTTAAAATAGACAAATTTGAATGTATAACTATTTTAAATCCCGGCATTTTCCCAACCATTGTAAACAAACTATTGTAAAAGTTTTGTCTCAAAATTCTGGAAATTTAGCCTGTATTCATAAATCATTCAATAATAAGTAAAAACAAATAGATGAGTTGACTCTTCCCGTCCTCAGCAATAAGCTTAATAAAAAAATTTCTGAATAGATTATAAAACCAGCTTGAGAACCCGGCACTACACAGACTACCTATCTCCTTTCCCAGGGTGGGCTACGTAGGCCTAAGTTGACCCGGCACGACAGGCTACAGTTGTTGAATATAATACCCTTTTTTACAACTTTTATAGAAATACTCCAATTTTAAACATGAAACATAAAATTTATGAATTCAGTCTTTTTTTGAAGATTTGTATCCAAGGTATCCTTAAAAATTCCTTAATACAGATGTCTGCGGATTGGTCGTGTACAGTACTTGTACACAATAGAACATGCTGTGGAAAATATCGCATATTTTAGCTGATTAATGATCTCTGTAACTCTCTTATCTCTGGTTAGGCCAGAATCTCCTTATAATAAACAATTATGCAGTACACTCTCGGTATAGTTCATGGCCTATACAATTAGTAAAGGTTTAGCGTACATCATCACTCTATACACTATAACCTCGTTAATTAGCGTACATCATCGCTCTATACACTATAACCTCGTTGCCTAGGCCCCATGGTGATCATAGTTACTCCCGGCGTTTACCTGCGCTTGGTCGTAAATTACGATTTTAACTATTTAGCTACTCAACTTAGAATTTCAAAACCAAGCTAAGAATATTCCCGTGGTTCTCTCAAGTCCCCCCCACCCCCCAAAAAAAATAGGCAAATCGCTCCGGAGGTTCATGAGTTATGATCGAACTTACAAAAAAAATAAACAAACAAACGGACAACCACCCAAACTTTATATGTATACTATAAAACAAACAAACAAAGATTACAACTTTATAAATATAGATAATCCCATATAATAAATTAACCCTGCAAACCTGCAAACATACTAATCTAATAAGAACACACAAACCAACCAATCAAGTATACACACCAGGCCTGCTCTGCTACAAGAAATCATATCAAAAATTATCAAATACATTGCCTTGAAGAAAACCTAGATATTCTTTTTAACATAAACATTGTAAACCAGGTAGAGGGAGAAGGTCAAATTTACACAAAACTACTGGTCTAACATTGTCACCTCGTCGCTATACTTCAGTTCTACTTCTACTTCTACTAATCCTTCTCAATAGCTCTTTAATAAGCTTTATCACAGGCAGCCGTAGTACATTTGAATTTCCAAACCGGGCCAACCTTTCCGGTCCCAGTTTGTACTGCACCGCACGGACATTGGGTTGATAAAGAAGACAATCAACAGGACTAGCAAGGTTGACGCGGTCAGACTTTATGCTTCATATAGGTTCAATTTACTTTTATTAAAGTGGCAGAGGTGCGTGTTGTGGTTGAAAGTATCCAAAACTTCAATAATGAGCGTTATTTACAACGAATTCTAAATTGGTGTTTTCGAACAAAATTTTATTAAATAACTTTTTTACTGAAAGATTACGATTTTATCGATCGAAAAATTTGACTGAACAAGCAAATTTATTAAACAATCCCTCAGTAAGAGAGAAATTCATAAAATGATATTAATTCTTAATTCGATATCCAGCTTTTAACAAAAAAACTTCTGGTTTTGACAGCAAATTAACCAAATATGATTATTATACTATACACATAGGAATATATTTTTCAGTTTAAGTTGAACATATGAATTCAAGAAGAATTTAAACTCAAGATAAAATATTCAACTTGAGTTCAGAGTTTCATAACAAATTTTGTAAAGATAGGAGAATTTTCAGGAAGAATTGCAAAACAAGTTTTTCTCGTCTTTTGCAGATATTTGATCTGAGCTGAGATTTTAAAAGTCTAAACCCGAGTAAAACCAGTTCTTAGCGTCTACTTAGACCCAGTCTAGAGTTTTTAATGGCCTTTTGGTTTTAGTAAACACCAACCGATTTTGATTTTCGCTCTTTAAGGTTTGGGTCTCATAATTTTAAATTTCATAAAATCTAATATATTTGTAAATTTAAAATCTCGGGAATTATTTGAAGCGTAAAATGTGATCAAAGGTATGAACGTAAAGTTGTATTTACGTAAAGTTCGAATTTTCAAAATTTACATATCCTTGTAACAGCTGATCTGTCTGCTACAGAGAGAAAGTTTCTCATTGGTATAATCAGAACTAATATTGACTTGGATTCTATCTGAGCCCAAATCCGGGTTTTACTTGGGTTTAAGCTTTTAAACTCTTAGTTCTGGAGGCAGAGCTTACAGATTTTTAATCCAGTCAATGTTTATTCCATGGCCAATAGTCCTATTATTTCCATAAATTTTCCATTTCAAATTTTGGTTCAAATTGATCTAATTCGATTGTGAATTAGACATTGCTATCTTTGCATAAGAGGGTCATTTAAAATTACACTTACAGTCCCTTTAAGTAATATTTTAAAAATACTTCTAATGTAATAAGAACTGGAGTACAATCTCATAAAAAACATATGTCTGAAAAGTAATCCTTCTTCGGCATTTAAATCCTTTATTTGCAAATATTTAAATTACATAGGGTTTCCTTCGGAATTCCGGGTTACGGTTTAGGTACGGAAATGATCCGGGAATTTTTTCCATTTCCATCATGGAACAGGTTCCGGAACGATTTCCGGAACGATTTTTTTCGCGTAAACCAGAAATTTCCGGGACGTTGTTTCGGAATTACGGAACGTTCCGGAAATTTCCGGAATGTTCCAGAATATTGTTTTTGAAAGTGTTCGGAATAATCGTTCCGGAATTTTCAGGAAAAAGGTACCAGAATTACATCAACGCCTCCTAAACTTATGTAAAGACAAAACCAGTAAGTAAAACTAACAACGTTGGGTAGAATGCGCGCGCACTATAAGTTATTAGTCCAAGTTACTAGTTTGAATTGCGATAAACCAAGGGGGGGGGGGCTAGCACCTAGCAGAAGCATTCACGGGGGGGGGACAATAATCCTTGTGCCCCCTGAAATGTTAAGACAAAGTGGAAAACTACAGTGGAATAGTTTTGAATATTGATGAACTGTAGGCTTTCTAACTTTGTAAATATGAATTTAATTAAAATAAAAAATTATTTTTAAGTTCTGTAAGTCGTCTTTTTTATTCAACTTACATTCCGTAAACCAGAATTTTTCCAGTTTACGTAACGTAATCCGGTAATTTTTCCGGTTATATTACATAAATCTGAAAAATGTCCAGGTTACAAGATGGAAGTTTACGTAAGTTCTGTAAGTCGTCTCTTCTATTCAACTTCCATTCCGTAAGCCAGAACTTTTCCAGTTTACGTAACGTAATCCGGTAATTTTTCCGGTTATGTTACGTAAACCGGAAAAATTTCCGAATTATGTCTTGGAAACTGTAAATATTCTGGTTTCCATTTGATCCAGAATTATCCTGTAATTCCACTTTACGCAACAAATGTCCGGATCATTCCATTTTCAAAATGGAAATTTTGTTCCATAATTATGGAAACCCTAAATTATCACATCTATATTCAATAGTTGTAAAATGTATCTATATATTTCTCAACTAAATACACTAGAATACATACCTAAAAGTTATATTTTGTCAGCTATATTTTTTTATTGTTGTATTTTTGGCGGTTATATTATTAGCGTTATATTTTCCCCACCATCATATATATTTATATAAATAAATATTGTATATTTATATAATTATATGTTAGCGGTAGCTGGCCAAACGCATTAAGAAAACCCATGAGTATCGAGTAACCTCTTTCTTTAAATCAAAATATAATATTTTTTTTTAATCAAAGAAATTCGAAATTATATTTTTTCTTTAAAATTAGATTTTTTTCTTAGTGTTTTTAACATCCAACGGAGTTTACGAACCATAAATGTACATTTACTTTTTTTAAATATTTAAAAGTTTAGGTTGTAAATTGAAACCAAAGTTTTATTTCAAGGAATTCCTCCCGAGCTTGAAATATCCTGGTATCTGCCTGGTTTAATGGATCGGTGAAAATAAACACCAAACTCATAAAAATTCAATCATTTCTAAAAGATATGTTTTCGTGGAAGTAAAATTTAAGGAATTTTTGTAACCATGCAGAAAACGAAGCAAAAATGATCATTTTGTTTATTCTTTTTAATAAGGATCCTTTGTTTCATAGTTTTATCAGAGTAAACGTTTAAAGATTAGAGTTTTGAAGTGTTTAAACCTTATTATGTTTTTAACAATATTTTTATTTTTATTCTCAGTCCAAAAACTTTAAAAGTCTTAAATACTGGAACCTTATTGCCCATCACTAGTTTAATAAATAAATCAGAAGATTTTATTGTGTGGCACCTCATTTGGCCCAAGGGAAGGTTAAGAAACATATCCAGTGGAAATTTGAATCTATTATACTTTTAAAATCCACAAATGAAAATAAGAAAACCACTATTTTATTGTTTTTATCACAATAAAATGTGCAATTAATGAGCAAAGAAAGAAAACAAACTTAAAAGCACAAAAAACCCTAAAAGTCTAGTTATTTTATATTTTTCTAAATTTAGAAGTTACAAAAAAAAATGAGTTGAAAAAAATGGTTCTTAATATTCATTGTTTTGCTCTTTTAACTTTATCTAAGTAATGGTTTTCAAATAGAAAGCGAATATCATTGTTTCCGCAACAGAAATATGCAAAAACAATTTAAGAGAAGCCAAAATTGAAAACAGCTTTTTTCAGAGAGAAAACTAAGGGTTTCTCAATCATCCCAGACCAGAAATAAAGGTTGGCAAGTCCATCTTAAAATGAAAAGTCTCATTTGAGCTTTGTCATCAGTCCCATTAAGAATTGGATTTATTATACTTTTTATTAAATATAAAGATAAATGAAAATGCTTTTGTTGTTTACTGTTTTCAGATTTTCCAGTCTCAAGATACTAAATCTTTGGAATTAAATTGCATTCATCCCATTCAAGAACATGAGTTTCAAACTTAATTTTTTTATTTTTCTGATTTTGCGTTTTTATTTTGATAGAAAGAAACCATGATAACTTGTCACAACCTCAAATGGTAAGAAAAAAATTCTTTGGCACTTTTGTGAATCATTTAAAAAAAATTCTTAGTATTTTCTCTGCTTAAGTCGAAGAAAGAAACACAAATGACTACTTGGAGGCTTAAAAGAGCATAATCTATCTTCTCTTAATAAACCTTTATCATTAGCGAGAGATTGAAGTTTGCAGCAGCATATTGGATCCCCTCTGCTGGAGCGGAAGCCACCGGAGGGAAATGGTTTTTAGCAGAGGGAAAGCACAATTGTGATTTAATACTAATAATTCTACCGGAGGGATAGTAATTAACACTTGGGACACTAAATTCTCCATTGGAGGGATGGTAAATAACACTTGGGACACTAAATTCTCCATTGGAAGGATGGTAATTAACACTCAGGACACTAATTACTTGTCGTTATTAAATAATTTGCAAAAAATCTCTGATCAAAAAGTAACCCTCCAATTGGATGATTTTGAACGTCAATTTTGCGCTCAAACTCAGTAACTATACATCAATAAAACGTTTTATATGTCTCAAATAAATCCTAAAAAATTCTCCACAATACTAAATGCTCAGTTCAACTGCCGTACATTCCCTTTAAAAGATTGATTGCTCTGAAGGAATTTCTACAAAGTTTGTAACTTGCAGATGAGAACAAGAAATTAGATTTAAAGATTGTTGTGTTTGACATTTCTAGATTGACCAAAGGCAGATTAAACCAGGGAATAGGGATAAAGGGAAAGGAAATGGCGCTGGTCTGGCATGAGAAAGCCAGTCGCACTGCTTTGCAGACCAGTGCGATAAACTTTACACACACTCTTCTGGTACAGACACACAACTTGCCTACATTCAAGGAAATTGCAGAACAATCTCGTCAATTATAATTAAACTTGAATAACGAGTAGTTTATTGTAAACTTTAATCAAATTATATTATATATATATTGAAATATTGGCTTTTTAGTGTTGACTTAAGTAGGTAAATAATATATTCCATGCTTATTTAACTTATTTTTAAGTTAAAAATTAAAAATACACAAATGTACTCTCCTAGATTGTACAAATACAGAGATTCTTACGTACTGTATAGTGTATAAAGCTACAGTACACACCTTGGGTACGGTAAACTTTACACACACTCTTTTGGTAGAGACACACACACACATGACGTTTCCGCCCCCTGGATTAAACAATTTGTGAGAATTGACTAACAATGATTTCTCCCGAATAGAATGACATTATTTCTTCTTTCGATCTAGGCTGATTGTTATATAGAAAACAACTTATACATGAAAATACACTTTTTTAATGAACTGTCAAATTTGTTACTTCATAATTAAAAAGGAACATTTCGTCACATTTTTTCAAAGTCTTTTTGTTATCGCATTTTTTGTTTTAAAGAAGGCAGAAAAGCCTAGATAAAGATGTATGCTTATTTTCAATATATTTTTCTTTTAAAGAAATATTTTTTTTTTTAAATGGTTAATTTGTAAAATAATTAAGTTTAAATTTAACAATTATAATTTTTTAATCTTTGGGTACAGAGCATACAGAAATATTCTATTTCTAAATTTCTTTATCGAAACTCAAAGAAGCGTTGACTTTCTTCTTTTGCTCAGATCTGTGTCTATACTCTTGACTAACTAGCTCGTAATAAACTAGATCGTAAAAACCTTGCAGGGTGCAAGGTTTTTCTTTTATCTTAACTCCAAGGTCGGCATAATTTTTTTGTCTATGCATTCATTCAAAAACTAAAAAGGGAATCTCTAATAGTGTCTCCAATCGCTAATGGATAAAGGTTGATAGTGTAAAGCTTTCATCAGAGATCCTTTCCATTTTTCATCCTTTTTTATTCTTGTTTCCTTTTAACTGCTCGCTAGTTTTAGATTTATTTTCCACACACAGTATATCTTATGCACTTGTATAATAGATCTGGCAGTTTTGCCAATGATCAACAAAAAAGAATTGGTACCCCCAGCCTCTGCTCACCGAGTAATCATACCACTGCTTAGGATGGGGGTGTAAGGGTAACAGGTATGAGATATACCATAGGCCTCACTGTTAACATGTATTTCCACGTGGACAGATTTTAAAAGAAGATTAACCGGCCAAGCGTGTCGTCCCATCGCTTTAAAACAAGGTGAGTGATTTATAAAATAAATAAATAAAATGAATAAAGGTTTTTAACAAAAATGGTTGTTTTACTTGTTTTCAGCGTTCACAAACGTTATGAAGACACAAACCAACCCCAGCAACATCATCATTAATCTCTTCATTTTTTCATCTGAAATTTATATCTCCATAAAAATTAGAAAATGGTTATCATTATTCATTATGGAAATGTATAAAGCTCTTTGGACAAAAGAACTAAAATGTTTAACTATTGAAGGCACTTGAATTTACACATCTCCTGAAAAAATACTTTTTTTCTTTTTTTTTAAATCAAAAGATGCGAATCTACCAAATGTTTCAAAAAAATATGCAAAAACAATAATCCTGAAATATTCTTCAGTTCTGAAGTGTCCTCGCTGAAGTCACGATTTAAGTTGTTTCCATTTCGACAGAGAGGTTTTGACGATATATGTTGAGGTGAAGGGAAGGGGTGGTAGGACTTTAATGCACTATAATTAGATTATTCTAAAGAATGTCATTAATTCAAGTAATTACTTTTAATCGAACCATTCCAACAAAATTGGTGTTATTAAGATACAGGAAAATAGGAAACCCTTGGATTTTTACCTTTTTTCAAGCGTAAATGCAAGAAACCTCAGTTTCTTAAAATTTCTTTGTCTAGTTTTAGGCAATGATATTTTTGGAAATTAATGCATTTTTTCCACGCGTCATTGCTTAACATTTATTTATATGTGTGTCATAGATTGAATGAATAAATACAAATTTTTTTATATCTAAAAGATGATTATTTTTTATATTAGTTTATCTTTGAAAGAAATTGTCATTTTTCAAGATAAAAAAACGACGACATCTTCACATTGTTGATCTGAAAGAGATTTATTGAATATCTGTTGTGATTTAAACGTGACACTATTTAATTGGAGGCCTCGAATTTACTTTTCCGTAAAAGCATTATGAGATAATTATTTTTCTTCATGAAAGACTAATGTTATTATTTTGCTTGAAGGGGCTGTAAAGGAAAAATGAAAGGGGTATAGGATGAAACCTGAGAATCTCAGGAATTGAACGATACATATAAGACATCCATCTAATGTTCCTGCCTCGAGAAATTGATATAAAACTGTCTCAAATTTATGCAAAAAATCATATATATGCAATTTTGTATAAAAGTTGTACTATTAAACAGATCATATTTAACAAATGGCAACCAATCTGAAAACGACAATATCCCACAGAAGCCTGAGAATCTCAGGTTTTCTCCTATTATAATTTTTTTTCTTGCATTTTTAATAGATATAATTGATAATATTATTACATATAGTCCGTATAGTCCGCATTACGTCACCAGAACATCAGCCAATGGCAGTGCAGTATCGTTGTCACTTGATAAAGACGGAAACTGTATACTGCACTGCCATGTATCGTTTAACTTCTGAGATTCTCAGGTTTCAGCCAGTACCCCCTTTCATTTTTCCTTTACAGTCCCTTTAAACAATTAATACATTTTAGAAATAGTTACGTTGCTTTCACGACAAAATAATTATTTTACCAGCCAGATAAAAAAAAATAACGTTTTTTTGCGTTTCGAGTAATAGATTTGCTGTCAATGTTAATTGTTTTATTTTATTTTTCTTCACTAACTATGTTTCGAACAAAACTATTTTCAAGAAATATTTTAGTTATTGGAGAAATCTTCTCAGAGCTTTGTACATTGTGTAGTTGTGTACAATGTCAAAAAATATTTGATAGAATCTAATACTGCTTTCATGCAGTGGAACGTCATAAAATAAAAAACCAGTTGTACACTGTACACGTAATACGTAGACGGACTTAATATGTTGATTTTCAATATATTGTACACATAAAATTGCTTAAGTGTCAGCTTCCTATTCCACAGCTTTAAATAGAATCTCATCAAAACGATTCAACGCATCACATTTTGGCTGACCTCTTAGAATCTATTAAAACTTTGATCGAATTTCATAAATATTTGATAAATTATCATAAAACTTTGATAATTCTAATAGTGATAGAATCTAATGAAACGTTGATGAAATTTAATAAAACTTTGATAACTTCTCATAATACTTTGAAATATTCTTATAAAACTTTGATAGAAACTCATGGAACTTTAATCGAATCTCATAAAACCTTGATAGAATTTAAAATTTGTTCTTAAACTTTGATAAAATCCTTTACAATTTTGATAAATTCCCATAAAACTTTAATAGAATCTCATTAAACAATTAAAACATCTCACAAAATTTAGATTGATCTCATAAAACTTTATTAGAAACTAAAATACGCATTTTTAAAGTTAGATGTGTGGCCGTTTCAAAGCTTACGTATTTTTTATTCTTTGGCTTTTATAGTATCTTAAGGAATTAAGAATTTATACTTTATTTTTAATCTTGTAAAGTGCCTTAATTGTTATTTGATCTTATCAGCATATTATAATATTTGTATAATATACATTATTATTTAAAGAGACTGTTTTGATCTAATCAACATATTATAATATTTATATAAGATACATTATTATTTAAAGGGACTGTTTTGATCTTATCAACATGTTGTAATATTTGTATAAGATACATTATTATTTAAAGAGACTGTTTTGATCTTATCAACATATCATAATATTTTGTATAATATACATTATTATTTAAAGGGACTGTTTGATCTTATCAACATATTATAATATTTTGTATAATATACATTACTATTTAAAGGGACTGTTTTGATCTTATCAACATATTATAATATTTTGTATAATATACATTATTATTTAAAGGGACTGTTTGATCTTATCCACATATTATAATATTTTGTATAATATACATTATTATTTAAAGGGACTGTTTTGATCTGATCAACATATTATAATATTTTGTATAATATACATTATTATTTAAAGGGACTGTTTGATCTTATCAACTTATTATAATATTTTGTATAAGATACATTATTATTTAAAGGGACTGTTGGCGTAACTTCAAGGGACCCTTCATGTTCAGAGTTGTATGCCCTTGATTGAAACCGGTTCGTATTGTGAATCGGACATTGACACCATTATTTACTTATTTCTTGAAAAGTGTTTAATTTATTCCATTCTTCGTTGTCTCTGATACAAAAATAAATCTGCAAGTCTCTTATAGAGAACCCACCACAATTAGAAAGGATCAATATTAGATATAGTGATAACCAGAAAATAGTAGAAATTAATGCAATAATTAATTGTATTTGATTTAATTACAAAGCAAATAGTTTTATTAGTAACTTGTTGAATCATTTATTAAGTGAATTGGGCCTTTTTACATTTTACAATTGCAATGTCTCCTGTGCAATGCCCTTTTTAAAGTCATATATTAACTCTAAAAGTCGTCTTTCTATTTCAGAGTTTTCTGGTTATCACTATAGAAAGGCAATCATTAAAAGCATTTTTGCTAAGATAAAAGAATAATATTGAAAAGCAGGTAAATCCATCTTTAAATGGAATTTTATTTGAAATTACATCTTTAAAAAAAACGTATTTTTTTAATACTTTGTTTACGATATGAAGAATATGCAGAAAGTTATTACTACCATAAACAATTATAAATGGACACTTTACAGCCATAAACAAATTCAATTATTGAATTACTTCAGAATCCAAACAAATAAAAAAATAATAAATGTTTTGTTTAATTCAAGAAAACTACCCCCCCCCCCCCTTCTGTACCATTTCAATGTTCCATAATATTTTAAACAGATTTTTTGGGATATATCAAAAATATATATATTCCTGACATACTGTTCGCTATTACAAACAGTAAGGTTGTAGCTAGTAAATTCGATCCGTCTGGAAACAAAATGTTAGTATGTTCTAAAATGTTAAAATTTTACAAATTGCAAACATTTCATTTACAAATCATTGAAATTAACGAAAACAATTCTATTTCAGCTGTTTTAAAGGTATAATATTTAAAAATAAAAACAGTGATTAACATTTTATAATTTCTTTTTCATCAAACTTCAAAATAAAGTAAAAAAATGATTCCACAAAGCTATGTAAAATTTTCTCCTTTAAAAAGGTAAACTGTCGGAGAGTAGGTAATTAATCAACAATTTTACAAAGACAACCTCAGAAATATTCACGCAAAACCGGAAAATTAAATGATTCGTTAAAAATATTTCAATTTTATATAACTAGAGAACTAAAGAACTATAAATTTAAGAACTAGAGAACTAGAGAATTAGAGAACAAGGGAACTAGAGAACTAGAGAGCTAGAGAACTGGAGTGGAGAACTAGAAAACTAGAGAACTAGAGAACTAGAGAACTAAAGAACTAGAAAACTAGAGAACTAGAGAACTAGAGAACTAGAGAACTAGAAAACTAGAGAACTAGAGAACTACAGAACAAGAGAACTAGAGAACTACAGAACTACAGAACTCCAGAAAAACAGAACTACAGAACAACAGAACTACAGAACCATAGAACTAGAAAACTAGAGAACTAGAGAACTAAAAAACGAGAGAACTAGAGAACTAGAGAACTGGAAAACTAGAGAACTAGAGAACTAGAGAACTAGAGAACTAGAGAACTAGAGAACTAGAGAACTAGAGAACTAGAGAACAAGAGAACTAGAGAACTAGAGAACTAAAGAACTAGAGAACTAGATAACTCTAGAGAACTGGAGAACTGGAGAACTACAGAACTACAGAACTACAGAACTACAGAACTACAGAACTACAGAACTACAGAACAAGAGAACTAAAGAACTAGAGAACTGGTGAACTTAAAACTAGAAAACTAGAGATCTAGAGAACTAGAGAACTAGAGAACTGGAGAACTGGAGAACTAGAGAACTAGAAAACTAGAGAACTACAGAACTACAGAACTACAGAACTACAAAACTACAGAACTACAGAACTAGAGAACCAGAGAACTAGAGAACTAGAGAACTATAGAACTAGAGAACTAGAGAACTAGAGAACTAGAGAACAAGAGAACTAGAGAACTAGAGAACAAGAGAACTAGAGAACTAGAGAACTTAAAACTAAAAAACTAGAGAACTAGAAAACTAGAGAACTCTAGAGAACTAGAAAACTAGAGAACTAGAGAACTAGAGAACTAGAGAACTAGAGAACTACAGAACTACAGAAC